TCCAAGGGAACTTAAATGCTGTCCAGAACAGGGATCAGATGTTGCAACCTGTTCTTCATCCGTTTATGCAGAGACATGGGCCTGGACTAACGTTTCAACAAGACAATAAAATAAAACCAAGTACGAACAATCCAAACCATAAGACAGAATTCGAAGTTCTAAAAAACGTTATAGGCAAAATAGTGTATTCAAGCAAAATAGTGTAATCAGCAAATGGACTGCTCCTCGTGTACAAAATACACGACAAACAGTGGTAACAGGTGTCCGGAGGAGTAAGCTTACCCTGCCCGGCGCCACACCCGCTATAGCTGCATCCAAACTATTAGGCGAAATGTCGGTAAAATAGCGTGATTGGCCAATGAACTATCGGTATGCAAATGCACGCGATGAACTGTGTTAAATCATACAGCAATTGCTACCCAGAATTTTTTAAGAAATGCCTGTGTCCAAGTCCTGGATTGGCCGTCGCTTATGGGGCGCCGTTTGTAAATTAATTATTTAGCTTTTTATATAGCAAAAAACACTAGATTTAATTTAAATTTATATATATAGTTAAATCTCGACTTTTGTGCAAATTTTTCACTTTTAATATTTAAACTAAAAATACAACAAAATCCCAATATTTAACATAATATATATAAATATTTCTTGATTTGTCTCTATTTTCATATTTAACATTTAGCATTGAATATTAAGACCAAAACAAGAGATTTGATGATATATAAATATTTAGCTAAATATTTAGTTAAATGTTTAAACATTTAGCTAAATATATATTTAGTTAAATGTTAAAATATTTAGTTAAACATTTATATATTTAGTTAAACATTTATATATTTAGTTAAACATTTATATATTTAGCTAAATATATATATTTAGCTAAATATTTAGCTAAATATTTATATATTTAGCTAAATATTTATATATTTAGCTAAATATTTATATATTTAGCTAAATATTTATATATTTAACTAAATAATTATATATTTAACTAAATAATTATATATTTAGCTAAATAATTATATATTTAGCTAAACATATAGTTAAATTTACAAAGCGCAACCCAACCACGCCGTTTGTAAAATAATTTTTGTTGTAAGCGACTTCACGCTAAACGATGACGTAGTGTACAACTTTCCCTGAAGTTCACCTGTAGGTAGGACGTCCTCATTGCCTTGATCTGTGCGAACGGCACGGAGTACCGCGGCCGTGATTCGGGTTACAAGTTCGTGGTCAGCTCCCATTTCTAATTCCTAGTAGGCCTATTGTGCCAAGGCTCACGTGTCAGGTACACGTCATCATTTTATGCGCAGTTTTTTTGTGTTGCTTACGATAATAGAAATATTGGCGGGACCACAAATTATATTTAGTTAAATATTTATACATTTAGCTAAACATATATTTTTAGCATGATATTTATATATTTAGTTAACTGTTTATATATTTAACTAAATATATATATTTAGTTAAATGTTTATATATTTAGCTAAATGTTTATATATTTAGCTAAATGTTTATATATTTAGCTAAATGTTTATATATATTTAGCTAAATGTTTATATATTTAGCTAAGTGTTTATATATTTAGCTAAATGTTTATATATTTAGCTAAATGTTTATATATTTAGCTAAATATTTAACTTTAGATTTTTCAGTGATTTAGTATTTAGCATTTATACCTACGAAAAACAGCACATTTAGCTATATATTTAACTAAGCGATGTGAAATCAAGATATAACATTTAAAGTTTTTCATAGACCAAAAACTCGACTTTTAGCTACAATATTTTTTGATATTTACATATATGCCATTTTTGTTCTAATATTTATCTAAATATATATATTCGGAGTTAAATCTAATGTTTTTGCTATAAAAAAAATTAAATAATTATTTTACAAACGGCGCCCCATAGTCGCTTAGCCCCGACCTTAATCCTATTGACAATTGAACACATCTAGTCTGAGGCTATTATCAAACTTAAAACATAGCACCATACCATAGAGATACAAATAATGGATAGTTTTCTAAAACAACAAGCCATAAAATAATGATATTCTTAAAACAACATGCACATGCTCATTCGAATGCATGTGACAAAACACTCCAGTCATACAATGCAAGCATACACAGACAGTCCAAAATATTCTACATGGAGACGACATGTTTACAACACAGTCGAAAACAAATATTAATAATGAGAATATATGTGATAAGAATTTGGATACTGATTCCATTGGTAATGTACTCGATATGGAAGATAATAGCCGTAAAAATTGTGATGTTCTTGATATGGAGGATAATAGCCGTCAAAGTTGTGATGGAAAGGCTGCTCACGAGAATGATTTAGATATTGATAATTTTCTTAATACTGTGGTTAATATGGAGGGTACTAGCCGTCCCAATTTTGATTTAAAATTTAATATATACTCTGATATAAGTGACAGGACACAGGATCAAAAGCACAAACCAATTCACGAAATTCAAACTCAACTGTCATTATGGTGTAACGGTGATATATTTGAACGGTTTTTTTTTATAATCGGATAAAATTGTGACCTGCATAGTTCCACAGGCTCAAAACACGTTTTTTTGGTTCAATCCGGGGCCATAATCCAGGAAGTATACGGTCCGATATGCGCCAATATTGCAAGGAATCGAGATCTTTGGGTTATAAATACACATGTTCAGTTTCATCAAAATGGGCTAATAATTGTGACCTCTAGTGTGTACAGTCAGGGGCCATAATCCATGAAGTTACGGTCCCATACAAGCCTATATCGAAAGGAACCGAGATATTTGGGATATTAACCTATATTTCAAGTTATGACCTGTAGATTGTCCACAAAGAAGGTGTGAAAATATGGGCGTATAGAAACGTATCACCGATCTAGTGTCGAACGTACTATTAAACGGATAAGTAACATATAACGGACGGATTTAAGTGGAATTTTTTATGTAGACAAACACGTGAAATCAACATTCGGCCGCCATGTGACATTTCGGTGACTATGAGGTTTTAAAGTAATTTCATTTTCTGTAATTTAATTTGTTCAGAGAATAAATTATCCCAAAATACATGCTCATTTTTCAGATACGTGTCTATTATTGGTATTTTCATAAACAATCGTCTATTATTTATAAAACTGTCCATTATTTATTGAAAATAATGGACAGTTTTATAAATAATAGACGATTGTTTAAGAAGAGCGTACATTCTCCTATATAATGGTTAAAAACATCAAAGGGTGACGTCATATCTATGTTTTAATTGATGTTATCCTTTGACATCTCAATTTAATAGTCTATTGGGCACTATTTACAACAGATTGGCTTAAGTTTTTGGCTTCTTTTAGTGATTTGAGATAGTCCCAACGTCTTTTAATACAGGCTCACTACATAAGCTTTGCGCAAAATGGTACTCGAATAAACATATTCTTGACCATTCTTTCTTTGTAAAAAAATAACTGTATATGAATGCTCAAGTACTACATTTCCTGCAGGAAAATGACTGGGTAACTGATTTGACATTTTCAAAAACCTAGAGTCTAGAATCTAGAATTTTTACTCTTCTGCCTAGCAACCATCATTATGAAGTCGTTTGGTGTCGCCACTGCGTGCTCATTTGGTGATTGAGCACCTGGTCGGGACCATTATGTTGATATAAATGACTCGCTCTTCGTCTGGTTGACTGGTTGGAGGGAGTGTTGAAATTCAGAGAGAGAGAGGGGGGGGGGTGTTAACGTCCACTCAACACAATGCCAATCCCAACCCACCATCTAATTATAAAGCACACGACCGTTACACTTTCTCATAATGTGTTGTTTTACAATATTTTTTTTTTATGTAGCTGAGCAGGGTGGAGTTTGGATAAACCCCGCCTCACACCACTCCCTCTGGATCCGCCCCTGTACCTCTTGTCACGATCAATCGGGGATGACGCTGAAATAAGTTTGAGGCTCTCGTCACCGCATTAGGGTTCCCGGGTGCCGGCATGGAATCGGGGCCATAATCGGGACCTGAAGAACGCCAAGATGATGGTTTGCGCGTCAGTGTCGCGCTCTATCTTTCGATAGACCTATAATGTATCTGATAAAAAAAAAAAAAAAAAATGGTGGTCATAGTTTTTGTTGTTTTTTTTTCAATTGTTTGCTTGCTTAAAATGTCCTATCAAAATCGTGTATTATTACATCAGTAAGACTAAAGCGTTATAGTACATGTATTTGGTAGGCTATGCCACTGTGACTGTGTTCGATGACCGAAAGTGACAATCTAATCATCACAATTTGTAAATATAAATAATATTTAGCTATAATATCAAATTGTTTATTGCACTGTATATAGCCTACCATAATATTGTTTCATGCATATAATTACTGTTTTAATAAACCTAATCAGTCACTAATTACAATACATTACAACGATCCGAATTGCAACGAAAGCATGCATTAGGGAGGGTCTTGTCAACAAAAATCACATACACGAGTTATCTCCCTTCACGCGTGAAACACCGATTTGGGCACAAAGCGCGGTACCTCTTAAATTTAACTAAATTGTTATTTTGTGTTTCCAAAGTCAACATTTTGGAGTAATACTATTTGATATACATGTACAGTTGTACATGTAGTATACTGTTTGTATGAATGTATTGAGTTGTCTATGTAATATGTATTATTGAATGTATATGACTATGTCCAAGTGTATATGTACGTAGGCTGTGCATGCTGTCCTATGGACGTTTTGATGCAATAAACATCTATCTTAGTATCTATCTATTGGGTGTTATTGGGTAATTCGACGCGCCCAGGATCGAGTGGGGTCACCAGCTTATAGCCTGTGGCTCACTCCGTGTCCTCCGGTTTCCTCCCATTTGAAATAAAATTGTACCATACGTTTCTCCCGAAATGACCTAGTTTCTGTCGAGTGGACGTTAATGAAGATCAGTTATTGGGTGGTGACGCATGCGCATAAAATGTGTGTATCAAATCGGAGTCCATTTTTATCTGATACCGCCTGGACAATAGAGGCTCATATTCTATTTACATTTTAGAGTCGTAATACTCGTATTTGTTGTTTGGTATTTTGCTGTCTCATAATAAGATTAAAGTACCGGTATACACATAGTAGCATTAATCTCTAGATTTTTGAAAATGTCAAATCAGTTACCCAGTCATTTTCCTGCAGGAGATGTAGTACATTTAGATCGTGGAGATGGTAACACGGCTTTGGTTCATCTTCATGGTACTGTAGGCCTATTGAAATTTTTTTTAATTTAATAATTCAATATCAATAAGCTATAGATCTAAATAATTATTTTAATTTTATTTCAAATTCATGTTGACTCGCATTTCAAATCAGTTGAGTTCGGCGAAATACGCCAGAAGCCTCAATCAAATGGCAACTAGATAACAAACCTTAATCTCTCAACCCTCCGTGTTTCGAGATGAGAGATGAGGCCATTGCCATCAATGTAGCACATGCGGGAGCGATTCGCACCCGGCATTTATAAACAAAATTGACAATATTTTTAATCAAAACAACGATTGGTTATTGTTATTTATAATATTTCTGCAACACCCAACTACAATTAAGCATATAATCCTATCTGAAACGGGTACAAATCCCCTCTTTTTAAATCAAAGCAACAGTAGATCGCTTTTCCCGACATTTTAAATTTACGTCTGTACACACATAAAGGCGGGGCCTCGTGTGCAATAGCCAATCAAAGTACCCATCTGATCAGAGTTGCGCAGTAGGTATTACGGCGTAATTATGAACGTCTGAATCAATTATGATAAAAACAACGCTTGATTTAACATTATTGACAATATTTGCTGATAAATGAATGTTGTTTCTCTAGATTGAACTGCGTATGTGTAAAAAGTACTAATAGTATAAAATTAACTTATTTTTAAGATGGTACATACATTAATAAAGAAATTGAGTTTGCCACTTGGAACTAAAGGCATCCAATCGTAGCTAAAAACAAGCACATCAGTATATCTCAGCGTTTTTAGTTACATTCTCGTAGCTAATGGCAACTTCTACTGTCTAGTTATTCCAGTCGATAGTATTTATTGCGCATGCTCTCCAGATAAGAATATGGCGTCACCATTTGGAATATGTCTAGCCTCTTTCTTTGAGTCCCTTGTTACAAATGGCGCTGAAACGCATTATGGTACACGATTTGTGTACCAATGGTAAAATGTTTATTTTGTCTTAAAAATTTGATATCAAAAGCCCATTTTTTCCCAGTAAGATCACAACATTGATGTTGATTTGAATTGACAAATAATTTGTGTTTTCAATGTCGAAGACTTTGGATGATATTGAGTTAGAGGCTTAGCTACTTTAAGAGGAAATGTACCGTACATAAATATACTGAGGCACATTGTTGGCTTACTCAAATTTATTGTGATTAATGTGATCAAAAGGATAGAGGAGCATGGCTATATAGCGGCTGTCTTGTTTATGGCATTTATAACATAAGACAAATTCTAATTAGGATCTAAAGTGAAAGCGCTCTTTTAATAAGCTACATGCCAATTTGTCTCACTCATTTCACAAAACATTCAAGAGCTAAATCTGACTATTATAACATAAGACAAATTCTAATTAGGATCTAATAAGCTACATGCTAATTTGTCTCACTCATTTCATAAAACATTCAAGAGCTAAATCTGACTATTATAACATAAGACAAATTCTAATTAGGATCTAAAATGAAAGTTCTGTTTTAATAAGCTACATGCCAATTTGTCTCGCTCATTTCACAAAACATTCAAGAGCTAAATATTAATTAGACATTAATTAATTCTTGATCAAGTCAATGCCATCGGATGGCTCAGATATTAAGTAGATTTTGTTGTTGATGATTTACCATAAAAATGGATTATCGAGACTTTGTTTATTATCGTAACGATGGTAGCAATGACAATCTAGGCTACATGGTTGTTGTATCGCCAATTTGACAGAAATTTTCAATATATTCTATTTTCATTATCTATTTTTTAACTATTATAACAAGAACTGTCAGCTCTTTATTTAATCTTACCTAATGCCCCTTTAATTGTTTTATTTTATTATTTTATTTATTAATATCTCAATTCAGAGTGAAGTAAATTGACAGAAATTTTCAACATATTCTGTCAGCTCTTTATTTAATCTTACGTAATGCCCCTTTAATTGTTTTATTAATTAGAGAATTAGGAAAGGAATCGGTCTGGTGTAAATAAGTAGCCTGCACATTTTGTCTGTAGATGGTAATTCAGGAATAAAAATGTCTAATATGCATTTGGTCATTCAGGCATTTGGGGGATTCAGACCATTCTCAATAACTGGCAAAGTCTTTTTTAGTGGAGGTCTATATTTGCAACTTTTAGTGAAGCTGTCTCAATTAATAAATGATAGATTTGAATTAAATTGCTTTATTGAAAGTGCATTATATAAGAATTAGATAAAAAGCTGACGACAGTTGTCGCTATAATAGTCAAAAAATAGATGATTAAGAGGGAATATGCTGAAAATAAGTCCGGATTATCCATTTTTAATTAAAATCATTAACTGCCAATCATATTTTAATCTGTTGAAAATCAAAACCATCCAAGTTCTAGAGAGTTGATTATTATGGGCCTGGCATGTAAATAAATGTCTAATTAATGATTTATGTAACATTTGAGGCCAAACGAAAGATCTGCATTAGGCAGATTTAGCTCTTGAAAATGGATATAGTAAACACTGGCTTAAAGTACATACTTTTTTTATATGGTAATTTTATGTGCTCTTTTATGGAAATTCAAATATTCACAAAAACACATTAAGACATCCTTAAAGGAATGGGTAAAAAATAACCTGAGATCCTGTATAACCTACCCGTTGACAGTAGGAATTCATAAAAAGAGTAGACAGTAAAATTTCACTCATAGCACACTGCTTGGCATATGCCATCTTCATTGGCCCCTTTGTGCAAAACAGTATTACATTTCATTTCATTTTTGAGTTCATAGTTCTTATAATTTTCGACTTGTGGGATTTGTTGACCAATATTTTAGGGTGAACAAAGGCAAAAGGTTTCAAATCTGTTTTTATTTGACAAACATATTTTGATTTATGGAATATTTATTTACAGGTGCTACATTGTTATCATGGAAAGTTAATGGAGAAGAAATACTCTTTGTTAGGTAAGTACTTATGTATCATTCTGTCACTGGTGATGGCAGAACAGTTCAGTAACAGAAGATTCAATTGCTTGTCTTCAACAAGGACTGATAGGGTGGAACCAGGGGGTCAGATCCCCCCTGTAGAGAAATTCTGTTGTCTCTTTTTATCCACAAGTGGATAAAAAGAGACAACAGAATTTTTAAGTCAATAACACATGTCTCTTTTTAGTGAGAAGTCTGTTTTTGATGGGAAGAAGGCTATTAGAGGAGGAATTCCTATAGTTTTTCGTAAGTTTTTACAATATGTTAGAGGTTAGACATACAGTGTAGGGTAAAGTTAAAAAAAAAAACACTTTTTGGAATGAATTTGAGGAGGTTGAAATTGATAGAAGTTGAGCTGTTGTATCTTCTGCACCCAATTTTAAAAAAAAAACCAGACAGCTTGATTTATGTTGGTTGTTACCTAAAGCTGTTTTTTATTGTGGTTGGAGGACTTCTTATAATAGAAATAAATGCAGATAATGAGATATAAGCTTAGTCATTTACTGAAAATTTAATTAAGATGATCCATTGGACTAATTCATTACAATATTTATTTATTAAGATATTTGGGTAATAGTCTAGTAGATATATTATCTCATTTTTATTTTGATCAATTTGATAATGATTCATGTTTTAAGTCTAAAAAATTTCTTTGTGCTTTTTATGTTTAAAGACATCCATTTCTATCTGATGATCTCTTCTTGCTCCACATGCAGGGTGTGGATACATCTATTGAGAAATAAGAACAATAGTTAAAAAATAAACTAGTACATTATGAAAAATATAAAATTAACACTGGCTAGCCCTTCACTTCCTAAATCGACACCTTATTGCCTCAGCATTACCTTCAGCATTGCTTTGTGTGTATTTTAGCTAATTTTGGACCATGGAAATTAGGACCACAACATGGATTTGGCAGAATTAAGAGATGGAGTTTAGCCATTCCACCAACCAAGGTACAGTACAATGATACACAAATTTTGCATTTATAAACAAATAAAATGTTATGAAATTCTCAAAACTATTAACACACAAATCACATATAAAGACAGTATTGTGATAATACAGTAAATGAATAGTGCACAATAAATTAGTCATTGTTTTTTGTTTTGTTCAGGATAAACATGGAACTGTTATAGCAGCCATTTCTTTAGAAGATGACGAAGAAACCAGAAGAATGTGGAACTACAAGTAACATTTTTTTTCCAATTATTTTCTTTTATGTGATCATTCACAATCAATGACTTCGAATTGGTTTAGGAACATTTCAGACATATCCAGTGAACAAATATCTAACATAAGATTAGAAATATGGAATTAAATCCAGAAAATTTGTAACTGGCTCTAGAAAAGAATGTATAATTTTATAACATTGAAATTTAAAAAAAATAAAATTACGCATTATGTTTTTTTATTTCATAAAAGATTCAGGTTGGTTTATACATTAGAATTACAAGCAACATCCTTCACTATGAACTTGAGCATACATAATACAGGTAACATAATACATCATTATCATTCTGATTTTCATAATCTACATTATCTGAGATGCTCTGTTTCTCATTGTAAAAACATATACTAAATCATTTCAAGGATTTGGTTGTGCAAGTTGGGTTAATGTCATATTCACTTGGCTTTAGTATCGAGTTATGGTTGAGTTATTCACCCTAAATAGGCTGTACATTGGGTGGTCTAGCAGTTTAACGCGAGCATGTCAAACCATAAGGTCTGTCATTGAGTCAAGTGGCCTGATTTTGATTCACCACTTGTATGTGAAAAGGACACCGCTTGTATGTGAAAAGGAGTAGGGTTGCCTGTCCCAGATGAGCTCTCTCTCCCCTCTCTCTCTCTTTTGCTCTCAGAGTTACTAAAATATTTACATTTTGCTTTTACTAATGCATTTACTCATGCATGCCCATAAATCTAGTTAAGGGCTTGGTTGTCTAGGTCATCAAGGTATTTGTTTGCTTCTAGTGATTTAGATGAAATCAACCCTCTTTTTGTTGAGTTAGTTTTTATACGCCCACATTGAAATGTGGTCGTATATTGTCGTCGCCCCCGTCCGTCCGTCCGTCCGGTGGTCCGGCGTCCACAATTGCTTGTGGATGCTCTAGAGGCTAAAGTTAATATCTGATTGACTTTAGATTTATACACAGTGTTTAAGGTCTTGAGACGAAGAAGCCTATTGATTTTCAGCGATTTCCGATAATTACTGCCAGAGTTATGGCCCTTGATCACTTTGAAAAATCTTGTGGACGCTCTAGAGGCCAAAGTTAATATCCAATTGACCTTAAATTTATACACAGTGTTTTAGGTCATGAGACGAAGAAGCCTATTGATTTTCAACAATTTCCGATAATTACTGCCAGAGTTATGGCCCTTGATAACTTCAAAAAATCTTGTGGATGATCTAAAGGCCAAAGTTAATGTCCGATTGACTTTAAATTTATACACAATGTTTAAGGTCATGAGACGAAGAAACCTATTGATTGTCAACGATTTCCGATAATTACTGCCAGAGTTATGGCCCTTGATCACTTCAAAAAATCTTGTGGATGCTCTAGAGGCTAAAGTTAACATTCGATTGACATTAAATTTATACACAGTGTTTAAGGTCATAAGATGATGAAGCCTATTGATTTTCAGCGATTTCTGATAATTACTGCCAGAGTTATGGCCCTTGAACACTTTGCAAAATCTTGTGATGCTCTAAAGGCTAAAGTTATAATCCGATTGACTTTAGATTGATACACAGAGTTTAAGATCTTGAGACGAACAAGTATATTGATTTTCAATGAATTTTTATGACTTGAACAGTTAAATCCATGATATTAAAAGCTTTGCATACAAAACGTTAGCATGGGGCAGAACTTTATAAAAACCAAACAAATTCTAATAGTTTTCTGATAATTACTTCGTGAGTTGTTGCTTTTAATCAGATATTAGTGTATTATAAATGTTTCATTAGCGAAAAAAGTAAAAATATGCGACAACCCTTGTTGACTGCCCGGACGATTTAGTTGCTGTGGGCGTATGTTTCGTTGCCTGGCAACCTATCTTTTGAGTAAGGTAGTGCAATGCCTCAAGTACTGAACCCAAACTCAAGTCTGGTATAATCTCAGACTTATTAACAAAAGTTTAAACCAGGGCAAAAGTTAATAATATTGAATATGGTAGCTTACTGAACATTTGTACCACTTCATAAACTCTCCTTTGTCAGTGTCCATCAGAATGAAATAAATTTTATATTGATGCATTAAATAGTTTATATCTATAGAAATATCATGGTTATTTCATTAATTACTAGCATTTTAAACACCACTGACTTGTGATTTTATTGTCCCCCGCCTTTCGAAGAAAGCAGGGGACTATTAAAATGGGTTTGTCTGTCTGTCTATCTGTCCGTCTGTCTGTCACACTTTTTGGGACACAATAACTCTCTTTCTAATTGAGCTAGAATGTTCAAACTTGGTATAGGTGTTTATTAGGTCAATACCTTGATGGAGTTTGAAGATGAGCATTTTCTTCTTCGGGTAAGCAGAGATAAGCAATTTGATTGGTTGATGCTTTGGGACACGATAACTTTAGTTCTAATTAAGTGAGGGTGATAAAATTTTGTGTATAGTTTTATCACATCAATACCTTGACTAAGTTCCATAATAAGCATTTTCTGCTTAGGGTAAGCAGAGCGATAAGCAATTTGATTGGTCGAGACTTTGAAACACAATAACTCTCCTTCTAGTTGAGGTAGAATGTTCAAACTTGGTGTAGGTGTTCATTAGGTGAATGCCTTGATGGAGTTCGATGATAAACATCGTCTGCTTACGGTAAGCAGAGATAAGCAATCTGATTGGTTGATGCTTTGGGGCCAATAACTTTGGTTTTAATTAAGTGAGAGTGATGAAGCTCCAAGTATAGATTCATTATATCATTACCTTGACTAAGTTTGATGATGAGAATTTTCTGCTTAGGCTAAGGATCGATTCTTGACTGAGTTCAATGATTAACATTTAGAGCTAAAGCTAAACAGAGGTAAGCAATTTCATTGGTTGATGCTTTGGAACATGATAACTTTGATTCTATCTGATAGAGAGTGATGAAACTTAGTGTATAGTTGATAATCAGTTTGATTGCTTGATACTTTTGAAAAAAAATAAATGTGCGATTAATTAATATGTGTCATCTATTTATTTTGGGATGTCGGCGGGGGACATCAGCCTCACTGTTGGCTTGTTTTCTATGTTCATTTGTGGAACCATGTTTTAAAAAAATTAAAATACGGTACTATCTTATCCTTTATTATTTAATTAAATCAAAATAATGGATTGAGATGTGTCATTTTAATTAATGATTAAATATTTTATTTTCAAATATTTCTGAACTACTGTTCATTTTGTTTCTGGCTCAGTATCGCAACATGGGCTTTATCTATGGATTTTAGACTTTAAAATGGATATGTACTCCACATTACAAATCAACTCATAAATTTTAAAAAATTACAGTTTTATTTTAATTTTACAGATACTAAAGCCTTTGATTTCACGACACTTCTGCACAGTTACATACGAACACCTGATATCCTTAATACTTCTGTTACTGGACTATCTGGTTTAACATATATTGATAAGGTAAATACATTGATTCTGTGCTTACAAACATTCCTGATTTTCTGTAATTTGCAAGGTTTCTAACATATCGTATGTGTTAATAAATTAATTTGGTTTCATAGCTACAAGTTGTGATTTGTGTCATGCATAAAGCATGGTACACTCACTCATTCTGGAACAGTTGATACCTCTTGTCACTAGGCTTATCTGAGATTGAGAGAGATGTCTTAAGGCAGTCAGGTTCACGTTACTGACAGTTTTGTATTCATGTATATTTTGGTGTAGATATCATTTTGTAGGACTTTACCCCTGTGTTTTGGGGGTTTTTTTTGTCAGGCTGTTAATCCAAGATGACAATCTTATTTAATGTCTTTACCATACATCATGTGTTTCTGGTTAATGGCCATTTTATTGGAATATGTCAGAGCCTTTAATATGATCTTAGTAATGTTTTACATGTATTATATTTTTGACTTGATGGAGCTGAATGATATCAGATAAATTTGCTTTGTTTCCTAACTACAGGATTCAGGCACCACCAGGAACAATTGCAAAAATCACACTTGAGAACTTGATATCTTTCTATTTTAGTTGAAGAAAAACAAAAAATCAACTGAATTACGAGAAAAGGTATTCATGGATGAGAACTATGACAGGTAATAACCTTTAATTAAACTGTATGATAAAAAGTATCACATAATAAGTTACCATGGTGATTATAACAATAAAATATTTTGATTTATTTTCCTTCAATAGTGTAGGATACAATGTACATGCTACATGTATGTAAAAGTTTTTAAATATGTGTTATGTTTGATGTGGGGGATTAGTTAATGAAATCGTTTGTTTGGGTGGTTGAGTTTTAAGCGAGATGTCCTTGGAATTATGGGAGACATACATAGACCAGTAGAGAGCAAACTGATAACAAAAGTTAAATATAAATACAGTAATCATTTTGTCATGTATAGATTTGTATTTTAATCCGATTGATTGTTGGTAGTAGCTTGTCACCTTTCCTGAAAACATTTGACATTACAGCCAATATGAATTATTTAGGGAGTATGGATTGGATCTGTAACATTTCTTTATTAATTTTATGAATTGTAATTAAAAAGATATTAACTTTTCTTTAAGGATTTACCTTGGATGTCCTAAAAACTTAATAGTTAGCCATGTTGGATGTGGTAAACATAATCTCTCTATCAAGACATTTAATTTACCTGATATAGGTTAGTATGGAATTTTTCACTGATGCGTCTGGCCTACTTAGATCTTAACTTTTTTCACAAGTGTCCGTCAAACCATGAAACAGCAAAGTAGGTTGGACCACCGCTCTCCAGGCCAAATTTCCTTCATGATCTAAACAGGTCAAGTAGACAACTGTCAGTGATTTTATCGAGTACATTTCATGTTAAAGATTAGATGGATTTGTCACTGAACCTTTAATGCAAAATAAAAAGAACTTGTAGCCATTGTGTATGTGGAATGGATCAGAAAGCTAGTACATAATCTTTGCCTTTTTTCATACACCTATTGTCATCACCCTTGTCATCTTTTTTTTTTGTTCATTAAACATATTATTTATTTTTTCACATTTAGTCATATGGAATCCATGGGAGGAAAAGGCAAAAGAAATGTCTGATTTTGGTGATGAAGAATATAAATATATGATTTGCGTTGAAGGTGGAAAAGTTAGTTCCCCTGTTACTGTTGACGGAGGCAAACAGTTTGAATGTTCTCAGACCTTTATTATAACACCTGCTGATTGACTTGTTCTCAAATGTTTATTATAACTATATGAGGACAAACTGCAATCTGATTAAAATATAGATTTATATTTCGTTTCGGTTTTTTTATACTTTTATACATGAAGATCTGACAAGTTGCACTCGAAGGTCATGTCAGGGGTCGTACCAGCGGCTTTTGATCCTATGAGGTCGGGCATTGATTAATCAATCAGCCTTGACGTTTCTAGTGGTTTACCCACAGTTCCGTGCATGGCATGCTAAGAAGTCGCTGTAACAGACCGTTTCATTGGCTTATCCCTCACTTCAACCAAAAGCCGGTAATATAACAACTCTTCCAGATCCTAGTGTAGTAAAGACAAATAAAACAAAATTTTGATCTAAAAAAAAAAAACGAAACAAAATTAGATCTGTGTTTTAATCAGATTGGACAAACTGAGGTTATTTTTAAATACTTTTTATTATATTATTATTATACTTGTCAAGTAATCTTAATTTCATATTGGATTTAATTTTATTCACGGTAATATATGCATATAACTATATTATTGTGTATCTATGTGGATATTAAATTTTATAAGCATAGTTTTATATTCTGATAGTCACATTGTTAAAATCTATAACAAAATTTTTAACCCCTACACTTTACACATTACAAATTTTCAAGTTTGCTGTGATTGTTCATTTGATTGATAGGAAGAACCTTGTTAAAACTCGATGATAAGAGACCATACTGAATCAACCAATCTGACGCATCCTCAATCTGGCATGGTTGAATTACATATAATAGCATAGTGAAATTTTAATAGTACTTTCGTCAATGGAGGATGTGGTTCACCTTGTTTATGAAAAGTTCAAATTGTATAGCATAATGGGTTTGCATGTCATGATATATTTTTGATACAATCTTTATATTATAGATATGATTGTTATGTGACTAGTATTCTATTGTTATTTGTTATAATTATTGGATTTTATTTATGGTTAAATTTGGTTGAATTTACATCACATAAAATGATAATGAAATTATTATTATTTTTCTATATTTGTAATGTCATTTTGAGAAAATGACTTATGTTGGCTAAGCTAGTAAATGTAACTTGTCTCTGATTATAAATAATCACAACATGCCACGAACCAAGATCTCTTAAAATATTTTTTAAAAATACCTATTTTTTAAATTGTTTCGAATATTTATTTAGCCAGACTAGTTTTAATTGGCATACCGGTACCTACTGTAAATCATTCCGTTATTGTAGAACATTAATACTGTTTTTGTTTATTGTATGTGTTATTATTTTATACATGTTATTATTTTTCTGATGCATTATTAAGTGTAATTTCTGATTCCATTTATGGAAACATGCAATACAATTGTTGGTAAAATTTATTATTGTCATATGTATGGGGTTGGTGAATAAATAATAATAAATGTTAACCACATTGCTTATATTGAATTGGGTGCAGTTTACATTTTAGTCAAATTTAATTCAAATTATTTATTGTGATATGTTTGGGGTTGGTGAATAAAGCATGATATTATAACGATAAAGTTAATCACATTTTTATTTATATATCGAAGTTGATGCAGTTTACATTTTAAAAATACATGTATACTGCATTTTTATGATTTATTAATCTGGAAGCAACTAAACGTCATGTTGTGAGAATTATATCTTAATCCCTTCTACCAGTGATAAAACTGGTAACACATTTTCGATCTTCAGCAGTTTGCTAGGTGGTACAGCAGTTTGAGTCATTTCAAATTTCAGCTGTCATGTCCCTATAGCCACTATAACAGGGGTTACTTATTGAAGGGTAATTAAGATATTTCTGACATTGAATTTACCGATCATTACAAAATAAACAACTGGTTTGATACATGTTAAATTTATTCTACAAAGTCTGTACATTTTTAAAAATAACCTTAATGCTGTTATGGTAAAATATAAGAATGATGTCTTACATTTTCAAAAATATTACAAAATTTAATATCTTAAATAAATCTTATATATCTTAATTATGAGTGGACATCTTAATATTGTCAGTAAACCGTAATGCTGTTATGGTAAAATATAAGAATAATGTCTTACATTTTAATAAATATCACAAAATTTAATATTTTAAATAAATCTTATATATATTTTAATTATGATGAGTGAACATCTTAAAGCTGTCAGTAAACCTTAATGCTGTTATTATAAAATATAAGAATGATCTTCTCCCTCAGGTTAATAAAAGTTTATAAATAAATCTTTCTTCGATTTATAATGCTGGAATGGTAGAAAATAACATGGTAAATTATAAGAATGATGTCTTACATTTTAATAAATATCACAAAATTTAATATCTTAAATAAATCTTATATCTTAATTATGATGAGTGGATATCTTAAAGCTGTCAGTAAACCTTAATGCTGTTATTGTAAAATATAAGAATGATGTTGTCCCTCAGGTTAATAAAAGTTTATAAATAAATCTTTCTTCGATTTATAATGCTGGAATGGTAGAAAATAACATCATTTGTGTATAGATTATTAATATACATAAAATATATCATAACATAACAAATGTTCTAAAGTATGGAATATCATTATATAAAATGACTGTCTTTAGCACAAATTCAGAACAAAAAAACGTATCACATAATAAATTCATCTTTTTTAAAAACTTTTTCCAGATAACTACACCTCTGTCTTATTCATATTTATTGTTCATGGCTGACTTGGGTATAGATGAAACATTTATATTCTTTGCTTGTAAAATGTCTTGCCCTGTGATATGAATTCTTGATTATACAGATTCCTATCTGCTTCTAATTGATGTTTTAATGCTACCCTTCTAATCTGAAAAAATATAGTAATATTACTACTTGATGAATAATTTCTTAAATCAATATGATAGAAAATAATAAGGTGTGTAGCTAAATCTAGATTTTCACCATTCTCTACAGCACACAAGTACTGGGATGCAATGCAAACGCAATACTGAAATAAGATTTTGGAATGATCTTTGCCCTCTGGCAGAATGTAACCAGTGACGAACAGTGTCAGCACTGTGAACCCACGTGTGAACATGCAGATGTTGCCAAATAATGTGCCGGTCTTTGTCAAATAACAACAATCCACGGATAGATTCAGAATCGGTTCAGTGTAAGGCCCTCTGGCAGAAAGTAACCAGTGACGAACAGTGTCAGCGCTGATGAACCCATGTGTGAACATGCAAATGTTGTCAAATAATGTGCCTGTCTTGTCGAATTTTCATATATTGTCGTCCAGAATTTCAAGATTAAAGTTTATCTCAAACAAGATTTACGATCATCCATTTACAAAAGTGCTTTCACAAGTGTAATTTACAACTCTTGAAATTAAGTAAAGTTAACTTTACAAACAAGATCATTAACTATAAAAATAGTTCACTCGATCATGCACTTCAACTTTAAATTTGATTCCCTCACCCCTTCTTGAAGATCATGCATGAGTCTCCCAGTTTTAATTTCTAAATAGACTAAAGAGTATTGCCACCAACAGTTTTCTAAGATGGTCCCTTTTGTGGTCAATTCTTTTTCTTTATTTCTATGCATGACATATCCTATTCAAATTAAAACTTTTTGCTTAAAATAATGAAGGCATCCTGTACTTTCAACTGCAAGTTTGGCAAATACTTGTTCAAGCCAGTGTAACTTTGCAGCTAGTCATAAGGATGTACTATCGGGTGGCTCAGTGAGTAAGATGGGCTTTTGACCGAGAAAGTTCCTCATGATTTTCTGGCGTAGTTTCCCCTCATGGGTGGTGATGGATGGAGGGCCTGGCAAGGAACAGTGTCTAGTCGTTGTGATGGGACAAAACACCAAGGTCCCATGTACACCTCGGCATGAATGTAGACAATCCCTTGACAATTGCAATCATAAAATGGAAACAATTCAGTTGTAACAGAATTCATTATAGTCATTATTTACCTCTATTGCAGCTTTTGTGGCCATTTTTAATTCTTCTTGAATTTGTTTCATATTTTCTTTTACTTTTTTAAACTGACATTTTTCTTCTAATTCCTCATTCCATAAAGCTCTTTCATTTATCTGTTTTTCTCTGAAAATTAAATTTCAGCTAAGAAACAATTCTACTGTTTTGTAGTAAAAGAAATGTCACAAAATGATGAGAATTCCATGTGCATAACTTCCTTCCAACATTGTTAAGTACTTAAATTATGATTTACATCAACAAACATCAGTTCAACTAACCCTTTAAACTTTAATTTGAATGTAAATATTGACTACCCCTGTTCCTTGAAGAAGATTAAGGAAAGGGATATACTTCATACCAGTATACCCCTTGACAGACCAAACCCGGCTGAGATACCGGTATTTGAATAGTTCTCTGTATAAGGGCTGTTTTTTTAATTGTTATTATTTTTATGGGGGTCCAAGTGCTAAAGGTTTAAACTGGAGATCTGTAGGCCTAATCATCATTAGAATGAAATAGGCTAAACATAGCAAGTCAACTTGACCACCATGTGTTGCCACCACAGCAATTTCTATTCGATCTAAAACCAATTACATTTAGCGATTTACTGAATACATGTAGTTTATTAATAAAGAACAAGAAATACTTACAATCTTAATTGAGATACTTTATTTGATGTTTCTTCATCTTTCTGGAAAAAAAAGTTATTCAGAAATTAGATTGTTTATTAAACTAGAAAATAAATCTAGATAAAAGCATTTTTAAAATGTTAGTGGGTGGCTTTGCAACAAGAATAAGAACATGGGCCTATCTTAACTTTTAAGTGGCTGTATTTTACATCAAATGATTAATTAATTACCTGGCAAAAACAGTCCTGAGCCTGAATGGTATCCAACACTTATATTATAAAAAAAAAAAATCTGTATTCTCCAACTTGGATATCTAACATGGATCTGCCACTCAATACATGTTAGCAACTGAATTGAAAATTTTCAAGTCTCTGCCCTATTATGCAAACGCCACGGAGCAGAGGGCGTGTGTAATGAGACTATAGCCCGATAGGCTACCGGTACATAATGATGAATGTCAGTGACTGTATTGCGTACCGGTAATGTTTTTCAAATCCAATCCAATGCTAGATATACCGGTATTTAAATTTGAAATCTAAATAACAAATATACAATTTTCCATTTTTCTGGAATTGAATAAATGCACTGGTAGTAACTAGTAACCCAGTTATTTATTGTTTTGGGGTTTTTTTTCCCTCTAGTAGGCTCTAGACAGTCTAGATTCTATCAATTGCTAGGTATCATAATGAACTTACTCTAATGCGGTCACATTGCATTAAAAATGCCGCGCTTCTTGGTTGTGGTGGGCCTTCAAAACGTCTACAAATTTCCGAATTCATACTGTATGCGTGATATACAAGTTGGTCTCCGTGTAAAGTTGTGATAAATAATTAATTTTCACTAATGCGGTAAATACTTTCGATTTACTGTTAGTTGCTATCTGTTCACTTCACTCATGTGAATACTTATTGAAGAATATAGTTCGGGACAATATATGACTCTATCTATTATTAACACGCGCTAGTCCACTTTAAAGATATGCAATACAGCTTTTACAGTTTAGGTTTGTTTACACAGGTTCTAGAAAGTTTATTTTTTATTTTGTTTTCTGTTTTCATTTAACGGTAAACAGCGCAATAATACGCGACGAGTTGTCAATATAAACAAACATGACTGGGAATATTTCGTGTTTTATCACGCAAATCTAATAATGCATTTCATAATTATAGTAAGACCACCAATAGTCATTCCTTGTTTAGATTATATCTACTAGCAATCGATTTGTTCGAAATTCTATGTGAAATAAAGTAGCTGAGGGCTAAAAAATAATTTGGAGAAGACACATGGCCAAATTTGCAGGAGTTGCCCCCCCTTAATGCGTTTTTTTAGAGGTGGTGCCACGGAGTCAGAAGGTTGCCGGGTTAGATCTATTTCATAAGGCCAACTTCAAGTTTGGTAAAAGGTCACGAGATGTAAACAGGACTAGCACTAATCCTAAACCTAACCCTGACCCTGGCGGTGGCACGGGGTTAGATGGTTGCCGGGTTAGATCTATTTCATAAGGCCAATTAGCCAACTTCAAGTTTGGTCTAAGGTCACGAGATGTCAACAGGGCTAGCACTAATCATAACTCTGAACCTAGCCCTAACGAACCCTAACCCACAATCTCGCCAACAATCACGTGCCCTAATCTTACTTTTCAGAGACCTTGACGAAATCTTGAGTAGGCCTTAAGAAATAGATCTGGGCGGGCGGGGGAGGGGGGTGGCATGCTCTAATATCTGCAAAAACTTAAAAGAAAATAAAAAAAACAAAAACGAATTAAAGTCTAATACACACTTCCCAAAAAAAACCTCTAATGCAAAATTAAAGCTTTGGCCCACATAAAAGATCGGCAGCTTAACCTGTCGTTGATTCCTGCGCCTAGGCTATCCCAGCTGAGAACCCGATTGATATACCGGTCGCGGGTTAGATCTATTTGACAATTCAACATTTTATGGCTCTATTATTTAGAACCTTAAAATAGACGAAAATGGATCTGAATAGTACAATGTAACATAAATGTGGGCCTATATAAAGTGAATTATATTGTAATTTCTGATCAATTAATTTATTAAGTACGGTGAAATACTGGAACAGTCCAAATTGCACCACAGTTACTAATTACTTACACATTGTCTTGTACATATGCTGGTTGTTATTTTATTTTATTTTTTTTTGTTCATTATAAAGTATAGTGTCTTGAATATTGGAGTTTAGGATCCCATATATTCACAATTAAGATAGCTAGAGCAATATTATTTGAAAGGACCAATAATGAATTATAATTCATGTTTTCAATTTCGAATATTATGGAAAATATTGAGTTAAAGGAGCTTATTCTCTATTCTTTAGCACATAGAAATGGACACAAATGGGTCGCAAGGTATATAACAAAGTAATATGAATGTGTATATAGAGAATCTCCTACCAGTCTTTTTTGATATCAAAAAATATCAACACAAGTTGATAAAGTAACAAAAAACGAGGCTGTGTCGAGTTTTTTTTTTTTACTTTATCAACGAGTGTTGGTATTTTTTGATATCAAAAGAGACGAGTAGGAGATTTTATTTATCACCCAATCCCTTCTTACATGCACAAATAGATAAATATTATTCTTTGCTGTAGATATCACTTTTACTGACATTACGGCGTAGTGGTACATCATTTTTTGACAGCAATTCAACCATTGCAAAGTCCTTTATATGGACCCAGTGTTTCCATCAAGGTCAATTGAATAACAATAGTTCATTTTTAATTTTAAAAAAAAATTTACTTTTAATAAGAAATGAACTGTTCTTTGAAAATAAAAAAAGTAGTTCCTTTTCAACTGACCAATCAAATTCATGTAAAACGATATCTCCTTAGGAGATATCGCAGTAGATTATGAAATATATCACACAAGCGATATCTACTGTGCAGTATGGAGTATAATAATTTACTTCAGTTTAGAAACTTATTATTTATGGTCTGTAGAAAACAGGTACTAATTTATGTTTAAGGAAAATACGAGCCCACTGAATTATTCACTAGGGACACTGAACCCGACCCTACTTAGTCACTCTGCCCTTTGGGTCGTCAAAAAATATTTTTAAAGACACATGCCCTAATTATCTTTCTTAATGGCAATATTACTTGGGGCGGGATAGGGTATATTTTAAATGCCAAAAATAAATTTGCGGTGGGAGAGGGGTAGGCTAATCTAATATTTTAAGGAGCCAAACCTTATCTTACAGTGAAAAGATGGGCTTCTATGTTTCACTGGTACCAAAGCACTTAAAGAACCCAGCAAGGTTGCAGTATGACTATTGGAAATATACACTTTGAATAGCTTACCGTGGTTAAATGATCGTTCTTATCGTTATAAGATTTGTTTATACCATTCCTTTTACAATAATCGGATTTTTTGTATATACAGATATATAAGCTTAGTTTACAAAAAGTTCAATGTGACATGATATTGAATGGCATAAACCTACATTCTAATAACACTGACAGAACATACTTGTTCAGTGACTTCTCTAATGAAAAAATTTAGCAGTTGAAAACCGAGAAGACAAAAAGCGGTCTTTGGTCTCACCATGAATTTAGTAGGCATGTTTGTGAATAGGTTTATGTACATGTATATTATATATACAAATAAATTGTAATAATAATTGTACTTACAGCAAAAGAAAACATATTAACAGGGAATTTACTAAACAAGGAATTCCAAAACCTACCCAGCTAAATACTGGTATCGACATGCAGTGTCGATCTGTTTGTTTGTTTCTATGTAGGTTAGATACACGCACTGCCTGACTGAAGCCAATAAATGCCTGTTTGTTCTTTTTCTAATAGCTAATATAATCCCCTTGAAACTGTCTTTATAAGATAAATTGTACACAATATAATATGAAACCAGTATATTTGACTAAAGAAGTACACCCGTCAATTAATATGCAACAAAATATTTCAGATCACATATCTTTAAACATGCATTATGCAAGAGCTAAATCTGCCTATTGCAGGTCTTTCTTTAGGCCTTAAATGTTTTCTAAAGTATTAGACATTATTTAACTGATCCAGGCCTTAATCAACTGTCGATGGCATCAGATTTCTCCGATATTAAATAAATTAGAATGGTTCAGCGATACTTTGATTTAATCAAATATGGGGGACCGAGACTAATAGCCCGTTCAGACGCTTATTTTTAACCCAGTTCATAATCGCTGGGGTTTTTAAGACAGCATCGTGTTGCGTTCACACGTACTATAAGCCAAACTAGTTTAACTACTCTGACCTCTTCGGTCGGAGATTAGAGTTAATTGCGCATGGGTAGCTTCATATTCTTTATTCGGTTCTCGCACGCTTTAGATAACATTGGCACAGTCTGACCCCGATATTTTCACAGGAATGTAACTTACTGCGTACTGCGCATGCTCAAAGCAAGCTGGAGCTGGGGTTTTTAAGCCAACCCGTTCAGACGGCTATAAGATGAACCGGTTTAAAATAAAAAGCCTTCTCGAAGACAGGTCGCGAGCTGGGGTTTTTAAACTGGTTTATTTGCCCCACATGTGCGTTCAGACGCTTAAGTTAAACTGGTTTAACGATCCCCGGGGTTTTTAAACCAGTTCAACTTAAGCGTCTGAACGGGCTATAAGCTTCGATCAACCAGTACGGTGGTTGAAATTATTGCACACGTCTGTCAAACCTTCAAAGGCTAATATCTTCGCTTGCAATAGAGTAATTTGAATGAAATTTTCAAATTATTCATTTTACATCATCTACTTTCGAACTATTATAGCAAGAATGGCTAGTTCTTTATCTAAATCTTACATAATGTATCTTTAAGAGCGTAAATCTATATCTACATGACTTTGATTACAGACTAAATTTATTTTTATTTATTTTATAAACAAATAATTGAACAAAGAAAGAATTATGACATATAGGAATACACTAAGGATATATACTAGCATACAAAGGTGTACTCCTTTAAAGCCCACAAAAGAGCAGGAATTCTTCATGATTTAACTAATTATATTACATCCCATGTCACGAACGTGTGTTATTTGTATATACAAACCTCATCTCTCAACCCTTCATGTTTCGAAATGAAATGAAAAAGAAATGAAATGGGGTTTATTAACGTCCCACTGTTCTGCTCCGAACTGTACTAATGAAGACGGGCATACGCCATACAGTGTGCTATGAGGAGATAAGACATGGTGCTATATAGTTCCACGTAGCAAAGTCCAACGCAAATCACATCGGGCCTCAGTAAGCAAAATTAACAATATTTTTCATCAAAACAACGATTGATTATTGTTATTTATAACATTTCTGCCACATCCAACTACAATTATTAAGCATATAATCCTATCTGAAACGGGTATAAATCATCGTTTTTAAAATCGAGACGTTAAGCCTTTACCGGGAACGCCATTTTTAAACGGAAGATGGATATATATGACGGTGTATGTCGGATAAAAACAACGCGTCATTAATTTAAACGCGAATATTATTTGAGGTTAGGCGATAGTCGTGCCACTACATTGGCCTCTGTAAGTTTAATTAGTCATAATAGTATAAAAGTATCTTATTTTTAAGATGTTACATGCATTAATAAAGAAGTTGCGTTTGCCACTTGGAACTAAAGGCACCCAATCGTAGCTAAAAACAAGCACATCAGTATATATCTCAACATTTTTAGCTCCGTTCTCGTAGCTAATTTGTATATTGCCTAAGTATACTTTAGAAAAGAAAAGAAAATACAACCAAAATAGTGTTCGATTTAGAATTGTTTTGTTTTGAAGAAAAGTTAAAATCTAAATTTATTCATTTTTATTTTCCAGCCAAAAATGTCAATTACCCACTAGAACTTAATGGAATAATCAGGTTAATAACTACAGTTTCATACCATGGGTGCTGTGGGGTTTTCACGATATTTACAGCGATATGAAATATATCTAGTCAGCCCAACCAATTACGAAAAAATAGGCCCAGGGGCGTATCCACGGATGTTTATGGCCAATTAAAGTGTAGACTAAAATCCTAAATTGGTATGAAATCAGTTATGGAATTTGGAAAGCATTGTGTATATGGCCATTTCGAAATATAGTAAAAGAAATTGGCTTAAGAACTTAAAAATCGCGCATTTTGTTTCCGACAAAGTGTAATAATTTTCCATTTCATCAAAAGCTATGAATTTACCCGACCCGCAATCTGATTAAAATACAGATCTATATTTCGTTTCGTTTTTTTTTTAAACTTTCGATGGCCAACACTACATGCAAATCTGAGAAGTTGTACTATAAGGTGGTGTCGGTGTCAGGGGTCGTAAGAGCGGCTTTTGATTCTATGACGTCAGACATTGATTAATCAATCAGCGTTGGCGTTTCTAATGGTTTACCCACAGTTCCGTGCATGGCACGCCAAGAAGTCGCCGTAACAGACTGTTTCATTGGCTTATCCCTGACTCCAACCAAAACGCCGATAATATAACAACTCTTCCAGATCCTAGTGTAGTAAAGACAAATATAACGAAATTTTGAATTATAAAAAAAAAACGAAACGAAATAGGATCTGTGTTTTAATCAGATTGCCCGAGCGAGGAACCATCACAATGACCACCGAACTTCGGACTATCAACAGCCCTATCGAAAGTCAGGGCGGTGCACCTATGCTTTGTGGGGTTATTGCCATTGTCACAGAAGCCTGCTACACTTGCAATGAAGTTATTTTGGGTTATTTTTATAACAATTCTGTGTGTGTAGGTGGTTTTTTTTGTTTTATTTAAAAACAAACTGCCTGTGCTTGATACTGATAGTCTTATCAGAAAGAGAAATTCTATCGATATTCTACTTTAGCGGAGATATTGCTCCTGCCACGAAAACCTTGTAAAGGGTCCACACAGGTCAAAGGTTTGGGTATTTTCTTTCTATACGCCCATATTTCAGTGTGGTCGTAGTATGCCGTCGCCTTGTCCGTCGTTCCGTTTGTCAACAATTGGCTTGTGACCGCGATTCTTTTCCAATTTAGTGTGAAGTATCGTGGTCATGGGATGATGGACCCTGTCGATATTCAGCGTTCCGTGACTTTGCGTACCAAAGTTAAACCTCATTTTCTGAAAACCCTTTGAACGCGATCGAGGCTGTATTGATTTTAACGTTTGTTTTTCAAATTTGGTGGGAAGCTCTGGGGGTATAAGAGGATGAACCCTATCGATTTCCAATGTTCTCCGACTTACCGTTCCGGAGAAAGAGGGTCCAGTTTTTAGCGGAGAGGGAGAGGATGGGGTTTAACGTCCAATCGACACAAACTAGGTCGTTTCGGGACTAAGATATGGTTCATTTTTATTTCAACAATTCGCTGGCGCGTAGGGGTCTTTAGTGGGAGGAAACCAGATGACCAAGAGAAAACCCACGAGGTTGGACAGGCGACCGTACCACGCCACTTGACTCAATGACACCAGTCCTTCTGATCCAAATCGCACGCGTTAACCATCCGAGGGAGAACCTCCGAACACATACCCCTCCATTACATTAGGGGGAGAGCCCCTCCCCCTCCTATAAAGTTCTCTGCCCCTCCGCAGGCAGCAAGCTGACTGCGGGCCTGATTGCGAGTATTGCCTGTCAGATAATCAATCTATTTTTATTTGCAATATTTGCATTTAATTTTGACCCTCAGACTGTCGGCCTATCACTTTTCAGTGCGATATGACTAGAACTGAGTAATTGTTGTATTAGGATTGTATTTCTATTTAAATGGAACGGCGGGGTTTATACAAATAACCCCTTTATTAGTTTTATCGCAAACGAATATAAACAAGTACAGGACAAGATATAATTACACAATACAGTTGCCTAGCAACATGACGCCATTTCAATTCAATTTACCTGTGTGGTTATCTCCCTTGAAAGAATTTTCAACAGGTGCTCGATAAACCATAACATTCATTCTGTAACGCACGGATAAGTTTCGCTTTAGTTTCGTTTGAAGGTTCTCCAAAATGACAACAACATTTCGAAGCGCTGGATCGCAGAAAAATAACATTTGAGATAATTTCGTAGACCATCATAGTCAGATCTATATTTTCGTGTGTTCATTATTTTAAATTTTAAGAACATCAGAAACTGACGTTTCATCACTTCGAGTGAGGAGTGCTAAAAGGGAAATTTTATTGTGGTCATTTATTCGGAATTGGAGTATGAGATATTGGCCACCTTTCATTTTCGGAATATTAATTGTTTATCAAATAATTGGTAAGATACAATATATTAGCCTACTCAATGGGGTATTCGTTATTTTATGTCAATAACAACTAATACAATTTGATCAGTTCTTGTTTTTTCCGACAGATAATAATTTTTAATGCTGTCAATAAATATTTAAAAATAAACAAAATGGAAAATACATAAAAAAAACCCCTAAGATTCAATGTTTAGAAATCAGAATACTCCCCAAAAGCTGATCATTTAAAGGAGCCAAAGTCTCTAACTCAATATCATCCAAAATCTTCAACATTGAAAACACAATTTATTTGTCAAATTAAATCAACATTCATGTTGTGATCTTACCGGAAAAAGATGGGCTTTTGATATCCAATATTTAAGACAAAATAAACATTTTACCATTGGTACACGAATCGTGTACCATAATGCGCTTCAGCCCCAGTTGTATCAAGAGACTCGAGGGACGAGGCTAGACACATTGCACCAAATCAAACGGCGTATGTAGACTGGAATAACCAGACGCTAGAAATTTGCACTCGCTTGAGACTGCTGGCTTATTTCGCCGAACATAACTGATTTGAAATTGGAGTAAAAACGGAAACCATTGAATGTAAATCAGTTTATATACATTCATATTACAGTATTATATGCGTTGCGACCCACTTTTGTCAATTTCTAGTTCCAAAATGTTAGCGATTTAGCTCCTTTAAGTTGAATTAATAATTGGAATAGCAGTCAGATAATAATGTCTTAAACTAGTAGAATACTAAAACCAGCCTTAGATCATACTACTATTCATTGCCCATCCAACTTGCTCAAATTTCTCACATGTATAGAAGCCAGAAGGGTAGCCAACTAAATACAATGTACTCAGAAAATGATAACCCATAGCAAAATGAGCAAAGCTTGTCTTAGAAATAGACACATAAATAAAAATAAGTAACTTTCTGTCTGGTTTGATTATGTTGGATGGTAATTGAAATCTATAAGAATACAATTTTTGATACGTAATTATAACATTGTATAGCTTCACCAGTGATTAGCAAATATGTATTCATTAGTGTAAAAATTGCCTCAGAGACGGGCAAGATTTAATATAAAAGTAGATAGGTTATCTGTATCTAATTTCAAGATTATAAGATTAATTACACACTGCCATACATTTGTAACTAGAGGTACCCCATTAATTCAATTAACTCATTTTATTTCAGAACCAGTAGAAAGTGTAGGATGTAATTGTACTACAGATTGTGTTATTGTGTGTAGTGCGGGGGAATATTATGATGAAGGCACTTGTTTGAAATGTCCACCAGGCTATTAGTAAGTACAACAGTTGAATTATCTGAGTCATGTCATTTGGATATTGAAATTTGACATGGAATGGGGGTGAGGGGATGTCATTTGGATATTGAAATTTGACATTGTGAGGGGGGTATCTATAATTGTTAAAAATTGTTTGAAATGATATCAGAAGCTGAAATACAATTTCAATCACACATACCTCACAATAAAATTAACATCTCGATACACAATTGTGGTTAAAATGATGGACATGTGCAACTATCAACATCAATGTATCGATGTACAAGATGTTTTAGTCTTCCATTTGCATATTGTATCATGGGTTTTAAAAATATCACATATCAGACTTAATTACATCACAGTTTTTAAGAATATCACATATCAGACTTAAGTACATCATGGGTTTAATAGATATCACATATCAGACTTAATTACATCATGGGTTTTAAAAATATCACGTACCGTATCAGACGTAATTACATCTAATCTGCACTAAATAATATTGAGCCAAACTGTAACACCACTCCTAAAATAATGATATTTGAAGGACCCAAGAATGCCTTGTCCAAACTTCAAACACTCATAACTTTGCTCAGAATACAGTAATTTGACTGCAATTCATTTTTCATTATCTATTTTTGAATTTTTATAGCAAAAAAGGTCAGCTCTTTATAAAATTCTTATATAATGCATCTTTAATACACTAAAATTATTATAGATCTTCAGTTACATGACTTCTGTTCCAAGTGTTTATTCTAGATAATCCATTTATATTTTAACAATGGCGATGTTCATCCAAAAGCAGGTTAGAACATATGCTTTAATTATTTTAATATATTCATTCTTAATGATCATATATCAGATCTATTGCCGTGCTCTTTTTTCCTTCTTGTACGAGACTTCTAAAAAAACCTATAACATAACAATTTAGAGTATTTGTCCACAATTATTCATTTTGTTTCTTCTTCTACAAGACTTCTAAAATAGACAAAATACCAATTCAGTGCATTAGTACATGAATTATTCAAATTGCAGAAAGCAGTTTAATGAGTCAATACTCGTCTTTAAAAGAATTTTTGTTTTTGTTAAAAGTTTAAACAATAAATGTGTCAGTGGCATTGTTTAAGATAGTCTATTAATGAAATTATCTAAGACTAATCTATTGTATATTTTTGTATATGGTAGTAAGAATTCAATTGACATAACACCTTATAATCCACATTATTACAAATCCATTTAGCAGCAAATAATCTTGTTCGGTCAATAAATGATACAGTTTTATGAATAGACTCATTCACTTGGTTTGTCAGGTACTAGTGTTATAGAAGTATCTTTTGTAATACATGAATAGACAAAATCTAATGACATTCCAACCAGTACTTGTACTGTAACAATAGCTCAGTAACTTACAGTTGTGCACAGAATAGACTTATATAACAGACTTTTCCACTCCTTATATTTTTTATTGTAAAAATGGTTTCAGTTTTATCTGAGTAGGTAGTCGGTGTCAAGATGTGTACAGCTCATGACTCAAGCCGAGTATTTAACATTACTATTCAGTCAGGCCAGCGAAAAGTTTGAAAATTTGAGTCCATTTACTGACATTTCAGGTCATTGCTGGGAGCAAATTCTTGTTGACGAGAGGATCAGAAATTAGCTGTTGTACCATCTTTCCCCCCATGGGCCATGCATTAGTGGTACTACTAACTGAGTGGTTCGCTATAACTGAGAATATGATGGTGATGAGAGTGTGCAAGAAAATGTCAGATATGTTGACATGGGCATTTTCTTTATCAGACATTTTTAGTAATGTGTAAGATTTTGTGGGTCAACTCCAGATCAGACTGCGAAATCGAGATCAATTTATCTGAAATGAGATCTGTGTTAAGGCGCATACTTCTTACAAGTAGTGTGAAATACTTGCTGCAATCAAAAAAGGGGGGTGTCTTAAACATGAGATCGTAAACACAAATTAAGCAGCACTGGCAAAACAATCCTGAGTCTTCTATGCCTGTGCATCTTCTATACATGAAAACCGAGTTATAATTTTCTTACCTCCCAGGCAAAGAAATAACGATAAATATGGAAGGGTATCGCTGCCAATATTAAATGCTCTGCGAAAATGTCTTTTCTATTGATTACGTCTAAAAAATACAATGAACGAAGTCTTAATACCGGTAATGATAAAGTCAAATTACCTCTAAGGCCAAAGTTAAATGTAAAACATCGAATGCAATGTTTCAAATGTCAAATGTTTTATTGGAAAATACTGTTTTAGACGTATCTGCATTTGACATTTCCCTCATCACATTTGTTCTTCACGCTTTCTACATAGCATCTTAGGCAGAGCACAAAGTTTGATATGCAAATGTAGGATATCACATGACTTAACATATACAGAAATGAAGCCGAGATCAACCTGGCACACTATAAACCAGCAGCCCAGCACACTATCAGATATTTACATTGTCCGCGATATTACCTCGGTGAAAGGGTACGTTAAATAAAGCTATTTTACACATACAAGATATTTACCATACGATATTCAGGCAATCAAAATGGCAAACCATAAGAAATTCACTGGATGGCCGTGCCTGCAATAAAATCATGTGATTGGTATGGCTAATCCAAGCCTTTGACAAATCGAAAGTATAGTCTATATTTAGCAATTAGGTTACTGTCGAAAAAACAAGGAGGATTTTTCTTTCTCTAAAGTACATAATTATGAATGTGCCAGGAAATAACTGATAGATTCATAGAGCCATACAAACATACTTTCTAGTGATAAACATGATAATTGGAATTCGTATTAAGACCCGTATTTTGAACCCTCGCCACCGCCCCCACATCCTCTCTAAATTTTAGTACAGGCTAATTAACTTTAATCCAATTTTTAAAAAAAAGTATAATCATTGTGCCCAACAAATAATGAATATACGTGTAGGCTACTTAAAGAGAGGAAAATGTATACATGAACATGCTTTTCACCGATATGTAACATGATATCGTGAATATCGCATTATGACCCGTATGTTGACATTGCATACCCTCCCCCACTCCGTAATCATGGTAATATAGTTTAGTACCATCAAAATTTGATCGTTTTTTTCAAGGTAAGTAAATTTTTTATAGTGTGCCAGGTTGATTTCCCCTTATCGTGTGCTGGCTTATAGTGTGCCAGGCTGATCTTGGCCTCGTTTCCGTATATGGTAATGAGTCACGTGATAACTTACATTTTCAACGCAAATGTAAAATGTAATGAGGGAAATGTAGACACGCCAAAAAACAGCCTTTCCAATCAAACATTTGTCCTTTGACACATTACATTTGACATTTTACATTTAACTTTGGCCTTAGAGGTATTTTGACTTCATCATTACCGATTTTAGGACTTTGTACATTGTACTTTTTACATATAATCAATGGAAAAGACATTTTAGCAGAGCATTTAATATTGACAGCGATACCCTTCCATAGATAAATACTTTCACTAAACATGATACTGCCATTCAAATGCCACACTAAATTAAAGATTTCCTTCACAATATCACTGGCAGTACCAAACTTGCATATTTCAATTCGAAAGATTAGAAACACCACTTATAGTTATTTTTGAAAAACAAAATTTGAACAATTTACTGAGAATAACACCGTTGATAAAATTTGGAGACGCCACACTGAAAGATTTGGTAAAAATGATGAAGGTAGTGATGGTGGCTCATTAACATGGAGATTGGGGATTCGGAAGTTCCTGGTAAGGAAGAGTGTCAGGTCGTTTGGATGGGATGAAAAACCAATGTCACATGTAGCCCCACACGTTGACAGGCATGTAAAAAAAAAAAAGAAACCTTGACAGGTGGAATTCAAAATGATTCTAGGTCGTAAAATGTTCAGCATAAAGCAAATTGCATATGCCAGTCTTCATTAGCCCAGCTGGTGCAGAAAAATAAGATGCTAAACCCCATTTCATTTCATTACTGATGATGTCATTCTTTAAGAGTGGGAATTAAATGTGTTCACTTAAAATCTATATATGTTGATCTGAGTAACTATCATTATCATCAATCTTTATTGTTAGACCATCTCCATTATAAAAACACTAAATCATTGTAATTTGCTTCAAAAAAATGTTTTAAATTTTCAAAATTCTGGTTACCAATTATGAATGCTATGCTGGACAGAGCTCTTATTGGAATTTTATCAGTTTATCTGCTGGCGTGTGTACTTTAGATCATCAGGTCTATCTGAAATTTAGGTGTCATTGTTTCTATCCTAAACTTGATGTTACAATTAGTGTAGCCTCCCTATCCTCATGGATTTTTCGATTATCTTTCCATTGGTTTAGAAATGACCTTGTTGGTAATGAATGGGCATTAAATACTATTCTGTCTTGTTCAGGTCACCGTAGAGTGCCTGGCAGATCTGTTTTTAGAAATAAGTATTTCTCAATGAATAGAAATACTCCAGATAGTTGATGCTCCCATGGCCTTTTAATTAGACCATATGACATTTTTTTTTATCTTCCTCATGCATAGTCAACAAAAGTGTTTATATGTGAAGGTAATGGTACTTATTGCTAGCATTTATCAATATTTTATTCAATAGCTGCTATTGCATATATTTAAAATGTTGTAATTTGATATTATAAGTACTAGTTGAAGGTTGGTGTCTTAAGTTGTATATCTATATTGACAGTAAGCTCAGAGATTATTGCTTTATAAATTGAAAATCAACACTTACAGAAAAATTACTTCAGATTATTTTTATTCTCGATCCCAGTTAGATTTCTATTTGACTACCTGGCTGAAAGCCAAATGGGCATTTAATACAGATACCTATATAGAGTTGACTATCATTATAGAGTCCCATAGGAAATATATAATTTATCCATGACTGTATCGTATGCTTTGTCACTTTTATTGTGATCCATTGCCAACAAGTTCTCAAGATTGTCAATATATATATTTTATATATATATCTCTCTCTCTTTTATGCGACAGTGAAAACCCTTTGGTATGTAAGTTTCATTCAATAGTTGCATGCTTTTTGCTGACCTTTAAGTCCTATGTCAACTCTATTAATGTTGGCAATAACAAAGTTCTGACCAACATTTCTGGCACAAGATTAATTGTTCAAAATTACTTTTCTTTAAAGATACATTATGTAAGATTTAGATAAAGAGCTGACCATTCTTGCTATAATAGCTAAAAAAAAAAAACTAATGTAAAATGACAATATTGAAAATTTCATACAAATTACTTCATTCTGACCCAAGTTATCACTGTTTGTAGTTTTGACAAGATGTGTGCATTGTGGTAACCAGGGGACTGGTAAATATTTGAGACTTGGCCTCACTTTCCCATTTTTAAATTAAATTTTTAAATGGCGAACCGTTCTAATAAAGTTCATATCTCAAGTATCCGATGCCATCAAGAGTTGATAATGGTCTTGTTTTGTTAATAAATGTCAAATTAATAGTTTATATAACATTTAAGGCCTAAGATGCATTATGTAAGAATTAAATTTGCCCGTCGCCGAGTGTGTTTCTGGCTTCAAATGTTACATAAATTATTATTTAGACATTTATTCACATGACAAGCCCATAATAAACTCTCTAGACCATTGGATGTTTTAGATATTAAGTGGATTAGACAATGCTTCCCATGATGAAAGGACTGACAATCAATTAAGACCTCTTTGATTATCATGGAAATGGTAATTGACAATTGAGCACTTGATATGTATAAAAACTTGCAACCTGCTTTTGTCGAGGCAATTTATAGTTATTTTTTTTATTTTAAGAAGAATTATTGTATAGAAAAGAAAATTAACTTTATACACTATAAATTATCAATAAGAGTTTAATGATCATAATATAAACAAAATTTGGTTAATTATTTTTGTGACATCTGTGTAACAATTGGTTAATAGTGAAATTTAAAAAAATAATCGAAATCTTATATAATACCATAGATATCTACTGGGAACATATAGTTAAGATCGTTTTCTGTATTTAAAATAGATATGAATTGTTGCAATTATGATAACTGCTATAAAAAGAACAGGTGTTATCATTCAGATTTCACCATTTCTGATATTTTTTCAATTAAGGGTACAAAGTAATGGATCATGTTTAATTTACAAGTAAATTTGGCATTAGGTTTTTTAGGACAGAATAAGGATATGTTGTCACTATTTAGAGCTAAATGGGTCATTTTTTAGTTGAGTTTGACACATGGTATTAAACTGATATTTGAAAACCATTTGGCCATTAATACGTGTTTGACTATACTAATGCTACCAAATGGAAGTCATCATACAATGATCAAGTTATATGATATAAAAATTGTACCCAAAAGGTCAGCTGGACAAAATGATTTGATAATTTTTTTTTTAAAAAAGCAATCTGATTAAAACAGAGATTTTATTTCGTTTCATTTTATAGTTCAAAATTTAATTTTACTTGTCTTTACTACACTAGGATCTGGAAGAGTTGTTATATAACACACATTCTGGTTGATGTGAGGGATTAGCCAATTAAATGGTCTGTTGCGGAGAATTCTTGGCGTGCTGTGCACGGAACAGTGGGTATCCCACAGTGGGTATCCCACTAGAAACAGCAATGTCTGATGTCATAGGGTCAAAAACCACTCGTTTGATCCCTGACGCAGCCTTCCACTACAACTGGTCAGATTTTCATATAGTAGAGGCCATCAAAAGTATAAAAAAAACTAAACCAAATATAGATCTGTATTTTAATCAGATTCTTTAAAAAGCTTCACTAATACTGGTACTATTTTTTTTATTACTGAAATATTGTTCAAGCTACTCATTCAACTTGTAAACTAAAGGCAAACAAAACTTTATCATCTGGTACATGTAAATATTGACTATCCCACTTCCCTGAAAAAAATAGCGATTTGTATTCGGTTGCTCATTTTCAAAACCGGACAAAACCACCTCTCCCTAGACCACCTCAAACTACGTGAGTCATAGAAATATGGTCCTTAGATAGCTTACAGTTTTTTACTTGACTGTTTTGAGCAGCAGTTTAATGCAGTCTAGGTGTTAAGGGTTAATTCTGAGAATTTTAAAATTTAAAAAGAAATTAATATAATTATTAGTTGAAAGTATGAAATCTAAGACAATTTCTAAATCTTATGATCATTCTGTTATAACAGTAATAAATTGTATTGGCAAATTGTCAAATTATTAGTCCTATAAACACTTGAAATGGATATCTGAAAAATAATATAGGTCTGATTATACATGCATAGAATTATCGGTTTATCACACTGTTATTGTTATCTTAAGAATGGGTAGGGTAGTTGTTATAAATCAATTTAATATAAAGCTGCTATAAGCCCTAAAGGAATTTATTTATTGTTTGTATTTTTGTCTCAATATATATGTCTATGAACATCATTATATAAATCCAGTTTTTATATGCCCACATTTTCATGTGGACCTATATTGTCGTCGCCCCCGTCCGTCCGTCTGTGTGTCCGTTCACAATTTGTTTGTGGTCACACTAGAGGTTACAATTCTTATCCGATTTTGACGAATCTTGAAATATAGATATATCTCCAAAAGATCTTGGTTCCTTTCAATATTGGCATGTATTGGATCATAACTTCCTGAATTATGGCCCTTGATTGTACAAAAAATCGCATAGGTCAAAATTTATATCTGATTTAAAAAAAAGTTTGAATATATCACCATTAAACCCTAATGATGGTTGAGTTCAAATTCTGTGAACATCGGACCAAAACCTCGAGACAAAATGTCCATTCCTCATACACAAATAGTGTAAAAGTATATAATACCAAGGTGTTGGATTTTCTAGAAGTCACAATTTTTATCCGATATTGATGTAACTTAAAATATGTCCCAAATATCTCAATCCATTTCGATATTCTCGCATTTCAGACCATAACTTCCTGGATTGTGGCCCCTGATAGTACGAAAAATCCCTTTTTTTTATTTTTAGCTTGTTCTCTATCCATCTCTTGCAAAATGTGGGTGTATCTTGCCTGGCAACCGCTGGTTATGCAATATATCATGTTGGATCGTGTTGATGCAAAAACTATACAGGATATAAGATACCAAGTAATTTATATTAAATTCCAGGTTAAAGAATGGGTGTGTCTCTAAAATATCATATCTGTAAACAATCCATGATATATGTGAACATAATTCAGTTACACTATTTTAATTTGTATAAATAAACTGATCCAAATATGGGTGGAGAAAAAAACTATTGTATTTTTAAAATGTTATATATCGGCTGTAATTGTCCCTTTTGTTTTTATATGATTATTTAAATTTTCAACAAATTTTTAGTTCCTTTTTCTTTTGTTTTAAAATTGTTCAGAACAGAACAGTAGGACATTGAACCCCATTTCATTTCATTTTGTTTTAAATTAGATTTTGTTTAGCATGTCCAAGTTTTATCATTGTGTTGTGTTTTTACTTGTGTATTGTAAAAGAGCCAATAAAAACGTAGCTCTTCTGATGACACCTGGACATGTGTATAACTTAGTATAACCATAAAGATGAAATGAAACGATTGATTAATTAGACTGAAACTTAATTAGCTATATATGATATATAATTTCCTTGTGTATACAGTTGAATGACAAAGAATTCAGAAAAAACCTGTGACACAGATATCATAATCATGATTAGTTTGTATGTAAGAAATGTAATGATGAAACTGGCAACCCCATTTTAATACAATTGTTGATCAAAGTTGTCTTAAGCGGAGATAAAGGGGGCATTATAAATAATATTATAGATAACTATACATCAAAACACTTTTGGTTTAACTGTCTTTCCAATAAAAAAAGGTTTAATAGCTTCTCAAAAAGATCTTGTTTGGTACATACATTATTTAAATGAAAATATTGATTTGGCATAATGGTTGTTTTAACCCTTTCTGAAGACAAAAGACATCAACAAGACTTGATTAATTATTAAATTACCTGGAACAATCAGTTAAACTAGTATAAAGTATCTAACATCTTGACCTTGAGTAGGGACGTTTTATCTTCAATGAATATTTTATTAAATGAAGTTGATATATATATATATATATATATATATATATATATATATATATATATATATAAAATAAATGAAATTGCATAAATGAGGTAAAGGTAAAGCATCATAATACAGTTGTTTTTCTGAGTCTAATTTAAAGAATGATTTAAATAATTGTTTCAAGTGCAGATTGTATACATTGGACATCAGTTTTCATTCTGTGTGAATGACTAGGCAAACTTTCCTTGTTATCCCTGACAAATGGGAATCAGGCTTCAAATATTCTGATGGTTCTTTATTGAGATTGTTACCTTTCGTATTCCCTTAGAAAAATAAAAATCGTGTTTCAGATTATTAATTTTGGATTCTAAAAGAATATTGATGACTAGTAGAATAAGGCAAAACGTTTTTCATGTATTAGTGGTTTTGTTGATTAGAATATTAGAAGTTAAAGTATGAAAAGAACTGTAATCTCACATAGATATCAACACAAGCTTTTGTTTGTAACAAGTCAGCATGTTCCTTACTTGCAAGTTTTGGTATCTATTGGATTAGACTATATATTATCTAATATTTCTTACACAAAAAGCATAAAACAACTGCAAGCTTTTAAAACATGGCAAGGTCAATTTCCAGTCGCTAGCAACCAACTTTGGATAATACTTTACTGAGTTTACATAAGAAAAATAAGGTCTATAGATATTACACAAATAACATATAATTCAAATTATTCTTTCTTGTAAACATTTTAAACATTAAGAAAACTCTCCACCATGCTCTATATTGTTTCAACTGAAATTTGTGATTATAAAACTGTAATGTTCTCTAGATGTTAACAATATTGTTTTCCATGCTTCTAGCTGTACTGGTGGATCAGATCCAAGGACACCGTGTTCCCCAGGAACAGCTAACTCTAATTGGAATAGTACTCTGTCGTCTGATTGTCAAGCATGCTCAGCCAATGAATACAGTGTTAGTGCTGCTGCGGCATGCACTGCGTGTCCGGCAGGATTCAGCTGTTCTGCCAACACTCTGACGGCATGTCCCAGTGGAACATATTCCTTGCTAGGAGAAATGGTCTGTACAACATGTCCAGCAGGAAAAATTTGTCTAACAACAACATCTGCTCCTGTGGTAAGTAATTGTTTTAGTTTTTATATGCCCGCATTTTCATGGCCGCCCCTTGTACGATTTTGATGAAACTTAAAATGCATGTTTATAACCCAAAGATCTGGGTTCCTTTCAAAACTCGCGCATATTGGATCATAACTTCCTGAATTATGGCCGTATATTGTCGTCGCCCCTGTCCGTCCGCGTGTCCGTTCACATTTTATTTGAGGACACTCTACAGGTCACAAAGTTTATCCGATCTCCCAAAGATCTCGGTTCCTTTCTATATTGGCATGTATTGGACCGTAACTTCATGGATTATGGCCCCTGATTGTACGAAAAATCATGTTTTTAGCTTGTGGACACTCAAGAGGTTACAGTTTTGATCTGATTTTGATGAAACTTGAAATGCATGTTTATGACCCAAATATCTTGTTTCCTTTCGATATTCGTGCATATCGGATCGCAACTTCCTGAATTATGGCCCCTGATTGTACGAAAAATCACGTTTTTAGCTTGTGGTCACTCTGGCTGGAGGTAACAATTTTTATCTGATTTAAATAAAACATTTGAATATATCACCCTGATGATGAAACTGCCTGACAAAATGGCTGCTCTTTGTACGCAAATTATGTAAAAGTATGTAATACGAAGGTTGTGGACCCTCTAGAGGTCTTAATTTTTATCCGATTTTGATGAAACTTAAAACATATCTTTATGTCCCAAAGATCTGTCCCTTTTGATATTTGCACATTTCAGGCCATAACTTTGTGGATTATTGCCCCTGATTGTACACAAAATCGTGTTTGTTTTTAGCTTATCCTCTATCCATCTCTTGCAAAATCTAGGCGTATATCCTGCCTGGCAGCCGCTGGTTTTTAATCCTCAAATAACCATTTGACAGCATGTGTGCTAATATTATTTTAAATAGAATAACTTAACAGAAGTATGTGCACTGTACGTCAATCGTTATTTAACATTTACTACATCAAATTTTATGTTTTGAACATAGTCACCTGAATTTGTTCCACAACTTTTCTGAGAAAGTTACCCTGCTTCTAATTGATATAGAATGTTCAAACTTGCTGTAGAACTGCAGATGTTTATTAAGTGAATGTCTTGACTTACTTCAATAATGAACATTTTTTTCCTGAGGTTTAGCAGAGATTTATTGATGCTTGGAACACAATAACTTTGATTCTAATTGAGTGTATATTTTCATTGCATTAATACCATGACAGAGTTCCATGAGCATTTTCTATTTGGGTTAAGCAGAGTATTAAGTAAGCAGTTTGAATTGTTCTAAAAATATTTGAGAAACATTTTGTTGTAACTTTTGTCATTCTTGTTTTAGGATTGTTCTGCTGGACAAGAGCCAAATAGTGGTCAAACAGCTTGTATTAATTGTATTGCGGGAAAGTACAAACGACAGTCAGATGCATCATGTCAACCATGTCCTGCAGGTAAAAATAGTTCTACATTCTATAATTCCTTGTTTATTGTCTTACATTCAACAAACTCTCCCAATATATACTGAGCGCCATGGAAAACGCATCACTTAGTTTTTCGTATAACAAAACGATCCTGTAAACATATCTTATTTATTTTGCTTCTTATGGTGAACAATATTCAAATGGGAACACATCAATAACAACACATTTGTACACTTATGGATGTTTAATCTGTAATCAATGGTACAAAGTCAGAGGGGTCAAAACCAAAAGTACGACACAGATGTCAGTAGCGCGTGTGTCCTCCACAGCTCTTATGCACGCTGTGCAGCGACGTCGCATGGAATTAACCAATGTTTGAAAGAGGGCCTGGGGCAAATTGTTCCATTCTGGACAAGAGCAGCTTCTAAAGCAGCAATGGTGTGCATCTGTGGTCTCCGATACAGACGGCGTCCAATCTCATCCCAGACATGTTCTATCGGTGCCATGTCCGGATAAAGATGAAAGCGACTCTCATCACTGAAGAGCACACTTTGCCAGTCTACTCTTCTCCATGTCTGGTGTCCTTGAGCCCATATCAAACGCCGCCGACGGTGATGATCCCCGTGGATAGCTCCAACATAAGGTCGTCGTGCACGGAGTCCTACTTCTCTTAGACGACGTCTTACGGTGTTGGCAATTACTGGTCCTTGTCTTCCGACAACTGCTGCACCTGTTCGAGTCGCTGGGCGGAATCTGTCATGCAGATGAGTGACCCGGATGTAGCGGTCTTGAGTCTGGGTTGTAACGCGTTGTAGACCAGGACGTTGACGGTCACGTGTTGATCCAGTAACTCGAACACGTTCCACCAACCTTACAATAGTGGACTGATGACAATTGAAGTGTCTGGCAATAGCATGTGTAGACATGCCAACCCGGGCTTCATTCCGTTGATTTTCAGTAAGTCTTGGCATCTCTAGCTCGATTCCTTCACACGTCCAACAACAAATTACGACAGATTGACTTTTCACAGTTCATGTACTGCACATTAAGTTGAAAACATGCTTTTAAAGGGCTCACACACAATGCTGCATGTGAATATTGGGTTTTTCATGTGCATCTCGTGCAATTTTTTTTTGAGCACACGGGCCGATATTTTTTGCGTTTGGGAGCATTGTGTGAAACAATAGTTCATAGTATTGCATAATATTATACATACAAAACCACCTAGTAATAAAATATTTGGGAAAAAAAGTGATGCGTTTTCCATGGCGCTCAGTATAGATATACTTTAAAATATTTTCAGAATTCATCTATTTTTATCAGATTTTGAATATTTAAACCTTGCTCTTTTTTGTGATGTTGAAAAAATGTTATATATTTCATTTTATGTGCATTGACAAATGGGTAAATTATCAACTGGTCAATTCCAGGACCAGTCACTCTGGTAAAATAAAACCGAATTGAAAGATTAGATATGAAACTAACATTTAAAAGCTAGTTTTGACTTTGATTTTCTTAACATCGGCAAAGTTCCCCAGCTGTGGCTTTAAATATTTCATGCAGATAAGCATTATAAAGTAAAGCTTTATTATTTTTTTGTATAGGTCTGTATTGTTCATATGTATTTATCTTCTCAGGTTCCAAATGTCCGTCAGATGGATTGGGATCTGCAACTGTTTGTCCTTCTGGAGAATATCAGCCTACTCCAGGTTCATCAACATGTCAAGATTGTCCAGCAGGATCAGAGTGTTCAGATACCACTACAGCAAATCAGTGTCAAGCTGGTCAGTTCTCATTATCTAGATCTACATCATGTTCACCATGTGCTTCAGGTAAGTCATAAGGACATAAGAGTATCATATTTCATTTTTTAAATATCCCATATAATTATGTAGTCCAGTGAGCTTAAATATTTTAAAACATCCATGAATTGTTCACTATAGTAATTTTCATTATAATCTTAAATGTTTTCTTTGGTCTTGAATGACATCTCCGATATTATGTTATTGTCCCATAATTTAATGTTTTTGTCCCATAATCTATCCCATAATCTAATGTTTACATCTTGTTATCTAATGTTTATCTCATTGGATCATTTCTTCTGCTGCTTATTATATTTGCTTAAAATGACAGATATTCATTCTTAATATGTAATCATTTCATCTGCTGCTTATTATATTTGCTTCAAATGAAAGATGTTGATTCTTGATAAGTAATCATTATTTATGCAAGTATATTTATCCATTAGGATCTTACAGTGCTGCTGGTTCAGAAAATTGTATAGACTGTCCACCTGGAAAGGATTGCACCAATTCATCATTAAGTGGAGCCGGTCTATTGGATTGTCCTGCAGGAACATATAGTAAACAAGGTGATGCAGGATGTACTAATTGTCAAGCTGGATATTATAGTGATTCTGGTGCACAATCTTGCACTATTTGTCCTGCCGGTCGGGACTGTAGCCACCCAGCTTCGAATTCAACATCACTACCATTTTGTCCCACTGGAACTTACAGTGCTGAAGGCAGTACAGGATGCTCAAATTGCTCTGCAGGGTATTATAGTTCTTCAGGGTCTGGTTCTTGTACACTTTGTCCTACTGGTAAAGATTGCAGTGATGTATCTTCAACACCAACTGATTGTTTAGCAGGAACCTACAGTGCAGAGGGAAATTCGGGATGCTCCAACTGTTTGGTAGGATATTATTCTTCATTGGGATCTGATTCATGTACAGTTTGCCCTGCTGGTAATGATTGCAGTAATCCATCATTATCACCCACTCAATGCACTGCAGGTACTTTTAGTGCAGAGAGAATTTCCAGCTGTACAAATTGTCAAGTAGGTTATTATAGTTCTGCTGGGGCTGCCTCATGCACTGTTTGTTCTGCTGGTTATGATTGTAGTGATCCAGCTGTGACACCAACAAAATGTCCTGCAGGAACATATAGCTCAGAAGGGGATGCTGGGTGTACAAATTGTGCTAAGGGCTATTACAGCATCTTAGCTTCATCAAATTGTACTATATGTCCTGCTGGATTCAACTGTTTCAATGCTGCAACTACTCCAGTACAGTGTGCAGCTGGAACATACAGTTCAGAAGGAAATGCAGGCTGTACCAGCTGTGATATAGGTAAATTTAGCATGGCGGGTTCAGCAAACTGTACCCTGTGTCCTGCAGGAAAAGACTGCAACACAACCAATCTAGTTGATTGTCCTGCTGGTTCATACAGTCCTGAAGGAGGTGCTGGGTGTATAAGTTGCACAGTGGGATATTACAGCACAAGTGGATCTGGATCATGTACAATTTGTCCTGCTGGTAAAGACTGCAGTGATCCTGCAGATAATGGATCTGGATTAAGTGACTGTGTGGCCGGTACATTCAGTAAAGAAGGTAATGCAGGGTGTACTAATTGTCCTACAGGGTATTACAGTCCTGAAGCAGCTGCACAATGCATAATTTGTCCAGAAGGCAAAAATTGTTCTCATCCTGGGTCTATCCCATCAGATTGTCTAGCCGGAAGTTTTAGCAGAGAAGGAGATTCTTCTTGTAGCGTGTGTGCTGTTGGTTCTTACAGCTCAGTTGGAGCAGGTAACTGCACATTGTGTCCTTCGGGAAAGAGCTGTTCAACTGACACACTCTCAATTTGTTCATCAGGAACTTTTAGTAAAGAAGGTGAAAATACCTGTAGAGTTTGTCAAAGTGGATATTACAGCTTGGCTGGAGCAAATGATTGTACAATATGTCAAGCAGGCAGGAATTGTTCTAGTTCTGCTATATCCAGTTCGTTTCCACCAGATTGTCCTGCGGGTACTTATAGCAATGAAGGAAACACTGGGTGTATAGCTTGTGATATTGGCTATTATAGTAGAATTGGAGCAGCTAATTGTACAATTTGTCCAAGTGGGTACGATTGTTCAAATCCAGCTTTGATTTCTGTCAGCCTTACAAAGTGTGAACCAGGAACATTCAGTAATGAAGGAGATGCAGGATGTAAATCATGTACAAGAGGTTATTATAGTATTGTTGGTTCAGCATCATGTGTGATCTGTCCGGCTGGTAAAGATTGTAGCAATGTAACCAACTTGACATCTGCTCCACCAGAATGTACAGGCGGAACATTCAGTAGTGAAGGATTTTATGGGTGCACAAATTGTCAAGCAGGTATATAAACTGTGGGTTGTACTAAATGTTGGTTTTATTAAATGTTGGTTTTATTAAATGTTGGTTTTGGTGCATGTTAAATGTCTTGATTGTTTTATGTTGTAATATTACTTACCCTATGATCACTTATGCAGCACTTATTACAGTAACTAAACCAGAATGAAGGACAACTTTTGTAGTGGTCAAATGACTATTGATGGAATTATTGTCCATGCTTTTGAAATTTATTGTTTTTAGACTAAACTTAAGTGTCAACTAGTTAACTCACAAAGATACTAATGGAACAAAAAGTTGTTGATTTCCTTGTTTATTTCGATTTAAAGCTCAACTCCGATTACAAAACTACAGAAATAATTAAATAAAAAAAAGTTTACTCGAACACACACGTAAGACACTTATTTAAATATCTTCTCACCTATTTAAAATTTTAATTGATCACTGGCTTAATTCAACCTTATTATTTACCTTACACACAAATATTGATGAAAGGGAAAACACCATAATAATTTAGTTTATAACTATTGTTCTTTAAGGTGTATTATGTAACAGCTAAATCTGACTATTGCATGTCTTTTTCTGACTTCTTGTTATTCAAATTATTCTTGAGGTATTTATTCACATGAGATGCCCATAATCAACTTTCTAGAACATCAGATGGCTTAGGTATTGAATTTATCAGAACACTCATGCGTTTCATAATTTAACTATAAAATTGATAATCAAGACCTTGTTATAATCGCAGCAATGGTACTTGACAATCAAGAATATCCTGTCAAAACTTCAAACACTCATAACATCATTCTGACTGAAATCTTCAATATATTCAGTTTTCATGATCTATTTTTATATGCCCACATTTTCATGTGGATGTATATTGTTGTTGCCCTGTCTGTCTGTCAAAACTTCAAACACTCATAATATCATCCAGACTGAAATTTTCAATATATTCAGTTTTTGTGATCTATTTTTCCAATTTTTATCCAATTTTTGCCGAAACTTAAAATATGGGTTTATCTCCCAATGACCTCGGTTCCTTTCGATATTCACGCATATTGGACCATAATTTCCTAGATTATGGCCCCTGATTGTATGCAAAACCGCTTTTTTAGCTCGTGGTTCCTCTAGAGGTCACAATCTTTATCCGATTTTGATGAAACTTAAACTGTATGTTTATAAGCCAAGGATCTCAGTTCGTTTTGATATTCGCACATATCGGACTAACTTCTTGGATTATGGCCCCTGATTGTATGAAAAATCGTAATTTTTTTCTAGTTTGTTCTCTATCCATCTCTTGCAAAATGTGGGCGTATCTTGCCTGGCAACCGCAACTATTATAGCAAGAATGGTCAGCTCTATATCTAAATCTTACATAATGCATCATTAAGATCATTTCCAGTTTTTCAGTTATATTCAATATAATTTTTTGGGTATTGATTTTTTCTCTAACAAATATCTGATGTTCTTTGTAAAGCATGGAGTCACTAGTGCACATATATTTTATTGTGTTTGTGACCAATACTCATTTCTGTATGTATGTCACTTTACCATATGTCATTGTGATAGTAATTTGATATATATTTTGTGTTTTATGTTGCATGTTTGTCATTTAAACAGTAATCATATCCTGTACTGTAAAAGTCAAATTGATCATTTATTTGTGTTAATTACACATTTCAATATAACTGCAAAGACTAAACCTAACCATATATATATCACAGTTTATTTTAAGATACATGTACAATCTCTATTTGTAAGTCTCTAGAGGGTCACTACCTGTCTTATAGTAATTAAGTCCTTGTGTACAATCATATAATTGTTTCATGTGTTAAACCTAATTTAAGACACATTACTAATTGTTTTACAGGATATTATAGTAAGATTGGTGCAGGAAATTGTACGATTTGCCCTGCTGGTAAAGATTGTAGTGATCCAGCTGTATTAGGTAGCGAACCTGTCGACTGTATATCTGGTACCTATAGTAAACAAGGAAACCATGGCTGTTCTCCATGTCCTTCAGGTGATTCAAACTGTCACATGTTTTGTTATGTGCTTTATATTTATACAAATGACAAAAAAAATGAATAAACATTTTTATATGGATTACCGGTACATAAATTTAAATATTACACCCATGTTTAAACATGCTTCATATCCAAGTTATTGAACCATACTTTGTAGATTGATGCCATAGCGTAGGACGTTAAACCCCATTTCATTTGATGCCATAGCATCTAGTGATACTGTAATTATGCATATAAATAATGAAAACATAAATATTTAACCAAATGTTATCAAAGCAGCCAAATTCTTTAGAGGCGTAAACATATTCCTAAACTGTTCCACAATCCAATATCAAATTAAATAAGATATTCTTTGTTAAACAAGATAGAATAATATGAGATGCAGACTATCAATGTTTGATTTAGAATGTGTATATTTGAAAGATAATGGTTTATAATTTTGATATTGGTATTACAGGTTTTTATAGCAGTGCTGCTGGTGCTTCAAGTTGTTCAGAATGCACAGCTGGATATTACTGTACATCTACTACACAAACTCAGTGTGGATCAACTAAATACAGTGATGCTGGTGCTACAGTTTGTAAAACATGTCCTGCTGGTTATACTTGTCCTGGACCAACAACGTCTGTTGCCAGTCAGTGTACACAAGGAACATATGCAGGTGCAGGAGCCACTTCTTGTACAGCCTGTCCTCCTGGTTACCAGTGTCCTCTAGGTGGTACTGAAACTCCAGAAGCATGCACGAATGGAACATATGCCAGTTCACCAAATACCATTACATGTAGTTTATGTCCATTAGGTATGTTGTACATGTAACAGATTTAACTTTATTTTTATGTCATTTTTTTTTTATCTTGCTGTGTGTGTGAAATTTGGTGTAATAAAACAACAAATTTTAAGATACCTTCCCACATACAAACTGTGTGATTTGATGATATATTTGGACTAAAAACATATTCAAACTAATTAATCTATCAAAAGTTTGCTTCAAATCCCTCTCAAAACTTTGTATACTTGAGGAGATACCCCAAGTTATAAAAAATCAACTTTTAGAAGCCATGTTTGTCACCTAACTTGATTGAGGGAGGGTCCATTTTTCAGAATGTATTTGTCATTTCTATCTGTTCATTTACCATACATATTGAGCATAAGAAAATTCTTGAATTATTTTCCAGGTAATTCAGTATTTTTCTAGTAAGATTGGGCGTCGATATACTTTCCATATATACCAAATACTTTCGTGAGAATGTATCTTTAAAAGAAAAGTTCTAGATTACTAAGAATTGATTTAAGGATGTTCTGACATTCTAAAATATCTAAACAAAATTGATCTGATACAAAAAAAGGCAGCTTTGTACCACCACCTACCGGTAATTCCATATGTGCAGAATAAACATATCAAAAAGAAAATTTTATCCAATGGTATTTTTTTTATATAAACAGTGTTTTATTCACAGAAAATATGGTGTTGATAAAATCAGTTACCTACCTCTAATATTATTTTATTTTATTTTAAGGTCAAAAATGTCCAAATCCAGCTAATGCCCCAATTGATTGTGTTGAGGGAGAATACAGTCCACTAGGTAGTAGCGTGTGTATAGAATGTCCGGATGGTGAATACACTAATACTGTAAAGTCAGGAACTTGTACTGTCTGCCCTGAAGGTTCATCCTGCTTGAATAAAGACACATTACCAGTTCAATGTGGAAAAGGAGAATCAAGGTATGTATCAAACCACATGCATTGTAATATTCAACTGGGTGCTCCTAAATTTCTGTTGATTAGTTTTATGATGTAACACTTAACTGTTACCATATATTTTTCAATAATTTTACCTTCCTTTGTACATGTAGTTCAATTGAGAGGGGTTTAATATAGGTTGAGCCTGTTCCCCAATCGCTATTAAGATAACAATCTGAATAAAAAGATTGTTTAAATTTTTTTTTTAAAAATGTATTATTTTAACCCTTTCAGACTACTATACATAATATTACATCATAAAATAAACAACCATTGCGACTACTGTGCGTATTATTACGTACCCTAGAATAATTGAAAGTTTCGGGAAAATTTTAACTTGACCTTTTGAATGCAGTTTATATAGGGGACATAACTCTGGTTTTTTCACTATGCAGACACCAGTTCAGGACGTTTTTTTTCGATCTTTTTTTTGTTGTTAAATGGTCAAAAGAATTGTTGATGAAATCTTAGCAGATCCGTCATTTTGGGAAAGTGATGACGACATTGAGAGTGACTTAGAGCGGGACAGCTGGCAAGAGACAGTGACTTAATTGTTGATCGAGGAAAATGTAGATGGCAATATCGCTTGCATTGATGGAACCCCTTGTTAGAGATCAAATGGAGACGTAACTTTAGAATCTTCTCAAGATGAACGTGGCAAAGTTAGACTTACAGTTGCAGTAAATTCGTGTGAATCAGAATGGAAATATGATTTGATTAAACCTCCAGATATAAAATTTTCTTACGAAGATCGTATTGGAATTGATCCCAGTATTGGTGATGTGACCACTTTTTAGGCTGTAGATTTTTTATACGCCCACATTTTCATGTGGACATATATTGTCGTCGCCCCCGTCCGTCCGTTCACATTTTATTTGTGGACACTCTACAGGTCACAAAGTTTATCCGATTTTGACGAAACTTGAAATATAGGTCTATCTTCCAAAGATCTCGGTTCCTTTCGATATTGGCATGTATTGGATAATACGAAAAATCACCTTTTTAGCTTGTGGACACTCAAGAGGTTACAATTTTGATCTGATTTTGATGAAACTTGAAATGCATGTTTATGACCCAAATATCTTGTTTCCTTTCGATATTTGCACATATTGGATTGCATCTTCCTGAATTATGGCCCCTGATTGTACGAAAAATCACGTTTTTAGCTTGTGGTCCCTCTAGGGGTCCCAATTTTTATCCGATTTAAAAAAACGTTTTAGTATATCACCTTTACACCCTGATAATGGCTGAGTTTGAATTTCGTGAAAATTGGACAAAAACTGCTGGACAAAATGACCGCCCCTTGTATGCAAATTGTGTAAAATATGGTATAGAGGTCACAATTTCCATCCGATTTTAATGAAACATCTTGTGCATCATACAGCATCAGCAGTCAACAGGCACCTGAAATACTGTTATCAGACATTGCAGACATTCAACAGAAAGAGAGATAACTAGCTAGTACCGTTAATGAATTTCCAAAATTCTGTATGTTCCCTTGTCCATTATGTTTTCTGCATTGTGGTTTAAATCAAAATTTAACCAATACCATATTCTTGACCGAGGATGAAGGCATTGGGTGTTTTCGCCAATATTTAATTTTATGTCAACTTCACAATTGTTAGTATAAATATAGCATTTACTTGACAATTATCACAATTTTCATCTGGTCCTAAATCGAGTTATTGCAGACATTTCTAATCAGTATGACTTTTTTGTGAAGTTGTCAGAAAGTCTTATTGGTGGCTGTCATTACCAAAAAGAAAGGACGTCCATCTGCAGAATTGCCCCATGAAATCCAGTTTGATAGGAAGCTTTATCATGCCCCAGTCAAACATTCAACTCAATCTAAATGTGTTGTACATTCAAATCGTGTTGACACAACTTATTGATGTGGTGTCTGTCATAAAAGAATGTGCCGCTATCCATGTTTTTATAGATATCATCATTATGTTAATTACGCTTGTAATGATCCGGAAAAAGAAAAGCTGCTCCTGCCAGAAAACATAAAAAGCAGAATTGGTTTCTGGTTACCCGGTACTATATTAAGCCTATATTATTGTTATATTATTGATGTTTTACTGTAATTTAAAATTATTTCCATATGTAGTTATGTAAATTCACATTGGAACAAGGCGTGGTGACTGCTGATTTCACATGAGGAACAAAATCCCTAAGCAACACAAAAACCCAATATTTATATTGTTTGGGGGAGGGCTGTGTCTCCGAGATATTTTGGGCTGTGCAGAACATGCTCGAGTCAATTTTTATCTGAGTCACGTATGTTTGACACAAGATGATCATTATGTGCACTGTACACTGGGCCTTGTGTTTTTTTATCCCACCCGAAACACTAGTCACTGCACCTTGCCAGGCCCTCCGTCCTGCACCAGACAAGGCGAAACCACGTCCTAAAATCCCGAAGAAGTTTCTCGGTCAACACCTGGAGCGACCCCAAGACCCCCTGGTTAGCAAGCCAGCATCTTACTGTCTGAGCCACAGCGGCTCTATGTGTAATGTCACATGTCAAGTTATCCGTTTGTGCATATGGATAGGGTATCAAACTTATCAAATTGCTAAATATTTGATAAATATTTTCTCATAATAAAGTGTTATTGATGTTATTGCATGATATAATGATTTATTAATATAAGTGTAAAAATTTGAAATACTTGAACTAAAAGTATTCTGGAATATAGTAATCTATAAACATTTGTTATATTGTTACTCTGTTGTTAAATAATTATTCTGGGATAAATTGTATGATATAAGGATTTATGAAGTAAGTGTACATATTTCAAATGTTTGAACTAACAATATTGGTAAAACAGTGATTTATAAAATCTGTTGCATCCATAAAAATTTAGTAGTTCTCCCTCAATATCTGAGTAAGTATGAGCAATACTTATGTCTATGAATGAATATCTGACAGATACCTATTTGAATATTTTTTAAAGTTTTCATGAGATCTGTCAAAATACCAAAGTTAATTTTTTGTGAAATTGGTTATATTTTTTATGCATAACTTCTCACATTTTACATTTTTTATTGTTACTCTGATGTTGAATAATTATTCTGTGATAAATTTTAACACATAGTTTGAGTTTACACAGAGAATAAAGATTTTAAAATTGTAGTGTTTGACTTCACATTTTTGTCTTTTTTTCCTAGTTTTTGTCATGGTAACTACTGGAAGACCACTGAACTGGTCATGTCCAAATTTGAGTATTTAGTACATTGACCATTCTTTTACTTCAAAAACATAGTTTTCACATACCATGCTCAATGGATTTTATACATTACCATGAAATGAAAATGATCAGTAATTCAACCAAATTTTTCAATTTAATTGGATTCCATGGGTACTTTCCTATTCTGAAAAGTGTACTCTGAAAGGGTTAAAACATAATCATTGACATTATTTTATAGTATCGCTGGTCAGAAGCATTGTTTAGCTTGTCAACCAGGTACATATAAAGATGTTGTTGGTATTGGATCCTGTCAAGCTTGTCCTGCTGGTTCTGAATGTCCTACAGTCACTGCAAGTAAGTCAAGAAAATAAATGTTTTATCAGGTACTCTTCAACAAAATACACATAAATATACAGTTTCTTTTTTAAATCTGAAATCTAAAAAGGATTTCATCACGATTTTATTTTGCTGAGGTATAGAACACCATGCTATTAGAAGTACTAATATTACTGGTATTTTTATGTTTGATCAGGAGTGCATGAGCTCTAGATTGATCAATATTATGAGATCAGGAGTGAATGAGCTCCAGATTAATCCATTACCATGGGATGAAAAGTGAATGAGCTCTGGATTAAGACATTACCACAAAATGTGTGTGCTTTAGGCAATTGAGAAACTATAATTTTTTACCTCAAATACTTTCTTAATGTTAAAGTATTGACGATTTTATAATCTATTTATAAAATCTGTGTATTTCAGAATCAACATGCGTAAACGGTTACTATTCTCAGGATGGTGCTACCGCTTGTCTACCATGTCCAGGAGGTTATAAATGTCCTAATAAAGATCAGTCACCAATTCTATGTACTGCTGGTACCTATTCCAGTAATGCCAGTCAGACTTGTACAGACTGTGAAGCTGGGTATAAGTGTCCAGTAGAGGGATTAAATGATCAGATAGCATGTCCAGCAGGCTGGTATCAAACATCAACTGGTCAGACATCATGTATTGAATGTGGTCAAGGTGGGTACTTGTCTGTGCTGTAGTCTGTAGACATGAATGTTATGCTCATTGTTCATTTGGATCATTATATTTTCTAGTTGTCTAGTAGTTGTCATTAACTTTGTCTAGTTGGGGTGTAGAAGTAAATTATTCTATATTTTTCTGTATGTGGATGATATAAGTAAGTGATTCCTGGTGTGAGAGGGTGCGTCAATTTCATTGTGGCATCCAACAGAGAGTGAAATTAAAATTAAATTTTGTGTAATTGGCCCCGGACATTGCCAAATCTCTGTACGCCACTGTTCTCTGTTTCTGTGTAGTTGGATATTACATATGTCTGTAAATAATCATAAATTTATTACAGGTGAAAAATGTACTGATAGAACCAGTTCTCCTGTATCATGTCCACCAGGTCAATATCAAGATGGTAGAGGTTTAGAAACATGTAAATCTGTAAGTATATGTACTTGTATGTCAACAGTTTATGAGAAGGTTATATTATGATTTACTACCAATACTAATTTTTCACAAAAAAAGAAACCTAACACACCTTGAAAATGCATCATAATTCATTTTTTTTGGGACTGATTACAATTATTATAACTATTAGTAGTACTTTATTTTTTCATAAACATTTTATTCTCTGAAAAGGATTGAGGAACAGACTAGATTTGTAGCTCTCTTATTAAGGTTTTGTTAATAAAGTTTGTTTATTTTTTTTTTTTACGTTTCAGTGTCCAGATGGCTATTATGCTATAGGAACAAAAACTGTACAATGTACAAAATGTCCATCTGGTTCTAAATGTCCTGATCCAACTCAACTACCAGAGCCTTGCTCTTCAGGAGAGGTTAGATACTAAACTAGCATTATATTACAAGTAAAAAAACTGTTCAGTCAGCAAAATTTCCAGTGATAACTATTTTCAGTTGTTGGCAAGCCTTCTTTTTGGCAATGTTTTGCTCTAAACAAGCTTATGTTCACACTTGGCATAGGGGTTTATTAGGTGAATGCCTAGATGGAGCTCAAAGATGGGAATTTTTTGCTTAGAGTAAGCAGAGTTAAGCAATTTGATTGGTTGATGCTTTGGGACACAATAACTTTAGTTCCAATTGAGTGATAGTGAGAACACTTGGTGTATATAGTTTTATCACATCAATTGGAACACAATAACTCTCCTTCTAATTGAGATAGAATGTTCAAACTTGGTGTAGGCGTTCATTGGGTGAATGCCTTGATGGAGTTCGATGATGAACATTGTCTGCTTACGGTAAATAGAGATAAGCAATCTGATTGGTTGATGCTTTAGGGCACGATAACTTTGGTTATAATTAAGTGAAAGCGATGAAACTCTGAGTATAGATTCATTATATCATTACCTTGACTAAGTTCGATGATGATAATTTTCTGCTTAGGCTAAGGAGCAATAAGCAATTTAATTGGTCAAGACTTTGGAACATAACAACTCTGCTTTTAATTGAATTAGAATGCTTAAGCTTGATGTAGATGTTCATTAGGTGAGTGCTTGACTGTGTTCAATGATTAACATTTCGAGCTAAAGCTAAGCAATTTCATTCGTCGATGCTTTGGGACATGATAACTTTTATTCTGTCTGATAGAGAGTGATGAAACCTAGTGTATAGTTGATACTTTTGAACAAAATAAATGTGCGATTAATTAATGTGTCATCTTTTTATTTTGTGATTTCGGTGGGGGACATCAGCCTCACTGTTGGCTTGTTTTTTGTATTGTCAGATATCCTCTCGCAGTCTCATATAACAACTTTTCGTGTTCGAAGGAATTATCAGTGAGCAGAAATTCGGCCTTGTGTGTGTTATTGCTCGTTACTTCAGTCAGTTATATAAAAGAATAACTCCTGTTTTTCATTTTTTGCGTCACTCCTGTTCCTTCAAATCTTCGTTACGCATCTACTGTAGCAATGATTAGTGTGTTAAAATTATATTTGGAATGTGTTTAACCAGTTCTATTACATATGTGATAATGACTGACACCAATTTTGTCTTTTAAATGTAATGCCATTATTGTTGCTATTATTGTTATATATTATAGTATTCTACAGCCGGATCTACAGGGTGTCAGATCTGTCCAGCAGGTACTTCATGTGGAAGTGGTACAGTTTCAACATGTGGCGTAAGTATATTTGAAAATTTATAATTGTGATAATCAGGACTTTAATTATTTGTAATATATATTTAATCGAAGAAAAAAATTACCAATAGGTATAATGATGATTTGATGTACAGATAGAAATAGTTTAAAGAGAGATAGAGAATAATTGGCTTTAACGAACTCTCAACACAAACTAGGTCATTTTGGGACTAAAAATATGGTTAAATTTTATTTCAATAGTTAATCACTTGCACATAGGGTTATTTAAAAGTGGGATGTAACCTAAGGACTCTGAGAAAATCCACAAAAGGTTGAACAGGCAACCTTGCTCCTTGTCACGTACTACGCTGTTTGACTCAATAACAGACCTTATGATCCAAATGGTATCGAAAACTGACCACAGAGCTCTTTGTGTCACAGTCTTGAATTGAATGTGTTTAGGCGAACTCTGTGTGTAGGAAATCATTACCAGAATTGAACAGTTTAAAAACATCAATACAGTATGCCAAATATAAAATACTCCCAATGATTATTTTATATCTTATTAAATGGTTTTCCTTATCTTGTAATCATTTGACTACAGCTCTTGAATTGATTCAAGTTAAAACTAGAACTCTGAATGAAGGTTAAATGCATCAGGTTGCGTCATCATTTCAATTTTATTTTCACTTTTATTTTAATAGCCTTTATCAAGCATGGTGTAGCATAGAGATTTTATTCCATACCATATACATGGGGAAACAACTCTGCTCAGAACTCGCGTTATAAAATAGAGTTAGCTCCCTTGTGTTAATAAGATTTAGGCCTACTATTAGCTATCGACAATGTCGCGCCTTGTCACCTCTTGTCACACCATGTTACGCCAGGTTACATTCACTATCTAAATACACCAAGAACTATTGAGTATAGTATATTGTCTAATACCTATTAACGTGGAAAAACCTGCTATTTTGAACTCTTAATAAAACCAGAAGTTACACTTCAAGATCAAACCCGTTGATATTAGTTTTTTGTATAGGTCAAGGTAATCTAATAAGTGTAGGTCAAGGGTCATTGACATACAAAGTCACATGGTAGTAGGCTTTAAATATTTGAAAATTTAAACAAAATCAAAATTCAAAAAGAATTGTTGCTACCTTGACTGGCTTCAAAACAATAAAAAAGGTTTGTGAAAATTGGAAGCAAAATGGCGGCTAAATATAGATTTGAAGTTTTTTTGTAAAATCCAATATTGCGCCCAAAATGGTTGAGAATGTAAAGGAACAACATCTCTGAAAATAAAAGATAATATCTGGGACTAACACCATGTCATTTTTAATCTATTTTTAAAATTGAGTGAACTATTAATGTTCGGGAAAAAATGGAATACATCTGTTCTGCAGGGGTCAACACTATCTATGTTGGCAGAATGTTTGCACCACACACAGTTTTGGCTGCAACTTCTGCCTAAAATCCCAATAAAAATATAACAATGGAAACCAATTCAAAAACAATATGTGTTTCTTAAATTTTTTAAATGTACATATATTACAGAGTGGTGAATATTCAAATGGCACAAGTTGTGTTCCATGTCCAGTAGGCTACAAATGTCCATCTTCAATTTCGGGACCTCAGGTTTGTCCGAGTGGGACATACCAGAATCAGGAAGGACAAGTCAATTGTTTAGATTGTCCCCAAGGTAAATCGTGCTTCGATGTATCTACAACACCAGTAGATTGTGTAGCAGGATATTTCAGTGCATCAGGTGAAGCAGCTTGTTCAGTAAGTATATTTTGATTCAATATTCTAGATCAAAGTTGATGATTTGGAGCTTAAGTTTTTATTGTTCCATTTTGGTTTTTAAAATATTGTATTCAATAGAATTACAAAAAAAATCATGCATGAGATATGACATCAAGCAAAATGCTTATGAATATCACTTCTGATATGGTAGTTAATTTTAATTGGTGAAAGTTAAGAGTACATTTATTTTAAATGTTGATCATCAATAAAGGGGGTGAATAGTATACTAAGCAGCAAAAGAAACGTCAGGTTGGTATGTTACTCTGAATAGATGCATTGCATAAAACGTGCCAAATGTTTTTATTGTATGTTTGTGACCACATCTCCAACTTTACCTGAGCAATAAGGCTCCTTCCCAAACACAGAATTAAACCCAGGAAATGTTCTCAAAAACGCAACCTGATTTCTCAGATGGTAGTGTGTTCTCCATGATTTTCATGTAACTAGTGCTCCTACGGTTAGGACTTTTTGTTATTCGAATAGCCGTAACTATTAACCGGTTAGTAACCGTTAACCGTATGGTATCAATTTTAAACATAAAACAGAGCTTGTCAGGAGCTACGAGTCATTACTCGTGCGCACGCTATACTCGCCTTATAAAAGGCATTACACGCGCAAAAATTTCAGGAATTTTTTCAGACATGTACAATTCTTTAATGAAAATTTAAACTATCTAAGGCCGTAGCTATTTATTTACCTGGTTAACTTGGTTCATTTGAAACATTTTTTTAATTCAATATAACGATAATATACAAAACAATACTCAATTTCCCTTCGTACGTGACAGACGGCGATAATATTACGATTACACAATGTTACTAAGAATAGAATAAAGTAAATTAGAAGGCGTCTATTGATTGGACAATAAAGAAATAAATCCTTGTTTGCAAGTAGAATTTTTATGATTGGTTAATTTAACTGAAAACCAAAGTAGAATTCATTCGAGAAATTACGAGATATGAAACGTGTTCAATGCCGTAACAAATCTAGTATAATGTCATTTTCTAGCCTTTATGATTATATTTTGAATGGTGGTTACGTTTTGAAGTAAATAATAAACAAGGTAGAATATAGTTAGAAATGCCGAGAAGTATTTAGATTGGATTAACAATAGCAAAAGTCGAACAAGGTCCGTTGACTTTGCCGTATGACTACGACGAGTGCTATTAATAGTATCATTGTTTAGCAGTCGACATCGTTGGACGACTGTTACATTCTAAAATTTTCAAACATCAAATACAAAATTACAACGGGCAAGTTTTGTTATAAAGAGGAATATAATCAGACACAACTCTATGTAATGGGGGACATCTCCGAATAACCGTACCGTTGAATTCAAACCGTTTAACCGTCCAGTTCTAACCGTTTACGGCTATCCGACTAGTCGTAGGAGCACTACATGTAACCTATGCTGCACGTACTGTTCACCGGGACCAGCACTATATAATGCACCCTCATACCTGCTTGAATCATTCACACTACAATGTCAGCAGCATGCCACGACTCACGACAGCTCAGAGGAACCAGGTGCTTGGAAGACTCGGCGCTGGCCACATTGCCCAAGCCCTTGCCAATCACTTCCAGGTCAATGTTCGGACCACCTACAGGCTTCAGCAACGCTTTCAGGCCACCAACTGGTGGATCAAGGGTTACCACAAGGCAACAAGACCGCCATGTTGTGCAACAGCACGTGTAGAATCCCTACACACAGTCATCTAAGACAGCACGTCAGACAGTCGGAACACCCTGAAGACCCATCAGTACCGATACAGTGCGCCAACGTCTCACCAGAGAGAACATCGTTTGCCGTAGACCTTACTGTGGACCGATCCTCACCCCAAGACATCGATGTGAACGTCTACAGTTTGCCCAACAACACCAGAACTCACGACACAGGCAATGGAGAACTGTTCTGTTCAAAGATGAGTCAGTATTGCGTATCAACTGCAGATGGCAGGACCAGAATGACTTCGACGTGGCCAGCATTATTCTGACCAATGTGTCATGGAATGAGACTCATGGGGAGGTATAAACATAATGGTTTGGGGTGGAATCGGCCTGAACCAGATAGTGGATCCTGTGGTGTTCCAAAATCTTGGTCCAGGGAGAGGAGGCGGCATCACAGCAGTGCGTTACATCGATCAAGCTCTCAGACCCCACGTCATACCACATTTCGCACGTCATTGAAACTCATGGGGAAGTATAAACATAATGGTTTGGGGTGGAATCGGCCTGAACCAGAGAGTGGGTCCTGTGGTGTTCCAAAATCTTGGTCCAGGGAGAGGAGGCGGCATCACAGCAGTGCGTTACCAATCTGTTTCACAGAGAATTACGAGTCTAGTGATATATCTCTGTCAAAGATGACTGCCTTAACACGTGCTGTCACAGCACGCGGCGTCAATCATTGGCTGAATGGCGCGTGCATTGTTTACATAAGACGTTACTGCTTCGGAGAGAATGCTGCATTTTAGTCATTTTAATACCCATTTACACTAAATAGGAAATAATTTTTACCTACAAATACGTCAAACGCCTTTATTTATTTTTCCAATACATAAAAAAAATGTTTTAGAATTTAATTTGTCGCAGGAAAAAAGTTAATATTTCTGGCTCATTAAGCCGCATCGATGTCATCCTTATCAGTGATTGTAGCGGCCTAGCAAATATTCACTGCGGATAAGTGTGGTGCGTTACATCGATCAAGCTCTCAGACCCCACGTCATACCACATTTCGCACGTCATCGAAACAACGTTTTCCAGCATGATAACGCCCGTGCTCACCCTGCCAAAGTTACTCAGGACTTTCTAGAGCAGAATGGTGTCAACGTTATGCACTGGCCAGTCCTTAGTCCGGACTTAAACCCGATTGAACATCTTTGGAATGAAATTCAGAGGACACACCCGATACTGATGTATAGACTGTGTACAGACTCTAAACCTTCTTGTAATGTCTTGGAATTGTGATAAATTAATCACTAATGTGTCAACATACTGTTCACAAAAAATTGCTTTGATCCATTTAGTAAGTCGTTTTCTAGAATGATTTTTTTAAAGTGCCTCTCTGATTTTGAAATCGTACTGACGTTTTTTTAGCTGTTTAGTATATTTAAAAATAGCAGTTTGAATATCAGAAAATCAGACAAATCTTCCATTAACTTTACAAATGGTTGCAATACATAAGTAATATCATCCATCGTAAATCCATGATGGCCTTTATTTCCATGATGGCCTTTACTTACATTAAATCTTTAGAGTACTGTGGTTAATTGTTAAACAGTACAAAAATTTTAATTTTGTGAATAATTTGGTGTAGTCTGATTTTGAGGTCTATTTTATTTTTCTGTAGAGATGTCCAAGTGGATTTTACAGCACTGCTGCATCAGGTTCATGTACACCATGTCCTGCTGGTAAGAAATGTTTTGATGGTACTAACTATATAACACCCACAGATTGTGATGCTGGTAAATACAGTCCTGGTAGTCAATCAACTTGTTCTTCTTGTGAAGCAGGTAGGTTTTATGTTTATTAAATAATAAAGATTTATAATTTTTCTTACTGATTATAACACCAAACTCTAAAATGATCTTATTGATCACATTTTTGGTTATATGTACATGACTGGTTTCTAAAAAAAAAAAAGAAGGTTTTTTAATAAATTTAAATATATATTGTAGGAACATACAGTTCTGCTGGAGCATCATCGTGTTCCTTATGTCCTGCGGGAAAACAATGTTCTGATCCTAGTGTTACACCACAAGCTTGTTCATCAGGTTATTACAGTACTCAGGGCAAGGTATTGTATTCTTCTGATACATCAATCGCTTTAATAGTCACTATAGTATGATATTTTGTTTCAAATTCCTCCAAAAACATTTTAATTGCAAGAAAACTACTCAATGACACAAGAATCTAATTTTCAGCCTTGTTCGTCACGTGACTGAGAATCCAGTTTGAGCTTGTATTTGTTGTTAATTACTGTCCATTTACTTAAAGTACTGAGGTATAAGTCAATTCTTGGATTATATTATCTAATAATGTCTTTCCTAATATGAATTAATAGAAATAAGGTTTATTCTCATTTTATATCTTGTTTCATAGTATCTCTTTATTTCTATCTGATATAGAACATAGCTTGTACAGTATGTCCAGCTGGCTACCAGTGCTCAAGTGCATCATCATTACCATCTGCCTGTACTCAAGGTACTTATGCACCAGAAGGACAGACATCATGTTTACAATGTCCAGCTGACCAGTCATGTTTAGATCCTTCAAAAACACCATCCAATTGTCCATCTGGCTACTACAGTCCATTGGTAAGTTGACTGTTATTAGCGTCAGTTTAGCTATATTACATTTGAATTCACTGGCATATCGCAAAAGCAATAATCTATTTAAACCTATGATGTTTAGCAAATGTACAGATAACTACCTTCACAACCACAATTTTGTATTATAGGGATCTGCTGATTGCTTGATATGTCCAGCTGGTAAAGAATGTAATACGACACAGTCTACATTAAGTCCTTGTAATTCTGGTTACTACAGTTTAGAAGGAGAAGAAATGTGTAAAGCTTGTCCGGCTGGTTCCATGTGTCCGTTCCCTAGTATACCACCTATAACATGTAAACCTGGTACCTATTCTCTTGGTAGTGGTATAACATGTACAGAATGCCCAGCTGGTTCCAAATGTGTTTCGACAAGGTAACAGAATATTTATTTCATACTTGAATAACATTTATAAAGTAGTCTTGATAAAAATTCCCATCAAGAATTTTTGAGAAAAAATTTAAAAAAAGATGATTACTTGAATTTCATAAATGACCTGCAACAGGAATAGTTTCATAACAGATTTTGCAGACTGATATTTATAGAGGTTTTATTGAAATAAGATGGATATTTTTTTTTTCATGAAACTTTCAGTACCACACCAGTTGCATGTAATACAGGAGAATATTCTCTAGGAGGAAAAGTAGACTGTATAAGTTGCCCAGCTGGTTATGCATGTACAACAGCTGATGCCACACCAGTAGTTTGTGTTCCAGGAACATACAGTATAGGAGGTGAAACAGCGTGTAATAATTGTCCTACTGGTTACGCTTGTCCATCAACAACAACAGCAGCTGATCAACATATTTGCACACCAGGTAATGTATTCAATAGTATATTCAAAATTACATACATGTTAACCATTTCCAGTCCTGACTCCTGAGAGTTAGAAATATTTCTGGAACAAATTTACTAGCACAATATATAGAAATCATTGAATTTATAGGACATGTTCAGATGAATTTTAGTTTTGGTATTCTTGATACTGAAGTTGACACTTTTCAGTATCTAAAGCAGCAATCTTTGTTATACTGCAGAAACTTAAATTAATATATTGAATTGTTTCTATTTTATTTGACACAGGAACCTATTCAACTGGAAGTCAGTCATCTTGTACAATTTGCCCTGCTGGTAAATTTTGTCCATCGACTACCACAGCTACAGTAACAGATTGTGCAATAGGTTTTTATTCTTACAGTGGTTTTGTTATCTGTTCAGCTTGTCCTGCTGGCTGGCAGTGCCCAAATAAAGATGGTTCACAGAATTCTCAATGTGCTGCAGGATATTATTCAATAGGAAATGCCATTGCATGTACCGAATGCCCAACAGGAAAGGCTTGTCCTTCAACAAGTTCAGATGTCATGGAAACATGTCCAGCTGGAACATATTCTATTGGGAAACAATCATCTTGTACAGAATGTCCAGCAGGATTTGCATGTTCTAGTACAGCATCCGACACCAAGACAGCATGTAATGCTGGTTTCTATAGTGAAGGTAAAAGAGCTGCCTGTGTGGAATGTCCAGCTGGTTATGCTTGTCCTTCTATTTATGACAGCTACAAACTACTCTGTTCTACAGGCACATTTGCTGAAGCAGGCACTACATCTTGTACAGTTTGTCCAGCAGGAGAACAATGTCCCATAAACACGCAAACAGGAACTGTCTGTTCCAATGGTTATTATAGTTTAGGTGGACAAGCAGCTTGTTCACCTTGTCCAGCTGGATACTATTGTGGACAAAAAGATCAAAAACCCACTATTTGTGAAGCAGGAAAATACAGTTCTGGTCTGGCTATAAGTTGTTCTAATTGTAATGCTGGGTAAGTTTATTGAACATTATTTGTATAAAATCAAAATACTAGATTTAGGTAAAATGTTAAAAAAAAAAAGAAAGAAAATTCTTAATTCAAGTTTTAAAAGAATATACTAATAAACATGTCTGTTGGAAAATACCCTCTCATGTTTCTGAAAATTATCAATATTATTTTTGTTAACATTCAGTTATGCTTGTCCTGAAGGAAGTACAAGACCAGATCCACCAACAGCTGCCTGTCGTCTGGGTTACTATTGTGCAGATGGTAAAATAGAAACATTTTGTCCAAAAGGAAAATATGGTGCAACAAAAGGTAGGCTTGAATGTTTACCGAAACATATGGACTTTGGACATGTCACTCAAATATGCCAGAATCAAATCCTGACATTGAACTAGAATTCTCCTAGCTAAATTCTGGCTTTTAAAGCCCCCAAGAGCTTGCCTAATTGAAATTGATTAATGTGTCAGTCTAATGATGAAATCATTGTTAATTTCATTTTACGTTTCATAATTATTCATAGATGAAGGTTTAGACAACATAAAACAGTTAGGTTAGACAATGTTAAAGTGTTAATAAAAGTCATTATGATGAAGTATAGTTTCTTTTTGGTGCATATTCACATACTATTCTGTTATTTATTTACATCTTTAGGACTAACAGCAGAAACAGATTGTTCAGAATGTCCACAGGGTTATTATTGTCCAGAAGGCACTGCTGGCATTCCTACATCTAGTTTATTATGCCAACAAGGTTCCTATTGTCCAGCAGGAACTGGAGATTATAAAGAATATCTATGTCCAGCAGGAAAATACTACAATAACCTAGGTGCCGTTAGAGTAACAGAATGTCATGATTGTCCACCAGGAAGATTTTGTCCAATAGGTATGCACATATACTGTATTCAATTTTCATGAATTTCTCTTTTTGTTACAGAGAAGAACATGGTATATTAGACATTTGGACAGCTCATCTCATATATATATTTCATAAAATTTTAACAAAAGTAATCATGCTAATTGTCACAACAATAATGAGTTGGATCCTAACTTCAGTTATGCCATTCTGTTATCAGGTACTGATGACCCATTCTACGATGCTAATGTATGTCCAAGAGGGCACTACTGTCCATCTGGAACTGGTGCTGCTAATCCTTGTCCAGCTGGTAAATATACTGAAGAAGAAGGGTCAACAGGGTTAGAATTCTGTAAAATATGTCAAGCTGGTTATTACTGTGAATCAGGCACAGATACACCCACAGGTAGATCATATAATTACATGTGAATTAATAATCTTAATTTAGATGATTAAAATCAACATATGATAGAAATTTGATTTAATGACATTTAAGACTTTATTAAATAATAAGTATATAAACTTTAATACTGCTTATTGAAAAAAAGTACCAGGAACTGAATATGATGTTTTCAAAGCCATCTTGGAATTGCAATATATCAAAGATCGAGGTTTATGAATCGATGCACAATTTCCAAGGCACACATATGTCAAGTTTCATGTTGATTGTATATGAATTGGCAGAGCCATAGATAGGCTTTTTTGAAGAGCATCACCAGAAGAACAAGAATAACAACCACAAGAACAAGATGAGTAGCAATTAGGGCCCAGTTCATGGCCCAGAATTCACATCTTAATGTTACTAGCTCCCAATAAGAGCATAATTTATATTGATTAATTGAACTAAGGATATTAATCTTTTAATCTTCAGCCTGCCCTCCAGGGACATTTAATGATCTGACAACCCAGGGTTCTGCACTATCTTGTAAAGCATGTTTAAGTGGTTGGGCATGTACAGAATATGGTCTTACAGAACCTAATAAAAGATGTTCACCAGGGTACTACTGTCCTGGGAATAATTCACTTCCAAATCAAGATTCTCCTGATAATGCCTGCCCTGCTGGTACCTTTACCAACTTCAATAACCTCACAGCTATAGAACAGTGTGATGATTGTCCACCTCGGGTAGCATGTCTTAGAGCAACAGGTGGAACCCAAAAACCACCAGTGGCGTGTGCTAAAGGTCATTTCTGTCCATCGAAGACACTTTTTGCAACTGAGCACCCATGTCTTGCTGGTACCTTCACCAATCTAACCAACCTTTACAGACAAGAAGATTGCTACGTATGTTTGCGAGGTTACTATTGTGTAGAAGGTTCTTCTGCACCAACTGCTCCATGTTTTAAAGGGCATTGGTGTCCAGATGGTATGTATTTAATTTGTTGCACTGAATTTATATTTCCTAAACCTTTTAAGATATTTTAATGGAACTTTGAACACACTTCAACCTTATATAGCCCTTTGTCATTTGTTAAACAGAAATTTCTCAAATTGAATAATTTTTGTATTCCATACCAGTGATTCCACAACAAATCTTGTAAATTGTTCAAGATATCTTTATCCAACTCTATTATAGTAGTTGATGTTTAAAAAAGATGATAGATAAAACAAAGAAATGGCCACTTTGGTATCATAAATTAATTTACTTTTGGCTAAATTACAACGGTTTAATCTTGTTGACTAAGAAGTCTATCAACTTGCTTGTCGGCTGTAACAGTCATACCTTACTAAGAATCAGCCATGTGATTCATAATCCGAGTAATTAGCACATTTTACTGTAATTTTTGTAATCTGGTAAAAAAGCAAAACAAGCTTGCTAACTATACGTCACAGGTCTAATACGTTGCTTTTATGAAAATAAGTCACATGGTGAAGGAAAATGACATCGGCATGGATTGTGAATCTCGGGAATCGCATGTCTTTGACACACTCTACGAATTTCAGGTATATATTAAAATAATAATTGGATCATACATTTGATGGTTTCACTGACCAGTTACACTGGTAAGCTGATATCGTTGACTAATGGAGCTAGGCCTTTTAGTAATGACAATTTTTATACGCCCACAATTTTGTGTGGACGTATATTGTCATCGCCCCTGTCCGTCCACAATTGTTTATGAACACTCTACAGGTCAGAATTCTTATCCGATTCTGATGAAACTTGAAATACAGGTTTATCTCCAAAAGATCTCGGTTGCTTTCGATATTGGCATGTATCAGATCAAAACTTCATGGATTATGGCCCCTGATTGTACAAAAATCACGTTTTTAGCTTGTGGACCCTATAGAGGTCACAATTTTAATCCTATTTTGATGAAACTTGAAATGCATGTTTATAACCCAAAGATCTTGAATCCTTTCCATATTTGTGCATATCGGATCGTACCTTCCTGAATTATGGCCCCTGATTATACAGAAAATCGCCTTTTTTAGCTTGTGGTCCCTCTGTAGGTCATAATTATTATTCTATTTTACAAACCGTTTGATTATATCACCGTTACACCGTAATGAAGGTTGACTATGAATTTCATGAAAACCGGACCAAAACTGCCGGACAAAATGGCCGCCGCTTGTACGCGAATAGTGTAAAAATATGGTATATCAAGGTTGTGGACCCTGTAGAGGTCACAATTTTAATCCGATTTTGATGAAACTTGAAATGCATGTTTTTATCATAATGATCTTGGTTCCTTTTTATAATCACACTTATCCGAACGTAACTTCCTGGTTTATTACCCCTGATTGGTCGAAAAATCGCATTTTTAGCTTGTGTTTTTTCTAGAGGTCACAATTTTCTTTCCAATTTTAAAAACCGTTTAGATATATCACCATTCCACCATAATGAAGGTTGAATTGGAATTTCAGGAAAATCGAAATGAAACTGCCCGACAAAATGGACGCTCTTTGTACGCAAATTGTGTATAAGTCTGTAATACAAAGGTTATGAACCCTCTAGAGGCGACAGTTTTTATCTGATTTTGATGAAACTTAAAAAACAAATCTCAGTTCCTTTTGATATTTGTGCATTTCAGACCATAACTTTCTGGATTATGGCCCCTGATTGTACAAAAAATCGTTTTTGTTTTTAGTTTGTTCTCTATCCATCTTTTGCAAAATGTGGGCGTATCCTGCCTGGCAGCTGCTGGTTGTCATTAAATCATATATGTGGTCATTATTCTAAACTAATGTTTAGTATATGTATAGAAAGTGGGTAGAAATTATACAGTTGTGTAACTAGCTGTAAAAGATGCCACTATTTATAACACCCATCACTATTGAATACACAAACCTGGACAATAGTGGTGTATATCATTCAATAGTCACAGCTTTAACACCTTAGTGACAAAACACCTACTTAATGACTACTGCCTGATTACTAACAATTTTAACTAACTAATACACATTATGTATGTAAACTAACAACTTTGATCTATTAGTGTTGTATAATTTCATTTATAACAGTTATTTATTAGATTTAGTTAGATTTAAATAGTCATTAACTATAATCCCCTGATAGAACACTGAATATCCTGAGAAGCAGTCATAACAATATATATTTCCGATAATCTCCAATGTCGAATCCCGATGACAAAAGACATGCATCGGTTGGTATTATGTAAATAAAGCAGCGATGCTAGATTTTTTTTTAAATAGCGTTTTCCATTATGATTTTTTATTTTATACACATTCTGACAGAGGCTCAATTTTAAAAAATATTGCCGTTATTATTGAAAACTATGGCTAACTTAAAACTGGCACATGAATTTTAAAAATATGGAAAATTTTCAGAAAGGTATACCTATCTGTCGCTATATTTGTGGTAATCACATATATTAGCCTATTTAGAATACAACATTCTCCATAACAAATTACCAAGAATTATTTTTGTTGAAGTCTGTTAAAGAGAATGGTAGCTTATAATTACCCTATTTCTTACCGGGACCTCATTTGACTAGTCCGGTTGCCAAACCCAATATTTGGAGTGAACCTGGAAATTGTCTACAAAGTTTTTTTATGATTGATTTTAGTAGTCTATGGTGTCCTCTTTCAGAATCTGATGGGTGAACTTCGCTCACCCTTGAGCATTTTGAGAAATTAAAGATGGCGTACAAGACGGTCGCCATTTCAAATAATCCCCAGTAACTCCCATAGTAATTAGTCTAGGATAATAATTTTGGTGTAGGCATCCAAAACTGAAAATAGATCATCATCATCCCCACCTAAACCATGTGGTCTTGCTCCAACTAATGATGCATTTGCTGGAAACGTAATAAGATGTCACCACCATGCTATTGTGTGGCGTTCAGGGAAAGATCGCAATCTGCCGGAACTTGATCCGAAATGTATTGCAGGTTTAAGGACACACAATTGAGAACATTACAACCGGTCAACTTGCTCCTGTGGCTCATCAGATGTGGATGAAATATTTGGAGTGAACCTGGAAATTGTCTACAAAGTTTTTTTATGATTGATTTTAGTAGTCTATGGTGTCCTCTTTCAGAATCTGATGGGTGAACTTCGCTCACCCTTGAGCATTTTGAGAAATTAAAGATGGCGTACAAGACGGTCGCCATTTCAAATAATCCCCAGTAACTCCCATAGTAATTAGTCTAGGATAATAATTTTGGTGTAGGCATCCAAAACTGAAAATAGATCATCATCATCCCCAGCTAAACCATGTGGTCTTGCTCCAACTAATGATGCATTTGCTGGAAACGTAATAAGATGTCACCACCATGCTATTGTGTGGCGTTCAGGGAAAGATCGCAATCTGCCGGAACTTGATCCGAAATGTATTGCAGGTTTAAGGACACACAATTGAGAACATTACAACCGGTCAACTTGCTCCTGTGGCTCATCAGATGTGGATGAAAGAGTGACACTCCAAGTGGTACACTTGCTTGTACTTGAGCTGCACTAGGGATGGCTTAGAATGTACAGTATTTTGCGCCTGTGCTGTTGCAGGTTGCAACCAGACACCCAACTAAAGGATTGAACTGAATATTACCTAGTTTTGTGGGGGTTATTTTCATATTTTGCGGGTAGAATTTGTTTTTTTAATTTTTCAAAACACAGCTTGTGCCCTCTTCAGAGCCGTGCTATGTGGCCCTAGGCCCCCTTATAGGCATGTATGTGGGGTTATGGTATTACTCATATGCTCCTGTATCCAGAAATATGTAGTTTGTTTCTAGATAGACAAAATACTAGGGGATTATTTGAAATGGTCGCCGTCTTGGACGCTATCTTAAATTTCTCAAAACGCTCAAGGGTGACCCAGGTTCTGAACGAGGATGCCCTAGACTCCTAAAATCAGTCATAAAAAACTTTGTATACAATTTCCAGGCTCAGCCATAGATTTGCCGGACTAGACCCAATTCTAGCCAGTTTGTTTCAAAATGAATTAAGAACCCAGGGTTTGGTAAAGAAGATACACAGTGTTTAGTATTTAGATATCACAGATTTTTTGCTTTCACTTTCTATTGTATATATAAACAAAGACAGGTAGTTACTCGGGGTTATTACTGACATGAACTTGAACCTGGTACAGGAATTAATTATGGAAATATCAAGTTGTACACAGTAGTCTTTACTTTGGTGGGCTAATCATGAATAGTATCCAGAAATACAATATTCTGATTCAGATAAGAAAGTCTATTAAAATTAAAATGAATAGAAGCTTATTGACTCTATTTCCTGAAACTAATTCTGTCCACCTGAACTGACAATTTTGAAACAATACCACCCTGTACTTTCCAAAACATGCCCAAGGACCTACTGATGACTAAGTCTTCTTACTGAATTTAAAAGAATGAAGAGTAGAAGAAACATATAAATAGTTTAAGAAAATAAATTTACTTTACATTTTGGGGGTAGAAAATGTTGAGGATATATTTGATGTTTGTCAATTTCTATGTCAGGAACAAAAAGTGGAGATGAATTTCCATGTCATGCTGGTTCGTATAGTAATAATACCGGAAATACACGACATGAACAGTGTGTTGATTGTCCTGAAGGTCATTATTGTCCCACAGCTTCAGTATTACCAACAGCCTGTCCTGCGTAAGTGAACTTTACTTTCTTTGTTTATCGATTGAGAATTATATGAGAAAGTTATTTAATAGATTGAAATTTAAGTGATGTTTTTTTTTACACATTTTGAAATGACTAATAACTTTATGTGTCACATCTCTTGATATTTTAGTCCAAAATTAACAACATTGACTCTTTTTTTTTTAGTGGAACCTACAATTCACAGAAAAAAGGAGAGAGTTTACCAATATGTTTAGCTTGTATAGCAGGTTATTATTGTCCTGGTGATGGTAATATTGAACCCCTACCATGTACCAAAGGTAGCTACTCGGACACAGGAGCAGCCATTTGTTCTCTTTGTGAACCAGGTTATTACTGTGATAAAAACACAACCAGTAAGACGTTTATGGAAACCATGAGAATTTGTCCACCAGGTGTAGAATGTCCAGCTGGAATGAACAGACAACCAGATCTAATCCAAGATCCTTGCAGAAAGGGACACTATTGTCCAGCTGGTAATGTGAGTCCTACACCAGTACCCTGCCCAATTGGAACATTTAATGCAGAACTTGGACGAAGAGAATTAGCAGAATGTCAGCAATGTACTGCCGGGAAATATTGTACCCCCACTGGGCTGACAGAGCCTGCTGCTGATTGTCCTGGAGGTTACTATTGTCCTCTTGGAACTGGAAATCCATTTTCATTCCCATGTCCTATTGGATTCTATCGAAATGGTTCTGCTAAGGAGTCATTCCAGGATTGTGCTGAGTGTATATCTGGATTTTATTGTGATAGAGAAGGTTTAGCAGAACCAATTGATTGCCCACCGGGATTTTTCTGTGTCAGTGGAAGTACCTTCCCTCAACCTTGTCCTCTAGGAACATACAGTAACTCAACAGGTAACTATTTTCAATTGAAACAAAACTACATTTAGGTTAAATGTGTAAATAACCTATTTATGTACATACGATTCTTATTTAGGATTCATCTTATATTTCAGGATTAAGAAGAAGTACAGACTGTGCACCATGCCCAGGTGGTAGATATTGTGATGGTATTGGGCAGACAGAACCAACTGGTCTTTGTGATGCTGGGTTCTTTTGTCGTGAGAAAGCTTACACATCAGCGCCTCCTGATGGTCCAACAGGTGGATTGTGTCCTGCTGGGGGATATTGTCCACAAGGTTCTGCTATAGGAACGCCTTGTCCTGTTGGCAAATACAGCAAGTCAGCTGGTGCCAAGACGGAGTTTGATTGTATTCCATGTGATCCAGGATTCTTCTGTTCTGGTTCCAGCAGTACTGCAGCTTCTCAGAAATGTGCAGCTGGGTATTATTGTACTGGTGGGGCTGGTGTACCAACACAGTTTGACACTCCTGCTGGCCATTACACATCAGAAGGTGCCTTCAAACCTGAACAATGTCCAACTGGTCAGTATCAGCCTGCACAGAGATCATCTTCATGTTTGGTTTGTCCACAAGGTTATTACTGTAATGGTACTGGAACAATCGAACAAATTATCTGTCCTGCTGGCTATTACTGTCCAGAAGGAAGTGGTTTTCCTGTCCCATGCCCAAGAGGAACATTTTTGAAGGATGTTGGGCGATATGAAGAATCACACTGTGATTTATGTACATCAGGCTTTGCTTGCGAATCAGTAGGATTATCGGCACCAAACATTAATTGCATTGCGGGCCATTATTGCACTCTTGGTGCTAATACCTCAGAACCAATTGAAATGCCATTTGGAGATTTGTGTCCAGAGGGATATTTCTGTCCAAATGGAACTGGTAATTATGTATCCAATCCTTGTAGTAATGGAACATACTCTAATTACACTGGTTTACATGATGGAATAGGTTGTACCCCATGTGACCCAGGTCTGGTGTGTAATGGACGAGGTCTCGTAGAACCCAATGGTGTCTGTGCAGCTGGTTATTTTTGCAGACGGGCAGCTAAGACTGATAAACCAATGGATGGAGGTGCCACAGGAGATGAATGTCCCAAAGGTCATTATTGTCCTGCAGGAACAGGTAAGTTCATTTATGTTTCTTTTCTTTTAATCGGAGCTATCAATTTTATATATTTATAAAACAGTTTTCTTCTATTTCCTCCCATGTTAATACTTAGTCCATTTTTACTTTATAGGAGAACCAAAACAATGTATTCCTGGGTCTTTTACTAATGTAACTGGTTTAGATTATTGTTTTGACTGTCCTGTTGGTTTCTATTGTGTTGATGGTGAAATTCCGTTAAGATGTCCAAGAGGACGCTACTGTCCAGGCAATACAACAGCTGCACAACCATTCTGTCCAAGAGGAACGTACAATCCTGATTTAGGTAAAAAGAGCCTGGAATTATTTTATAGAATTTTCTTAAAGATACATTATGTAAGATTTAGATAAAGAGCTAGCCATTCTTCCTATAATAGTTCGAAAATAGATAATGTAAAATTAATAATTTGAAAATTTCATTCAAATTACTCTATTGCAAGCAAAGATATTAGCCTTTGAAGGTTTGACAAGACGTTTGCAATAATTTCAACCACCGTACTGGTTGTTCGAAGCCAAGTCTCGCTCCTCCATTTTTAAATTAAATCAAAGTATGGCGGAACCGTTCTAATCTATTTAATATTGGAGAAATCTGATGCCATCGAGTGTTGATTATGGCCTGGATCAGTTAATTAATGTCTAATTAATAATTTAGATAAAACTTCAGGCCTAAAGAAAGACCTGCAATAGGCAGATTTAGCTCTTGCATAATGTATGTTTAAGCTCATTATGGGGAAAAAAAGGTGCTTTCAACTGATTTTGTTCTCAAGTAGTTTCCAACACCGAAGGCTAGCAACTGACAACTTGAGCTGTGTTAGGATTCACACCCAGCTCAATTTAAGCTCTAACAAAACCGGACCCACCTCAACAGATGTTCGTAATCAAATAAAAGTATCAAATGTCAAGCGTCAGCAGTAGCATGTATTGGGATATAAAGACCGATATTCAACCGTTTTGCTGATACTGGAGTCGCCTATATCTGTTCAAAAGGACTTGGTAAATCTAAAATATCATTCGAGTTGTGTACAATTAAATCATTAATTTGCTTGACACTCGGTACGATTATTTGAGTTGCTGTGCTCGTGACTATTAAGACAAAGGAAATAATAAACAGTGCAAAATCCTTACTGGTCTACGTTATTTTTTTGAATCCTTATTTTTTGAGAATACTATTTTTGTGCATGTGCAAACAGACATAAGCGTACAACAGTCCACTCGATAAAACATGTGACTGGAATATGGAATAAGCCCATTGCATGATGATCAAAAAGATAGAATTAGAGAACGCAGCAGTACGTCGCTGAGGTCTCTCTTCGATCCCATTTCAATGCATGCTGATATCGTACCTCATCATGCAGCTGTAATAAGAGATCACAAACTCGAACAATAATACCTATGTAGGCTTTAGCATTTTATGTAGAATTTTTAAGCTATGAAATAAACAATGGTCCTCCTTGATCACTGTCGCTGATTTGAAATAGTTCCAATTCTTGCTACTTGGCAGCATTTATTTTCTTCGTTTTCTTTAATTCACTACAGTACTGGTGTATGTGTGATTGATATGAAGGATGGAAAGGGGGGAATGGAAGGAGAATATCATGTGATTGCTACTGTTAACAGATGGGAAGCTGTCGCTCTGATGTGGTATCATTACAGCATGAACCATTCTACATTAGATATAATACGTGCCAACCAAGTTTGGGAATTATATTGTAGTCAACATTTAATAACTGATAATCTTGAATTTATTTATTATTTGTACAGCAAAGAATAAAATCATTGCGTTCCTGTTTGATTCCCGAGGTAAAATAGGACAAGGCATTTTCTTTTAAACTGATATAAACATTGATTAGTAATATAGTGTTATTTCTTTTAGGTATGCCATCTATAGATGATTGTAAACCATGTAAAGGAGGCTTCTACTGTGATAGTCTAGGTGCCATTGATTTTGATTTTAGTGTCAATGGGACAGGAACAGGTCCTTGTGCTGCAGGTTATTTCTGTAAATTGGGTAAGTGTTTTACCTCCCCTTATTTTTGGGGGGTTTAAGTTATGGTTGGTCATCAATATCACAGATAATAGTTCTGATGTTTAAAGATACATTATAGGAGATTAGATAAAGAGCTGGCAGTTCTCACTATAATAGTTAAAAACTAGATAATGTAAAGGGAATTTGCTGAAAATTTCAGTCAATTTGATCCACTCTGAACCAAGATTTTAGCGATTGAATTTTCGGCCTAGCCTCATTCATCATTGCTAAAGTTGGTACAATAAAAAACATAGTCTCGATTATCCATTTCATAATTAAATCATGAATGAAAGTTGAGCAGCAAATGGGATCCTAATCCAGTAAATATCGCAGGCTAGCATTGACATCGAGAGTTGATTATGGTCTGGATAAGTTAATTAATGTCTAATTAATAATTTAGATAACATTTCAGGCCTAAAGAATTTCCCATAATGTATCCTTAATGGAACTTGAATGCACATTAGGTCATGAAAGATCGAAGGTTTAATTATTGTCAAATTTTGACCAGTTGGTTTAAGATTATGTATTTGGTGAGTTGATTGACGATTTTATGTTTTATTGGTGAGCTGATTGATGATTTTATATAGGTGTGAACATCAGTACACCAACTGTTCATACATCTAGTGGAATAGGTGGGCCTTGTCCAGAAGGTTTCTACTGTCCATTACAAACAGAAGATCCTATACCATGTCCAAATGGTACCTACAGAGATACTCAGTTTGGTGCAAAGCTTGGCGACTGTATACCATGTAAATTAGGAAAGTATTGTGGTTCAACAAACCTAACAGATGCAACAGGACCATGTTCTCAAGGCTTCTACTGTCTCCGTGGAAACAATGTACCTGATCCTACAGGTTAGTTCAAATTCAAAAAGAATATTATTTTCTTCAACACATTTTCTCATTTAAATTTATGTTTAAAGATACATTGCTCACAAAAGTATTTATCGGGTAGTTATTTCCTGTACAAGTATTGGAGTTGGATGGCTGAATGGTTAGCACATGTTCGTCGAATCATAAGGTCTGTCATTGAGTCAACTGGCGTGGTTTCGATTCCCGGTTGTACATGACAAGGAGTAGGGTCGCCTGTACAACCTTGTGGGTTTTCTCTGGATCCTCCGGTTTCCTGCCACTGCTAAAGACCCCTACGAGCAAGCGAATTATTGAAATTAAATTTAACCACATGTTAGTACCGAAATTACCTAGTTTGTGTCTAGTGGACATTAAACCCCATTTCTCTCTTTCTCCCTATACAAGTATATGGAAAGTAGAGACACTCAAGCTTACTAGAAAAATACTGGATTCCTTGAAAAACACCCAGGAGGGCTCATAATGACTAACAACAAATACAAGTCACGTGACAAACAAGGCTTCTTAAAATAGATTTTTGTGTCATGGGGTAGTACTCTTACTATTAAAATGTTTTGAGTGGTATTTAAAGCAAACTTTTGATGGATAAGTTAGTTTGAATAAATTTTTAGTCCAAATATATCATCAAATCACAGTTTGTACGCTGTAAGGTACATGCTCATCATCATCGTGACTAACTTCTATAATTATTATTATACATTGTTTTACAGGTTCAGATCCTGCAATAGGTGGTCCATGTCCTGTCAGCCATTATTGTCCAGAGGGAACATCATATCCATTAGAATGTCCAGCAGGAACATACAATAACATAACTGGACAAGCTGTCTGCTTTTCTTGTCCATCAGGTTATTTCTGTCCAGAAAATATAACTGACTATGAACTTTATCCATGTCCTGAAGGACATTTCTGTCTCAGTGGCACTGAATACAGTACTCAACATCCATGTCCAAGAGGCTACTATAGAAACTTTACCAGGGGTCAATCTATGGCTGATTGTTTCCCATGTCCAGCAGGAGAATATTGTAATAACCAGGGATTGAAGGAGCCAGTTGGTTTATGTACTGCAGGTAAAAGAAATGTTAAAAAAAAATTGAAATAAGCATATATAGATGGAAGGTGTCCATCACACTAAAATCCCAATGTTTCAGCAATATGATTTACTTATGGAACAGATTTCCATTTCAAATTCGTAATGTCACTGCTATTACTACTTTTAAACCTAAACTAAAGACATATTTATTTAAATAGGCTTTTATCCACTGATCCTTTAAATACATAAATTATACAGATTTATTCTAATTAAATATAATTCTATCTAAATACCGAGTTTTTATTTATATTTTTTTTTTCAAGTATGCTCTTTTATGAGCTCATTTATGTGGCATTTGTATGCTATAGCAGTGTGTAATAATAATAAATCTAATTATAAAACATAGCAGAGTACAGAAAGTAGCTTGTATGTTTTCAATCAATGTTATTTTCTTACCATATTTCTTGGCGTACAGGTTATTTCTGTGTATTGGGAGCATGGTCAGATAAACCAACCGATTATAATAACTTTACATCTGGAGATTGTCTGTGTCCTAGTAATTCTACAGGTGGAGAATGTCAACCAGGTTTTTACTGTCCTACTGGATCTGATGAACCTGTATCATGTAGAGAAGGCAGTTATTGTGCTATAGCAGGTATTTAGATAAACATTATTTCGAAATGTGATCCATTCATATGAAATATTTACATTTGAAATTCCATAATTGAGTTGAAACATAAAAAATTTACAATTTCAACCTTTTAGCATATGAGGAATAAAAGTCAATTTTTTTTCAAATCTGTGTATTCAAAACTGAAATGAAATGAAATGGAGTTTAACGTCCTACTGTTCTGCTCCTAACCTGGGCTAATGAAGACGGGCATACGCCATACAGTGTGCTATGAGGGAAATTTTGCCCGGACAGCGGCACTACGGCCTACTCTTATATCGAATTCCAACTGCCAAGGGATCTTTTACGTGCACGCCAATGTGTACACGGGACCTCAGTTTTTCGTCACATCCGAACGACTAGACAGCTTTCCTTGTCAGCCCCTCCGTCCTGCATCACTGACAATTGATTATCTGCTATGAAGTACTTAAAGCATATTGTTTTGGTCATTAGACAGATTATTTTCTCTTACCATTAGGGGTTTCAGTTCAAAGTTTCATATGACAGAAAAAATTTTTTTTAAAAATATTTTGTGAAAATATACATAAAATGCTACCCAAATTTTTTTATTTCATCAAAATATTCTAATTAGATCCAAAGTTATGGAATTTTAAAATCCGAGATCGACGTCAATAATGTAAGCAAAATGCTCTATACCAGTCAATGCGTGGAATGGCACCAAAATAAGTGCTTTTCAGTCATATTTGAGTGACGTCATAAGCGGTATTTTCCCTTCAGAATCGTTGGTACCAATTTTAAAACTGAAATCCGCACGTTATTGTCAGCTAAGATTTATTAAAATCGTAATAATTTGAATGATAATATGTCAAATATTTATAATCTGGATGATACCACAAGAAAGTATTTTATATTTAGTCGAAATTTAGCAAATTTCAGTCATCAAAACAGATAAAACCTGTTTTCTACGACTGTAATTGTCCGATCTCAAGGTATCAAAGACCATAATAAACACAAAAATGTTATCTATCGTTTGATTGGTTCTATATCAAATTCCACCAGAAACTAAGGTGCGGATTCACCAATGAAGTGAGTCGTAGCAATGGAAAATCTCTGCCCGCGTGACGTCAGAGCGGTATTTTCCAGCAAGCGTCTCATGTAAACAAACGGTAATTTTGCTTACATTTCGAAAATTTTTCAGCCTGAATCTTTGCAGATATTGAGATTGATATTAAACTATTACAATACAATTGCTAGAAATACATTTACATAAAATAGTAATTCAGAATCGTAGATTGAAGTGGGCTATATTTCAGCTGTTGGCTGTCCAATTTCACACTAAAGTCACGTGACCTGAAACCCCTATTACCAGTTGAAGTTCAATTTGTATTTATATCCAGTAACTTTGATGAAATTGTTTAAACTACTTTTTTTATACGCCCACATTCCACAATGGTTTATGGACACTCTACAGGTCACAATTTTTATACGCCCACATTTTCATGTGGACGTATATTGTCGTCGCCCCTGTCCGTCCAGACGTCTGTCCGTCCACAATTTGTTTGTGGACACTCTACAGGTCACAATTCTTATCTGATTTTGACAAAATTTGAAATATAGGTTTATCTCCAAAAGATCTTGGTTCCTTTCGATATTGGCATGTATCGGATCAAAACTTTATGGATTATGGCCCCTGATTGTACGAAAAATCATGTTTTTAGCTTGTGGACACTCTAGAGGTCACAATTGTCATCTGATTTTGATGAAACTTGAAATGCATGTTTATAACCCAAAGATCTTGGTTCCTTTCGGTATTCACGCATATCGAATCGTAACTTCCTGAATTATGGGCCCTGATTTTACGAAAAATCACGTTTTTTAGCTTGTGAAAATTATGAAGGTCACAATTTTATTCCGATTTAAAAAAAAGTTTGAATATATCACCGTTACACCTTAATGACGGTTAAGTTCAAATTTAGTGAAAATCGGAGCAAAATGCAAACAGTGTAAAAATATGGTATATCAAGATTGTGGACCCTCTAGAGCTCAGAATTTTGATCCAATTTTGATGAAACTTGAAATACATGTTTATAACCCAAAGATCTTGGTTCCTCTCGATATTTCCGCATATCGGATTATAACTTTCTGAATTATGGCCCTTGTGGTCCTTCTATAGAGGTTACAATTATTATCCGATTTAAAAAAACGTGTGAATATATCACCGTTACACCGTAATGATGGTTGAATTAGAATTTCGTGAAAATTGGACCAGATATTTGCACATATCTGATCGTACCTTTCTGAATTATGGTCCATGATGTTACGAAAAATCGCTTTTTGTTTAGCTTGTTCTCTTATCCATCTCTTGAAAAATGTGGGCGTATCCTGCCTGGCAGCCGCTGGTTTAATTATTTATTCTTATGATTGCCAGGATTGGCTGATGTAAGTGCCCCATGTAAAGAAGGGTATTACTGTGGTTTACAAGCTATAAGGAATGATCCCACTGATGGTATAACAGGCAATCTATGTCCTCAAGGAAGATATTGTGGTAAGCATTAATTCGACTCCTAAATGTCCCCATATCTTCAGAAATTGTTTTCAAAAACCTTCAAACATATATGTTTGGTGGAGAAGATGCAATCTTGTGGAATTGATTGAACTGTACATTATATGAACCTTTCATTTTGTGAAGCATTATGTTTTGAGTACATTTAGATTATTTCAGTTAGCATTTTAAAACTATTCGGGCTGGAAATGAATAACACCTAAAATTTAATTGCCAAGTACATAGGTAGATTCAGCGTACTTAAATTCGTAAATGCTGTACACTTGCTTAGTTTTAGAATATATAAACTATAACATTGGTCATTAAAACATACTTCCAAAACATTGTATATTAAAGACATTAATATACAATATATGTAACTTTATTTATCTATGTGATACAGGACAAGGAACAACAAGTGAACAACCTAAATGTCCAAGTGGAACGTTCTCCAATAGAACTGGTAATATCTTAGTCACTGATTGTTTACCATGTACACAAGGATATTATTGTGAATCGGAAGGTCTAGTAGCACCAACTGCTCCTTGTAGTGAAGGTAAATTTAATAAGTTTAAAACTATTTTTCTCTGATGTTTTTTTGTTAAATGTTTACACCAGCGATACGCTTTTTAAATAAACTCAATGACATTTCATACCCAACCATCAGCATTTTAGACAAAATAGAGGCTTCAAATTCACCATAAACATTGTTGTTGTTAACAGAAAATAACGTAAGGAACAACTGAAGAAATGGTAAACTTGAGTTTCTGATTAGTTATCTTCGCTTGGGTCCGGTCCCTATGTTAATTTATAATTATAGCATAGGATGAAAATGATTACTTACTTACTATATAAACCCATTTATAATATTATGGTGTGATGCAGTCACTTTGAGATGTCAGCCCACAATTTCTCTGCTAATGCTGCTTATATTTATACATTATGGATTTTGTTGAATTTAGAAGTAAAAATGCTAGAGGTTGTATAGACTATTTTCATTAGTATGCCAGCGATCCTGGTAGGCCATTAAAACAATCGCATGTGATTGATAAGTGTGGCAGTGATTCATAATATTTGTTACCTTCGCTTGTTGAATATGCTGAATGCAGCCATCAACCTAAAAACTTGACCTCCTTATCCTTAAATATCATTGTGCTAACACAATATGATCCACCTGTCTGCAGATTTATGAATTAGGGCACAGGTATTTAATTCTGTGGTTATAAATTTCGGAACACTTTTTGCGAAGATGTAATATTTACCACAGCAAAAAAGTAATTTTCATTGATCATAGTTGATTGTGGGGATGATAAATCAACTTGCATGTTCAAAAGAAGCTGTGTTTTAATTATCTGTATGTGTTGTAGGTTATTATTGTCCAACTGGTCAGAATAAAAGTGATCCCTTCATCTGTACATCTGGTCACTATTGTCCAACTGGTAGTTTTGAAGAAATAAAGTGCCCATCTGGAACATATCAAGATCAAATTGGACAAGGATTGTGTAAGGAGTGTGTAGCAGGTAAATTCTAAAACATGAATAGGAAGAGAAGTCACAGTTTTTACTGTCTATCTGAAAAAGAATAGCAAATCAAATGCCAGAATGTTAAGAAATAGCATATTTACCCTGTCTGAAATTTGCATCTCAAAATATTGAACCCTTTCGAAAAGATAGCTCAACGAACGCAACTATTCAAGAAGTAATTAAACCACAGGTTATCGCCAACTCCACTGGACAAGCATACCATGGTATTGCTTTGAAAACATATCCCAGAGCTTTAAATAGTTCCTTTGACTAGAAATGAAGAGTTCCAAAATTAATCAGTTTTATTCACTGGGATAGAGTTAATTTATACCATCGGAGTATCTTCTCATTTAAAAATATGTCATAATAGTGTGCCCGAGGGATTGTCATAATTTCAAATCCATTGATGTAAATGCCCTTTAAAATTGACACATTTAAAATAGCACTCTAATCCCATCCATAGTCAGAATCATGTGAAATGTGTTACGACAAATACTGTTTTGTTTTAGGATATTATTGTAATAATGCAGACAATTTAGATTCCTACCTACCCTATCCATGTCCTGCTGGTTATTACTGTCCTAATGCTACCAAATGGCCAGAACAATATGGCTGTCCCTTAGGAACGTACAGTCCTAATACAAAACTAGAAAGTGTCACAGAATGTCTTAAATGCGATGCTGGAAAATATTGTGGTTTTATTGGCTGGAGTAATGTTACAGGTATGGAGTATCTTATTTATCTTTTTAATAGTGTAATACCAAATTGATAGTTTCTACAAATAATTCCAGAGAAAAGCAAATGCGAACCTATCAGTTCTCTTTGTATATCTTTTACTGTAACATTTTTTATATAATTGTGCGGAAATGCAGACTGAATACAGTGTGCAAATACACAATTGTTGACGCATTCTTTTGTACTATGATTTTATATGTTATTCAGTTGGTAATAAGCTTTCATTAGTCTAATTTTATACTAAATTCAGTATCCAAATACTATGTTGTTCATGTTGCTATAAGCTTTCAGAAAAACACATGTTCGAATTTAGGCCCTTTTTCACATCCAGATCTGCATACGTTTGGATGGTATGTAAAATGAACACCCACTCATGTACACATTCACATGCACTTAAAGGAAACCTGGACAGTTGAAATGTGAATATTAGGACCACAGATCTTGTCAAAATTCTTCTATTACCTTTGTTTATATTTTATTAATTATTTGTGTTTGAATATTGATAGGTGATTGTTCAGCCAGATACATCTGTTATGGGGGATCTTCTACACCAACACCAACTGATGGAATAACAGGAAAATCATGTCCAGAAGGACATTATTGTCCAAAGGGAATACCAGTTCCTGAACCCTGTCCTCTTGGAACATCGTCAAACAGCACAGGACTTGGTGTATCTGGAGAATGTCAACCATGTACTGGAGGATTTTATTGTGATGAAACAGGATTGACAACACCATCTGGGGCTTGTGATGCAAGATTTTATTGCAGCTCTGGTGCAGTTACTTCTAATCCATCTAATGGTATTACAGGAGATACATGCACAATTGGTCATTATTGTCCACAAGGAACTGCCGTACCTATACCTTGTGCAGATGGCACTTACATGCCTATTACTGGAGCAGACACATGTTTTAACTGTACCCCTGGTCATTATTGTATTTCACAAACCACCCCAGAAGATTGTCCACCAGGTTATTACTGTCCCGAGGGCACTGGTAAGTAAAACCAATTATCTGTTGAACGACTTTTAACTTGAAACCTCTGTAATTTTGGGTATAGCTAAAATAAATTCATTATAAAGTTCACTACCTTTATGGGTTTCATTTACAGGAGTCTTATGGCAGTCATGTCCACAAGGAACCTTTAGCATAGCAATCCAATTATCAGATGCTGATAATTGTACTCAGTGCTCTGGAGGATTCTACTGCTCACAACCAAATGCCACATCCATCACTAGTGAATGTGATGCCGGATATTATTGTACATTAGGTTCCAACACAGCCACTCCAGATACAGGGTTTACCGGTGATGCAGGACCTTGTCCACCAGGTTATTATTGTCCAAGAAGAACAACAACACCATTGAAATGCCCATCTGGTACTTTCAGCAATAACACAAAACTTAAAAGTTCATCTGAATGTACGCTTTGTTCTTTTGGTAAGTTCTTTTCATAATGAAATTGCAGACCTTTGATAAAAGTGTTAAAATATTGTATATATATTAAGCATGTTATACAAAAAGCTATTTTAGTTCTAATTCATTTTCAATCTTTTAACAAAAAATTTAAAAGCAATTGTTTCTGTTTTGGACAGGTATGTATTGTGCAACAGAAGGACTAACTGAACCATCTGGAGAATGTAGTGAGGGATTCTTCTGTTTACAAGGTGCATCCTCAGCTAACAATCCATCTTTGGACAGCACAGGAGGACCATGTCCTGCCGGAAACTTTTGCCCTAATGGAACTTCTTACCCACTAGGATGTCCAGCAGGAACTTACAATCCTAATACTGGAATGAAAGAATGTACACTATGTCCAGCTGGCTACTACTGCCCAGAAAATTCAACATCATTTTCTGGAAACAACTGTCCACAAGGTTTTTATTGCACAATAGGCACCAAGCATCAGTATGAATTCCCATGTCCAAAAGGTACATATAATCCAACTTCTGGAAAACAGAAAGAAGAAGACTGCACACCTTGTGATCCAGGCTATTATTGTGCTACTCCTGGCAGTTCTGCAACAACTGCACCATGTTCTGAAGGCTGGTTTTGTATACGAGGTGCATGGAGTGCCCAACCTACAGATATTGGTAACTTTACCACAATGGATTGTTCATGTCCAGCTAATTTAACTGGTGGTCAATGTCAACCGGGTCAGTTCTGTCCACCAGGATCATCAGAACCTCAACCTTGTCTACCAGGTAAGAGCTTAATAATTGTGTGCTTGTTTTTGATAAAAGTGGATTACTTTCATAGAAAATTCCATTCTTAAGCTGAATTACATGTACAATGGTCATGGTATTTTTATAATTATGCTGAGAATTGGCGTAGCTGAGTTTGACTTTGAATGTTCAACCTTAGATCTAGATATGCATCAGCTGAATATCTTCATCAAATATATGATGATGTGCATTTCCTACTGAGGCTAAGAATAGATAAGCAATTTAATTTGCTGATGCTTAATCAAAAGATTGAAAGATAAATTTTGTGATTAAGGAAGGGGGTATAAGCCTTACAGTTGGCTTGCAGGGTATTATTGTGATATATATAATATTGCAGGATATTACTGTGATATTTTGTATAATTGGTTATTATTGTCATGTATCATTATTTCTGTGATATATTGTTTAAAGATTGTTGTATTATTATAATGAGAGCCATGGTGACTAAGTGGCTGGCTCGCTAGTCTGAAGGTTGCGGTTTCGATCACATTGGCCGAGAAAGTTCATCAGGATTTTCCGACATGGTTTCCCCTTGTCAGTGGTGCAGGAATGAGGCCTGACAAGAACAGCTGCCTAGTCCCGTGTATACATTGGCATGCACATAAAAGATTCCTTGGCAGTTGAAATTCGATATTAGAATAGGCTGTAGTGCCACTGTCCGGGCAAAGGTTCATTTCATTGGCCCATTTGGAGAAGAACAGTGGTATTTTATTATCGTGATGTATAATATTAACTCTCGTAAGTGGTATATTATATTGCATGTTATTGTATATAGAACAATAACTTTATGCTGGATGGGGGGGTGGGGTGGATGCTCAAATGGTTAGTACGTGCGCGTTGTAACATAATGTCTGTCATTGAGTCAACTAGAGTAGGGACGCCCGTCCAACCTTGTGACTTTTCTCCAGGTCCCCTGGGTTCCTCCCACTGCTAAAGACCCCTACGTTCAAGCGAATTATTGAAATAGAAATAAACCATATGTTAGTCCCGAAATGACCTGGTTTGTGTTGAGTGGATGTTAAACCCTCTCTCTCTCTCTGATGCCCTAGAATAACATTGAAGATGACTGGTACAGTGCAGACATAGATTTATAATATTGCCATACATTGTATTACAGGTTATTATTGTGATATTGCTGGGTTAGCTAATGTAACAGGTCAATGTTATCCTGGTTATTATTGTATGGCTTCTGCTACAAGACCAGATCCACAAAATGATGTAACTGGAGGAACGTGTCCGAGTGGCAACTATTGCCCGGCTGGTACAAGGGATCCTGTTAAATGTCCACCAGGCTATTTCTCTAATGCTACGGGCAATGTGGAGTTTTCAAACTGTCTACTCTGTACACAAGGTAATTTAAAATGATTAACTATATTATAATAGATGAACTGTTTTTTGAAGTGATTGAAAGTGATTCCAGATTTGTACTTGACAAGGGCTAGGGTTGTCTTTCCTCCTACTTCTGAAAACCCCTGAATACAAAATAATTAATCAATAATTTATCTCTCTAAAAGTTTTTGTATTTCTATCATTTTGCTGAGGGGTATTGTAGACAGTGATCTTGTCTGCTTTGTCAATTTTCAACGTGATAAAAGCAGTAAAGATTTTAAAAATCTCTAAGTGGACTGACCTAGCTTATGTAATGTATTGAACAATGGTACAAATTTATTATGATTTCTGTTTATTTTAGGAATGTATTGTGCTAGCTATGGTGCTGATAGTCCAACTGGAAACTGTGATGCTAACTATTATTGTCCACCTGGACAGAACACTAGTACACCTAATGAGTTTGTCTGTACACCAGGCCATTATTGTCCATCTGGCAGTCCCACTCAAATAGCCTGTGATTCAGGAACATATCAAGATGAATTTGCACAGGTATTTTGTTTTTTGATAGTAAAATTTATGAAATAAATAACTCTGTAAATTGAACTGGGCAACACTCTTTCGGTAAATTTTGACATAATTATTATTTTATGGTATTTTTGAATATTTAAATAATTAATATTTATGAACCTACAGGGAGAGCTCTATTCTTGTTGTAAACTGGAATATTTTTATTATAATTTTACAGTCGAGTTGTAAAGTGTGTCCAGAGGGATATTATTGTGATGGTACTATACAGAATGATACAGTATGTTCACATGGTGTTCAAAATCCATCACCATGTCAACCAGGTTATTACTGTCCTCAAGGTACAAAGATATCCACCGAGTTTGGATGCCTGTTAGGGACATTTAGTGATAAGAAAAATTTGAAAACAGCAGGGGAATGCACTAATTGCACAGGTATGTTTCAAATGGTTGTACTTTTTTCTTCCGCACTATAAATTGGAAACTAGCTATTTTGATAAATTTTTCTTAGATGTAGCTATTGTCAATTGAATTAGCGATTATCTATTGTACAAAATTGTCAAACTTTCCCTTTAATTATTAGTTAAATGATTTATTGTCCGCCGCCTTTGGAAGAAAGCAGGGGACTATTAAAATGGGTGGGAAATCAGCTTCAGTTGGCTTGTTTATATTTAAGGTGGTACTTATTGTGATAGAACTGGCCTTTCGGCACCTATCGGTCCATGTAGTGGTGGATATTATTGCATACAGAGTGCTCAGTCAGCCACACCAACGGATGGTATAACAGGAAATATCTGCACACCTGGTTCCTATTGTCCAGTTGGTTCTAATTCAACGTTACAATGTCCACCAGGAACTTACAACCCAGTTTCAGGTAAAATTCAGATCACAGATGTTAATCTGTTTATATACATGTATCTTTACTGATCATATTTTAAAGTCTTCTGTGTTCCATGAAAACTAAATACTAAATAAAAAAGGCAGGGGTTTGACATTATTTTGAATTTGTTTATTTCATGATGTATGAAATGAAAATACATTTTGTACAAGAGTAAAATGGCATGATCTTTTTTCTTAGGTTTGGAATTTGAGAGCCAGTGCTTGGGATGTACAGCAGGTCAGTATTGTCCAAACTATGGTATGACCTCACCAATTGGTAATTGTTCTGCAGGATACTACTGTTCAGGAAATGCATCAACATCAACACCATTGGATAGTGCAACGGGTAACAAATGTCCAATTGGTCACTATTGCCCAGCAGGAACTCCAAATCCAAAACTGTGTGAACCAGGAACATACACAGACACAGAATTAAATGCAGTATGTCTAGAGTGTACACCGGGTCATTTCTGCATCACTGGATCAAATCCAGAACTCTGTCCAGCTGGATACTATTGTCCTAAAGGTACTGGTCACATATGGCAATCTTGTCCTCCTGGTACATTCAGCTCCTCAACTGGTTTAGCAAATATTACCCAATGTACTCAATGTACAGGTGGTTATTTCTGTAATCAACATAATCAGACAGTTGTCACAGGTACTTGTGAACCAGGATATTTCTGTAGATTAGGCGCAGACTCAGCAACACCATCTGGTTTAGGGAGTGGAGATGCTGGGCCATGTCCTTCTGGCTATTATTGCAGTCAACAAACTCAGGATCCATTCAAATGTCCATCAGGAACATTTAATAATAAAACAAAGATAACAACAAAGAGTGAATGTCAGCTGTGTCTACCAGGATATCATTGTCCTTTACCTGGACTGATTTATCCCACAGGTCTCTGTGACCCAGGATTTTATTGTTCTGAAGGTTCCAACTACTCAAGCCCATCATTAACAACATCAACAGGTGGACCCTGTCCTGTTGGGACATATTGTGAAGCTGGATCAAGTACACCAAGAAATTGTCCGGCAGGTACCTTCAATAGCGTAGAACAAATGGTAAATTGTACTGAGTGCCCTGGAGGATATTATTGTGAGGCTGGAGCAAATTCAACAACAGAATGTCCAAAGGGACATTATTGTCCATCGAAAACAGAATACTCTAACCAATTCCCATGTTCAATTGGTACATTTAACAATAACACAAGAGGTAAAGATACAAGTGATTGTCAGCTTTGTCTTCCGGGAATGTACTGTTCAGTTCCTGGATTAGTTGAACCAGAAGGACATTGTGCTGGTGGATGGTATTGTATTCTTGGATCTGGGTCACAAAACCCTTCTAATGCAGCAAATACAACTATAGGAGGAAAATGCTTAACCGGAAATTTTTGCCCTATAGGATCAGATTCTCCTTTGCCATGCCTCCCCGGACATTTTTGCTCTTCGGATGGACTAGCTAATGTAACTGATCAGTGTGATGCTGGCTATTACTGTTCAGGAAGTTCTACAATTCAAAATCCTGTAAATGAGAGTTTTGGAGATGTTTGTCCAAAGGGCCATTACTGTCCAAAGGGGAGTTCATTGCCAATTGCTTGCTTAGAAGGAACATTCAGTAACCTATATGGGAACATAAATATTTCTAGCTGTCTACCCTGCACACCTGGTAAATACTGTTCTGGTGTTGGACGTGCCTTGCCAAATGGTGACTGTAGTGAAGGGTGGTTCTGTCCAGAAGGAATGATTCAGCCTCAGCCACCAGGAAATCAATGTCTTGCAGGTCACTCCTGTCCTCAAGGCAGTCCCAATCAAACACCATGTCCTTCTGGATTTTATCAACCATTAACTGGAAAAGGAAATTGTATAGATTGTTCTGCTGGTACCTACTGTGACCAAAATGAAGCTATAGCAGAACAACAGAGTGGATTTGGAGCCCTGTCCCATGGTGTTGTAACTCCTAAAGTTTGCCCAGCAGGATTTTATTGTATGAACAATACTAAGACTTCCAGAGACAATGCCTGTCCGCTTGGTACATACAGTAATACAACAGGTTTAGAAATTTTCACAGAATGTAGAGATTGCCCACCAGGATATTATTGTGAAGCTGAAAACATCACCCAACCAACAGATAAATGTTTTGCAGGGTATTATTGTGTCTTGGCATCAAAAACACCAACTCCAAGTCTATCAGCATCGGGTGGTCCTTGTGCTCAAGGAACATACTGCCCTGAGGGTTCTTCTCAACCAACATCTTGTCCACAAGGAACATTTGGAGACAGAGCTTTACTTGCCTCTTTAGCAGATTGCACTGCTTGTCCACCTGGTCTGTATTGTGCCATGTCAGGACTTTCTGCTCCTAATGGAAGTTGTTTAGCAGGATTTTTCTGCATCAATGCTTCAGAAGAAGCTAACCCGATAGGAAAATCTTATGGAGATGAATGTCCTGTAGGTTATTTTTGTCCCGAAAACAGTTACCAACCAACTGCATGTCCTGCTGGAACATATCAACCTTTTGCAAGGAGGGTGAATAGTTCAGATTGTATTGCTTGTGATCCAGGGAAATTCTGTAATGCTACTGGAGGATCTCAAACAGCAGGAAACTGCTTTGAGGGGTTTTACTGTAAAGGTGGTGCCAGCAGTCCTACACCGTATGATGACATTACAGGAAATATCTGTCCAGCAGGATCATATTGTCCAGAAAGTTCACCTCAACATTATTACTGTGCTAATGGTACTTATACCAATCATACTGGTGCTGCTTCTTGCTATGATTGTCCTGAAGGTCATTATTGTGTCAACAGAGATAGAGCGGATCCTTGCTTACCAGGTGAGTTTAAACGTTACTTTAAATTGACATTATTGTACAATGATCCTGTTGTTAGCTCAATTAAGGTAGTGTTGCCATAATTTGGGAAGAGACAGTGTTGATGGATTATCTTTATATATTATATTTACAGGTCACTATTGTCCATTTAAAACTGGTGCAGATCTACAACCATGTCCGTCTGGTACATACAATCCTATATATGGTATGAGCAATATAAGTCATTGTATAGCATGTGATGGTGGTAAATATTGTCAAACCCCAGCTTTAGATTCTGTTACTGGTGATTGTTCCGCTGGATATTACTGTTCTTCAGGTAAATATATGTAATTGAATGATCAATATGAAATGAATGTTCATTAGCCAGAATATACGTTATACAAAATTATTCTAATATTTTTGTAGAATTCACTGTGGGTCTGTTGGTAAGGCACTGGCTCACTGTACACGAGGTCTAGGCTTGGCAGAGAAAGTTCATCAGAATTTTTCATCTTGGTTCCCCCCCATCAGTAGATGGCCTGGTAAATGTTTAACTATGTTATTGATATTTATTCACGTTATTTGATATTCACTATTAATTGTGAATGCATTTTCCTTCCTAATTAAGTCAATATTTCATGTTTTTCAGGTGTGGACACTGCTACCCCATCTGGTGGACATACTGGCGAAGGAGGGGTTTGCCCTGTTGGTTACTATTGTCCAGAATCCTCAGTTTTACCACTGTCCTGTCCACCAGGCAGTTACAGGTAATACAAAATCTATTTTCTTAATGTTCACTCTTGATAAGGATCTGTCATGACTACCAGTACTTTGATCTTATCTTATACAAGTGTTGGACGCTAGCATAGTATATGAAATATGAAAATATGATGTTGGTTGCTTACTTTTTATAGAATTTGTTGTGTTTATTAAAAAAAAACAATATAAAAATGATTCTTTGCTTTAGTGACAGTGCTGGTCAAGTTAACTGTACCATGTGCCCTGCTGGTTTTTACTGTGTAGAGAATTCCACTACATTTGATGAACAGATTTGTCCAGCTGGATACTACTGTCCACCAGGAACAACTAATCCCATGGCATATCCATGCCCTAAAGGCACATACAATCCTACCAATGGTAGTAATTCAGCTGTTGATTGTTTGTCTTGTCCTCCTGGAAAATATTGTGAAGGTAAAATATTAGAACACAAAATTGTAAGGTTGAGATTTGATATTGATCAAATGACTTTTTTTGTCAATAACTCAGTCCACTAAGTGAAATATTACATTTATTGTTCAAAAGACAGATTTATAAGATAGGCATTAGCATATGAATATAATATTATTTATTACAATTTAATTGGTTATTGTCCCCTAACCTTATTTTATAATAGTGTTGTTGTTTATTACAGATTTAATGTCCAATACATTAAATATGATATTATGGACGGATTGATTTAATTAAATTATTTACACTTAATGGGTTGAAAATTGGTAAAAACACAAAATAAAAAAGTCTGTGAATATCAAAAAACACAAAAATGAAAGAAGTCCTTGTATATCTCCTTTTATAGTTGATGGCTTGTCAGAACCTACAGGAAATTGTTCAACAGGATGGTATTGTACAGGGAATTCGTATTCTGACCAACCAATAACAACCCAAAATGTCACTAGTCTGCCAGATTGTGTTTGCCCACTAACTAATTATACAGGTGGTAAATGTTGGCCAGGGACATATTGTCCATCCGGCACTAATTATCCCATACCCTGTACAGAGGGTATGTACTGTATGCTGTATGAACTGGAAACACCACAAGGTCTTTGTAATCCTGGTTACTACTGTAATGGTGGTGCATCACGTCCAGATCCCCCGTCTGCTCTATGTCCATCAGGATATTATTGTGAAGAAGGCTCTAAGACACCAACACCATGTCCTGCAGGAACCATGAGTAATACTAATGGTAAGTATTCAATTTCTCAAATATAGTATGTATTGGATAAAATAAATTTAAATATAGTATTTGATTGCTCACTCTCTGTATGTGTTGGATAAAATAAATTTAAATATAGTATTCCATTACTCATACTCAGTATGTATGGGATAGAATAAGTTAAAATATAGCACATTGATCCTAAAGGGCGAACACATTCAAAATCAATAAATACAAATAGATGTAATATAATGGGGACTTGACCAGGAAAAGGTATTGTAATTAGTATTTCACAAATTTGATTTAAAGTCCTGTCCTTGTTGCTGTCGTTAATGTGGCTAAAGTAAGTTTGGTACCATAATCTCATCTTTCGTTAAATATCTCAATTAATTACAATAATGTATATAATGGTTTTCGGATATAAATGATACTGAGAGCAGACTTCTTCAGGATTGAGTATTTGAGTGGTCTCTTATTACTTTGGTGTACCAAATAACTGACATTTCATGAAGTTGACAGCCATGTTTTGGGAATTTTAACTTAAGACAGGATAGTAGCTGACTTAACTTAAATCGATTGTGTCTTGAAATAATATTGTTTGGTGAATATGGCTTCTCTTAAGTTACAATTTTAAGTTATAAGTTTTCGTGAATAAGGCTCCTGGTGATTATTTTGAATACGTTGGTGGTCTTTTGAACTGAACATAAAATTGCCTCCCTCAATGATTGCTATTTGTGCATGTCTCTGATGGAATAGATGCTTCACAAATGCATGTTTTAATAGTATTATATGGCAGATTTCCTTATGTTGGCTGAGGCCTTTAATTAGGTAATGGGGGGAAATATTGTAACTTGTCTTTAGATGACCTACAATGCAGAATCAAATCTAATTAACATTCATGATTTGCGAATGTTGCAATTTGAATGCATGAAAATTTGATATACCAGTAATCATTAGTTATGCATTTCTTATTAATGTTTTCATGTTGGGTTCATGAGAATATTTTTAATTTTTTTTTTTAGGAAATACCAATGTTACTGATTGTGATTTGTGTACCCCTGGCTATTACTGTACAGGATTAGCTAATACCAATTATACTGGTCAGTGTGATGCTGGCTATTATTGTCCTTCGGGCCAACAATCACCTACACCATTAGACTATAATTGTACAGTTGGTCACTATTGTCCACAAGGTAGTGGTCAACCTGTCATCTGTGATCCCGGTTATTATCAAAATGAAATTGGACAAAGTTTATGTAAGACATGTCCTGCTGGAAGGTATGTGAACTCATTAACTCCAAATCTTTTAAATCCACTCTTGTTTCATTTACTGTTAAGTGTTAAGTCAAAAATAAAAATAAAAAAACCTATGTGAAAGCTCTCTTTTATTTTTAGTTACTGTGATCCTGTAGAAGAAGGTGTTGTTACTGGAGACCCGGATCATGGAGTGGTAACTCCTGAAGACTGTCCATCTGGCTACTACTGCCCATCACAAACTGGTGCCAAAACAACCTTTCCTTGTCCACCAGGAAGTTTTAGCAACGGAACTCAGCTACAGACAGAAAGTCAATGTCAGCCATGTAAAGGCGGTTATTACTGTGATTCTCCAGGTAACTACCCTATTTTATTTTGTTATGCTGCCAAGTAGTGTTTAACATTTCAACATATTTCTGTACAGGCTAATGTTTCTTTAGGTGAGGCTTGGTTTTTTGAATCATCCAAACAAGAAGGTAAATTTTCAGGCCATCCAGATATCATTCTATCGTTGGCCTCAAGAGTCTTCTTAATCCACATAGGATTCAAAGGAGAGAGATGGGTTCTAGAAAGTCTAAGCCAGTTCCCATCCAGTCAGACATCCTAAATAAAAATATTGTTTAAAATAATTTAAACCATAGACATTTCACTCATCATTCCAGAAGCCTCACAGCTGAATGCTGTCTAAAATAATCTATGGTTGAACGGGGAAGCATCATAGGTATCTTTTAAAATCTTTTGGTGATTCTAAATGTTTGTGATTGCATCTAAGTCAATATATGTATAAAATGTATTTTACAGGATTAATTTTACCAACTGATCTATGTGATGCTGGTTTTGTATGTGTTAGTGGTGCCAATATATGTGCTCCAACAGATGGTATAACAGGTTATAAGTGTCAACCAGGCTATTATTGTCCCAGAGGTTCTTACCAAGGCATCAAATGTCCTGCTGGAACATTCAGCAACCAGGTGATGTTACAGAATGTCACAGAATGTCAACCATGTCTGCCAGGAACATACTGTGATGTTGACGGTGGGTATTTAATTTACTAAAACAATGACTCACACAACCAAAACCATTTGATCATGTTTAAATAGTAGTATATATATTGATGACAAATATTTTAGGCTCCCAAACTATAGCTCAGTTTAGTTATATGGCAATATAAAATAAATAGGCTTATACATAGAACACTGGATACCATACTTTTAACATACTTTTATTGTACTTCTGTATGCATATGATAAATTACTATAGAAAGTTTTGCTTGAGACTGATATTATAAGTAGTTTGAATGAAAATAAATCAAGCTACCTTAACTATATCATGAATTATTATATAAATATTCATTATTTTTTCTGTTTTTAGGTTTGACCTCTCCAGCAGGAAATTGTACCAGTGGTCACTATTGTACCTTAGGTGCAATTGTCCAAAATCCAAGTAGTCAGTCATATGGAGATTATTGTTTAGCTGGTCACTATTGTCCAGAAGGTAGTGGAGCATCTGAACCATGTCCAGTAGGAAAATATTTGCCTGATACTGGCAGGCAGTCTATTATTGATTGTCTGGATTGTCCAGGTGGAAAGTATTGTGCTCAAGAAGGAATGACAAACTACACAGGTTAGAATCTAATTTTATGGAAATATTCTTTTTTTTTATATCCAGATTAAGAACATACAAAGTTAAGACAAATTTGTGCATGGTGTACAATTACGATCTATGGGGGTGACATGGCAGATAAATAACAAGAAATAATTTGAATTTTTGTATATGCCCTTATTGACATTTCATTATGTGTTCACTAGGTGAATGTGACGCAGGATATTATTGTGAAAGCTCATCAAACTCTAGCACTCCTAATGATGGTGTAACAGGAGATATATGCCCACCCGGTTTCTATTGTCCCGTAGGTTCATCAATACCATTACCATGTGAAGATGGTAAGATAATGATTTAGATTATTAAACTCTAGCATCACTATTTATATAAATAAAGAAAAGATTGAAGCATGCTTCAGTTTCTGGATGTTTTAATTATTATAATGCTGAGTTTTATTATTTGTTTTTATACTACTGTTAATTTGTATTAAAGGTTATTACACTACTGTTAATTTGTATTAAAGGTTATTACACTATTGATTTGTACTAAAGGCTAATACACTGTTCATTTGTATTAAAGGTTATTACACGGTTAATCTGTATTAAAGATTATTACCCCGTAAATTGTATTAAAGGTATTATGCTACTGTTAATTTGTATTAAAGGTACATATATGAACCACACCTTGGCTAACGAATGTGATCCATGTCCAGCAAGATATTATTGTGTTAACAAAGATCATCCCGACCCTTGTCCTAAAGGTCGATTCTGCCCACCAGTAACTGGCTTTAACATGTCTCTATGTCCGAGTGGTACCTATAATCCTACAGAGATGTTGATGGAAGAATCAGAATGTAGTCATTGTGATGGAGGATATTATTGTGATGTACCGGGATTAATCAACACAACAGCCAAATGTGCACCAGGATATTATTGTCAAAGCGGTGTGAATACTGCTGCACCAAATAATAACAATACTGGATTTGGTGGTAATTATATCATTTTTTAAGACATAACCGATCTGTCATATGCAAAATTTAACTTTGAAATTATTGACAATTTACAAACCTGAATATTTCCAGTAGTTTTTGCAAACCACAAAAGCAACTTGCTTCCATTGCTCTTCAGTCAGGTTTGGTAAACATGAAATTAATGCACAATATGTATCTCTTGTTGGTTTGATTGACATTCAGTGTTTATCTTTCTGTTCATTGTGCTGTTTCAGGTGAATGTCCAGTTGGTCACTATTGTCCAGAAGGAACAATAAATCCTATAGGTTGTGATGCTGGAACTTATACTGATATCACACATCAAGCCGTCTGCTTCTCATGTCCTGCTGGTTATTATTGTCTAGCTAACTCTACTACATATATATCTACACCTTGTCCTACAGGTAAACATTCAATACATCTTTTATTATTTTGTAGTAATTATCACTTTCAACTGGAAAAGACATTTTTAGATTTATACAATATCATTGAAAATGACCCTAAGTCCAAGAAATGGCCTATGTAGAACAAAGCCTTCTGCATGATTAACCATTAAAACTACCATAGCTTTTATTGTGTTTGACTCATAAATTTCTGTATCTCAATGATGGATTGGCGAATTTGTCTCGAATTTTTCAAAATCAAACTATAATCAAGTTCTTTAAAAATTAATTATCATCCAAATAGAATTTGCTGATATATTTCTCTGTGGATAAGAGAGTTATTGAAGCCCAATATTTCATGAAATGTTCCATTTTGTTTTCTCTTCCATTTTCAGGAGCGTATTGTCTTATTGGTACCCAGACAGCCCGACAATATCCGTGTCCGTCAGGAACTTACAATAATCAGACACATGGAGATAATATGTATGATTGTCTACCTTGTCCAGGTAATATATAGGGGATGCTCAATTTTCAGTCTGCAATGTTCCGAATTGACGGAATTGCAATCGTGTGATGCGGAATTCAGTCCTCTCACTGATGTGGTGTGAGTAGAATCGTGACGTAATAAAACACTACGAATATGTTTCAGCTGTCATGGTTGGTTGAGATATTTTCATATGCCGTCGGTGCTTGTGTTTAAATTCTAAAAAATAATTTGTATGTATTAGAAAAATAAATAAAGACGTTTGACGTATTTGTAAGTAAAACTTATTTCATATTTAGTGTAAATGGCTTGATGTGTGATATCAGTATCAGTATGAGTAAAACAGACCAAATGCTTAGCCTTCTTTGCCTCTTGTCATATTACAGCCATTTCATATTTCATTCTCTTCATTTTAAAAAGTACCATATCAATCAAAGCAGGAATGTGGACGTATATGCGTTAGCGATGCTCTAGTTGGGTTTGACAGAATTCAATTCTGGAATATTCAGTCGAGCATCACCATTTCTTAAAATAAATTGAATGTAAATTTTATTAATCACTTTGACTATATGAAGATTTATGTTCTTTGAAGTACTGGAAAGCATTAGATTGGCTCATAGTGGTTTTGTTGGGGACTGAGTCGAGTAACTGTTGCACTGTAGATCATTAGGGTTAAACACCACTCCCCACTTTCTTCCCCTTAAATTTATCAAATGTTTACTGAGTGTATATGTATTAACAAAATGTGCTATAAAACTGTCTAAATGTTTATCATTATTTGTTTTTGTTGACTTTTCCATTATCTGTCTTTAAATTCTAGGTGGTGAATATTGTAGTGGCGATGGTTTAGCTGAACCAACAGGACAATGTGCTGAGGGATGGTTTTGTTCTGGTGGAGCATTTACAGATAAACCATCACCCATAGTTAATACTACTGATGATTATAGTATTAATACCACCTGCCCCCTCTTCTCTAGAAATAATACAGGAGGTATCTGTACACCAGGTAATATATTAATCATTGTATTTGAATCCATACATGGAATCCACGGCGGCTCAGTGGGTAGGTGTTGGCTAGCTAACCTGGAGGTCCAATGCTCGATCATGGTATTAGCCGATAAAGTTTCTTTCGGCATGATATCCGCTTGTCAGACAAAGGACCTGGCAAGTAACAATGCCTAGTCATTTGGATGGGACAAAAAACAAGGTCCTGTATGCACGCTTGTGCACCAGAAAATCCTTGACAGTTGGAATTTGTAAGAAGAGTAGGCCATAGTGCTGCAGGGTGTATGCCTGTCTTCATTAGCCCAGTTGGTGCAGAAAAGTAGGACGTTAGACCCCATTTCATTTCATGTCACACAAAATCAAAATCTAAAGTTATTGTACTAGAACTAAATTATCGTAGTCTGACTGTCAAAATTTAATAGAAATAAAAATATGTGTTGTAAAATCATGGTCCAGTCACTACTCACACCATGTCTGGTATTAGACCTGAAATATATTGTTTAAAGATCTTGATTATAAAAAGTACTGCTATTATTAACTTAAAGCTTTTGAAAAACACTAGTGTCTATTTCAAGGATTTATAAGCTACTTGTTTCTCAACTTATCTTTTTATTATAGGTACATATTGTCCACTTGGTAGTTCTCAACCAGTACCATGTCCATTAGGTCAGTACTGTGAAATACATGCTCTGTCTAGTCCATCTGGTGATTGTCATGCTGGTTATTTCTGTAATGGTAGTTCTATAGTTCCTAATCCACAACCATGTTCTAACGGTCATTATTGTACAAACGGTACAACTGTAGAAGCACCTTGTCCACCCGGAACTTATTCAGGTCAGTATAAATCATTGTCATTGACAACTATTGTAAGCTCAGTAGATAAAATCTTATGTAGTAATACTGAAGTCCTGTGTACAAACAAGAGCCCTAGATAGTTGTCATTCAAAATAAGTGTAGGCCGTAGTGCTGCTGTCCAAGCCCAAATTTCCCTCATAACCAACTATATGGCTTACGTCTGTCTTAATTACACTAGTTGGTACTGAAAAGATTACGTCGAAAACTGGTTTCATTTAGTTTCCAAACTAATCTCAAGTATCCATCTTTAAACATTGTTATTATTTGTAATTGGTATTCATATTCCATCTATTGAAATAACTAAATTGTTTAGTATTCATATTTCATCTTTATATAATTTGTTTGATATTTATGTTTCAACTTTTGATATATGTAGTAATCTGTTTGATATTTATATTCCATTTGAAATAATATAGATCGTGAAGGCAATGTTAATATCAGTGATTGTCAGCCATGTAGTGCAGGATTCTATTGTCAAGAATTTGGATTATCAACACCAAATGGTGCATGTGATGCTGGTTATTTCTGTCCAGAAGGTCAAGCATCTCCAAGACCTGTAGATTTAGCCTGTAGTCCAGGTCACTTCTGTTTGTCGGGTAGTTGGAATCAAACAGGCTGTCCATCGGGAACATTCCAGCCTCACTGGAAGAAAAGTGATTGTGATGTCTGCCCAGCTGGTTCTTACTGTAAGGCTTTTGGTAAGTTATAGTATTTATTCCTTTTTCAGAAATAGATTTTGGAAAAGGTAGTTGGTTTTCTAATAAGGCTGAAAACTCTTTATTATTTGAGTATTTATTCTACTATTTTTTCTCTCAATTAAACTTTTGCAGGAGATTATGAAACACTAGATGATGCAAATATTACCTCTTCTGGTAACTTCTCTGGAAGGTATCGAAGTTACAGAGGCGTTTCGGTGCCAACAATTTGTGCTGCTGGTTCCTATTGTCCAGATGGTACAAAACATGACAAAGAATATCTTTGTCCTAAGGGTAGTTATAGCAACAAGACAGGAATATCCAGTGATACTCAGTGTACACCATGTGATCCAGGGTCTTATTGTTCAGGAGAAGGTATGCTTTGCTTCTGTTCTACTTATTATTGATCAGATAGTTACTCTCACATTAATATTCAATTTACTAGATAATTAAAATTATTATGACATTTGATAACTCAGTCTAATTTTAAGTTCAAGTTGTTGAGAATAAAACTCTATTGTTTTTTCTAGGTAATAGAGAAACCACAGGATTATGTACGTCTGGTTATTTCTGTACACTAGGAGCTTATAATTCAACACCAACTGATGGTGTTACAGGAGATATCTGTCCGATGGGAAAGTATTGTCTAGCAGGAACTATCAATGGCGTAGGTTGTCCGATTGGTACTTTCAGTAATATAACAGGTCTACTGGCAGACACAGATTGTCAGAAATGTACCCCAGGTCATTATTGTAGTAGAACAGGTTTAATATCCGAGTCAGGGACATGCTGGGCTGGTAAGTGAATTCTTTGTTTGATCAAGATTAAACTGAAAACAATCACTCTTAAGGTTCAAAATATGCCCTGAAATTAATGAATACGTCATCATCACTACTTCCAAAATGACATTTATGTGACTCGCAGACATTAACAAGTAATGATGAATTGCATTATGTTCTTCAAAATTTAGTTTCTATTAGATATCAACTACATGCAAGTATCAACAAGAAATAGGGTGGTCTTATCCCAAATGCGATAAACACCATTCAAAAATTAAATTATATTTACTTTTTAATATAAATTAAATATTGTTGAAAATACAAATTAGACATTTTGTAGTTTCAGTGTTTATTTTACCTCGGAAAGCATTTTTGGATTTATTTTTAAAACAATGGTGTATTTTTGTGTGAAGTCTGCATGTATTCATGTAATAATAAATGATGGTTGTTGTTATAGGATATTACTGTAGCTTGAGCTCAGAAGAACCAGATCCAGTAGGTAAACTATATGGTGATAAATGTACAGCTGGAAACTATTGTCCTAATGGTACAGCATCTCCGAACCCATGTCCTCCAGGAACATTCTTAGATCAAATTGGCCTCGGTGATGAAAGTGACTGTATTCGTTGTAGTGCAGGTGGGTGTATATATATAGTTGTTATTCATTAAGCAATTAGCCTATCAACAGTAGGAATTATGTCGTGGTGAAAATGTTAAAATCTATGACAGTAATGTTAATCCAGAAAATGACTATCTGAATTTGTTTGAACTTCTCTTTTCAAAAGTAAATCTAATATAATTTTTAAGATTTCTGTGTTAATATTCAAAACTCTTCAAATTGTATCCTACTTTCTATTATTTTTTAAATAGGATCGTATTGTGAAAGTTGGGGTCAGACCAATATAACAGGATTATGTTCTGCTGGATATTACTGTACATCAAGAGCAAATAACTCTAATCCAACAGATGGTAATACAGGTGAGAAAATGTTGTTTAAACATTTTTTATTTATTAACACTTTTAAAGGATGAAAAAGTTTAATTTTCCTCAATAATTTTGAAATGTTCAGATATTTTTCTATTTTGATACTGGAATATCTCTCTACAAATGCTATTTAATGACATATGCCCAAGTATGAAAAACAATATTCTTTTTATCTTTTCTTCAGGTAATATTTGTCCTATTGGTCATTTCTGTGAGGAGGGGTCAGTTTCTCCTGGTCCATGTCAAAATGCCACATACATGAATCACACTGGAGCATCCAGCTGTTATATCTGTCCAGAAGGTCATTACTGTGTCAGCAGAGAAAGTGCAGATATCTGTAGTCAAGGTTACTACTGTCCACAAGGTACTGGAGCAGATCTACAACCATGTCCAACCGGCACTTTTGGAAATGCCTCAGGTCTCATCAATGAATCCCAATGTACTCCATGTAGAGGTAAATTCAGTTTACATGACAATATGAGATCATCTGAACAGTTTTGTATTGTTGTTAAAAACTTTCCATTGATAAATAATTACGGGTAAAATCATTTTACTTGAAATTATAAATTAGTTGAAGTTTTGTATTGTTGTTAAAAAATTGTCACTAGTTTTTTTAAATTGATATTTGATTGAATTCAAGAATATAACTGTTTAGTTAATGAGGTTTTAAAATTGCTGCCTCTATCTTGCAGGAGGTGATTATTGTGGAACACCAGGGTCATCAGATACAGATGGACAATGTCAAGCTGGATATTATTGTGAGTTTGGTGTGGATGTAGCTGCACCATCAGACTCATCACCTCATAAAGGTTTAGGTGGAGAATGTCATCCAGGTTCATATTGTCCTACAGGTTCAACACAACCAGTGCCATGTCCTGCCGGAACTTATACATCAGTTAAAAGTAAGTTTTTGTATCTTTATTTATTTCAGACTAAAACAATAAAAAATAATCTTTATAATGACCCGAAATGAATTGATAACATGAAAGAGCAGTATATTAGTGTGTATATCCATCAATACAAAGATATAAGATAGTATAATAATTCAGAGTTTGTAGGGGGAACATGTCAAAGTAAACTGCATTCCGTTCAGTTTTCATCCTTATCAAATTTAGTCAACATCCAAGTTTTCATTTCCATTAAGTGGCTGTCTATGGCAGTTGTATGGGCATATTTCAACACTTTGTGCGTCTGTTTTTTTTTTATTTTGCTCATCATGAACTGTTTTAATGATTTCAGGAAAGGGATCATGTGATGTCTGTCCTGGAGGATATTATTGTACAGCCAATACAAGTGATCCTTACAGCTCACCATGTCCTAGTGGTCACTACTGTCCACCCGGTACACAATATGATGTCCAGTATAAATGTCCACAAGGAACCTATAATTCTGACACTACTAAAAGTTCAGCTACAGCATGTTTAATGTGTCCATCTGGTCAGTATTGTAGTGGACAAGGTAACAGTCAACCATCAGGGAACTGTAGTGCTGGTTGGTTCTGTTCTGGTGGAGCTACACATTCTCAACCTATTATCTATGGTTAGTAGGAAATTGTATTTTAGGCAGCTGTAAACTAGCATAATAGACTCTGTATGTCATTAGCTTTATTAGCAAAAAAAATCAAATTTTCCATGACTTGATCCACACTAAAATGTACTCAAATATCAAGAAATTGAATATCAACTGTCGATAATCCCTTAGTTTGGATTCATTTGGATCATAAAGAGCCCATTAAAAGATTCAGTGGATGCATTGGTTGCAGATTTTTCAGTTCATCATATCTTAGTTAAAAATTTTCTATGGATAAGATAATTTATTAAAATTGGATTAATGTGATTTACTTGCTTATGAAGTATTGTTCAAGACATACCATGGGCAAAAGTTTAAATGAATTGATATGTTGTTGATATAAAGTTATTTCTTATTGATAGGTAATTATACAGTAAATGATATGTGTACCTGTCCAGAGTTTAATATAACAGGTGGAAGATGTATACCAGGTACATATTGTCCTCAAGGATCATCAGCACCTGTCAACTGTGATGCTGGTTCTTATTGTGATGATTACCAACTATCAACGCCCAAAGGTAATACTTAACAGAATTTTAAGGTCATCCTCCACTTGTCAGGTGAGGTGCCATTAGGTCGAAAACCATGTCCACTTTGTCGTGCATATAAAGAACCATTAACTGTTGGAAATCGAAGAAGAGTGGGTGCAAATGCCAATGTCCAGGCAAGATTACCCTACCTTGCACGTAATCATGAAAATTAGAAATTATCATCTTTCTCTCGAATGACTTTAGTATTGCATTACAAGACAATAAACACCTTTTCATTCCATAACTTACTTTAATTGCTAATGCAGTTATGGAATTATTCATCAAATGTTTGTGTAATGATGTTGTTGCCTTTCCACCAAACTGATCATTATGTATGTATGGAAATTATATTTTAGTACTTGTCAAATAGTTGTGATAGCAATACCCTGAGGAGTTATCGCTTTAATAAAGTATTAAAGATACATTATGTAAGATTTAGATAAAGAACTAGCCATTCTTGCTATAATAGTTTGAAAGTAGATGATGTAAAATGAATAATTTGAAAATTTCATTCAAATTACTCTATTGCAAGCGAAGATATTAGCCTTTGAAGGTTTGACAGACATGTGCAATAATTTCAACCACCGTACTGGTTGATCGAAGCTAAGTCTCTGTCCTCCATATTTGATTAAATCAAAGTATCGCTGAACCATTCTAATCTATTTAATGTCAAAGAAATCTAGTGCCATCGAGAGTTGATTAAGGCCTGGATCAGTTAATTAATGTCTAATTAATACTTTAGAAAACATTTCAGGCCTAAAGAAAGACCTGCAATAGGCAGATTTAGCTCTTGCATAATGCATGTTTAAATATTGACTCATTTTTAACAGGACTATGTAAAGCTGGATATTTCTGTCCAAGTGGTCAGAATGTGCCTGATCCAACAGAATTTATATGTTTAAGTGGACATTATTGTGGAGAAGGTACAGCCACACCTACTGCTTGTCCTATAGGAACATTCTCTAACTCGACCGGTAATACTAATATTACTGATTGTAAACCATGTACACCAGGTAAGATATTACTTTACCAACTAAACTCTAACACTACTGATAATATTAATGTACACCATGTAATATCAAACTCTGCTAGGAACATTGATTTTACCAATTGTAAATCTTTACATGAAAAGTGTTGGTAATACTGATTTTACCAACTGTAAACCATGTACACCAGGTAAAATTTCTTTCTGTTTGAAACACCGATATTACCATTTGTATATATTGTACATACCGGTAAGTTAAAATCTAACAGTATCAATAATACTGATATGAACAAATGTAAAGCATGTACACCAGTTAAAATCAAACTACCCACAACACTGATATTACCATCTGTAAATCATATACACCAGGTAAAACCTAATTCTGCTGGTATACCAGTATGACCATATCTTCCAGGACCAGATAACATCTAACTCAGCTGGTAATACCAGTAGTACCATATACTCCAGGACTAGGTAACCCTATTATTAATCTGTATTTAAATTTCAAGTTGTTAGTAAAGTTCTGTATATTTCTAGGATTCTACTGTGATGGATTAGGATTAGTTGAAGTTACCAATCCTTGTAATGTTGGTTATTATTGTCCAGAAGGTCAGATAACATCAAGTCCTGTTAGTTATATTTGTCCTAAGGGATTCTATTGTCCTGTAGGATCAGATCAACCCATAATATGTGAGAGAGGTAAAACAATGCTTACATCTTACTTTCAAACGATTTTTGGTGTTGACAAACTTGCTACATCATATATTATTTTACTGCTTAATTAACTATAATTAGCATTAGTGTTCTATTTATTTCTTCAATACCGGTAGCATACTTAAAAAAAACAAATTGAAGTATTTGATGAAAGTTTTTCATGTTTTTCTCTGCTCATACACATAACAAATACATAATGATAAATATCTGATTCTGTTGACAGGAAAGTACCAGTTTGCATTTGGTCAGTCTAGTTGTGACTCTTGTCCATCCCGGTTTTATTGTGACCCATATGAAATGGGTAATACTACTGGTATTATTGATCCTGTAGAATGCCCTGTTGGTCATTACTGTCCTACTGGTACAGGTTATAAACAACAGAACCCATGTCCACCTGGTACATTTAGCAATACACCAGGATTTGAATCAAGTGGTAAGTTTTAGCTTTTTATACAAATCATTAGAGGGGGTTTGTTGGTTATAATATGGTCTAATTCGTTTGCTTTAGATCATACGGTATATTATTGAATCAAGTGAAGAGGTTAAAATCCCAAGCGAATTATTAAAATAATGTGTTAGTCCTGAAATAACCTAGTTTATGTCAAGTGGGCATTGAACCACATGTCAAAAGTATGGTGAAAGAACCAAGGAAATGATAGCTTGATACAAATATCACCTTGGTAGTATATGACTGTGAACAAATAACAGAAAGGAGATTATAACCCAGTTTTGATTGGATTGGGATAAGCCTTGCTTACTTATGGAAGACTGTCTTCCATAATTACTTATCTACAACCCACTCCTCCACACACTCCCACAACCCCCAAATAATGAACAACGATATAATTATAATGATCTGTGTTTTAGTTGAATGTTCAGAATGTAGTTACGGTTATTACTGTGCTCAGTCTGGTTTAACAGTACCAGAAGATAAATGTGCTGCTGGGTATTTCTGTCAAGGTGGTGCTAGTAGTCCAACACCAACAGATGGTACAACTGGTAATATCTGCCCTGTTGGTCTCTACTGTGAAGAAGGATCTGTTTATGGTAAGATAGAAAATAACTACTGTTACAATATCAATTATAATTCTAATAACCTTCAATGTAATTCTGTACTTTTGCATTTTATATTAACATATATATTGCCTACTTATTACAGGTACTGAATGTCCATTAGGAACATACAACAATTTTACTGGACTAAGATATGCTAATGAGTGCATACCATGTGATCCAGGTTACTATTGTCCATCACAAGGTTTAATAAAACCATATGAACAATGTACAGCCGGTTATTATTGTGAAATAGGTTCACCAGAACCTGCTCCTACTGCTAAACTTTATGGTTATCTTTGTCCTGTTGGTCACTATTGTCCACAGGGTACACCGTCACCAGTCCCTTGTATCAAGGGAACATATCAACCATCTGAAGGTAAGACCATTCTATCCTTTCTTGCTACCATTGTCTTAGCAAATTAGATTATTATAATAGTGCCATTTTCTCCTTTTGGTTCCTTTTGTTAAGTGGCATACAGTCCTTCTGCCTTGTCTATAGAAATACACCTGTTAGAATCTGCTTCCTAATGAACAACATAGCAAGAACAAGCTTGAATCTTAATATTCCTGCACTTACATAACTCAGAGGCGGATCCAAGGGGGGGGCGCGAGTCACATGTTCAACTGGCTTTTTTGCTCGATTTTAAGGCTTTAGCAACGGTTTCCGAACTTTTACTTAGACGAAAATATCAGCCAAATAGCTCTTGGAATGGCTACAGATGCAAGGAAATGGCGGATAGTTTTCTTGGGCCCCCCCCCCCCCCAACCCCTCTCGACGGCGTGCCCCGTCTCCGCAGTCAGTGCCCTCATTTTCTGGCGCCCCCCCCCCCCTTTTCAAAATTCCTAGATCCGCCCCTGTAGCTGCCCAGCAGAACAGACAGAAAGAATACAGGAACATCAACATTTTCTGAATCAGTGGAACAAAGATATGGAATCAAATATTATATAAGTTATAACATGTATTGTTTATGTATTATTACAGGAAAGAAGAGTTCTAGTTCATGTGTTAATTGTGATCCAGGTTATTATTGTTTAGAAGAAGGTAATAGTACTGTAACAGGGCAGTGTATGCAAGGATTTTATTGTACCAGTAAAGCACAAGTACCAAATCCTACAGGTATGTCTCTAAATCTTGCTACGAACACCTTTCAATCTTTTAAATATTATTTTACAGTCCATCATCAATGGCTCAGTATACATTATTAGTACTCACGAATATTCTTATTGCAATACTTTTTGAACTGATATGTTAGTATTCATCATTCAATGTCAATTAAAACAAGTAGAATATTTACTACTTGTTTGAATTTAGAAATCTGAAAATGCATCGGAAAAAATCCCAAAATTGATTTTATAAATTAAAGTTGATTCTTTAAACAGCATTTCAATTACATTAGAAATAGTAAAACCAGCATTCGATGTCTACTAATTCTGAAGTTTTTTTTGGAATATAATGTGACCAGTCTAATTTTTAATGAGCTCTACATACAAATAGCATACAAAATTTACTATGTCTTAGCTCCATTTCCTATTTAAGATGTATATTTGTATTATAAAACAAATGAAATTATTATAATTTAAGCTAATAAATGAAATATATCTTTCTCTGTAGATGGTACAACCGGTGATATCTGTCCTGTTGGTCACTATTGTCCAGTCGGTTCGGACCGACCTTTGACCTGTCCTCCAGCCACCTTCATGAATCATACAGGAGCAGATGTCTGTGACCCATGTCCAGAAGGATATTATTGTACCAAGAACGATGAAGCCACACCCTGTCCCCAGGGTTTCTACTGCCCACCTGGTACAGGTGGTAGTTATTATCCTTGTCCAGTAGGCACCTTTGGAGCTAATCAGAAATTGACCAATGAATCTGAGTGTAGTTTATGTACAGGAGGATTGTACTGTGCCACACCTGGTTTATCAGCACCAACCAATCCATGTCAAGAAGGATTCTACTGTGTTTCTGGTAATTTTTCTTTTATGTTTAAAAAAAGAATAAATAAGAGTTGAAAAGATTCTCTTAAATGAAGTTAGTAAATATGTTCTTCTTATCCCAGACACATAATGCCTCTGGTCTTTGAAGTCCTATTAACTATTGATTGGAGACTGTATCCTATGATCTTTGAAGTCCTATTAACTATTGATTTGGAGACTATATCCATTGAAGGCATAAAACTATGATCGTGGAATCCAATTCTATTTTCAAATGTGTAGATATTGCTATTTCAAGTAAATATCACTAACCAACAGGTGAAAGGTACTCAAGTGGAATGACTAATAATTAATTGCTTAGTGACTAAAGCTCACTAACCTGAAGGTTGGGGCCTTGATCACGACGTTGGCAGAGAAAGCCATCTGTGATTTTTCAGCATAGTGCAGGATGGAGATCCTGGTAAAGAACAATGTCCAGTTGTGTTGATATTACAGAAACCGAGGTTCTGTGTACACATTTGTGTCCATGTAAAAGAGCAATTAACAGTTTTAGTTTGATGAAGAGTAGGTGGAAACACTACTATCAAAGCAAAATTTCCCACATAGCACACTGGTCTTCATTAGCCTGTTTATTGTAGAAAAGTAAAACTTTAAGTAAACCCTATTTCATTTCATTTAATAGTAGTTATTGACTAGCACAATTTATTAATTTTGCTAATGATGAATAATTATTGTTTTGTTAAAGGTGTAAATGTGGCCACACCAAACAGTGGTATTTCTCATACTGGTGTGGGTGACCGATGTCCAGCAGGATTTGAATGTCCACTCAATTCAACCTATCCTATACCTTGTAATCCAGGTCAATATTCACCAACAGATACTGCGTCTGCTTGTCTTGTATGTCCTGAAGGTAAAGAAGATTTCATATAAATATCATCCAAATTGTTTGTATTAAGAGCAATAAGAAATGCTCTATTTGTAAAGTGTTTAGCTAAGTCTTCTCCAACATTATATCAGAATTGTAATTTTTTGTGCATACAATCTCTGAAACTAGTAGGGTGCCCCATGCAGCGAAAATTTTCTCTACTGAAAGTTGAACTCAACACGGCGAATGTGCACACGTAAGTGGCTTGTCTCGAAGTGATTTCTGGCTAGTCACGTAGTACGATAACATTCGTATGAGTCTATAAATAGCCATCGCACGTGAAATTCTCTACATATCTATCATCTATTACAGCCGTAAAAATCCATTGTTGACGATTCTGAATAGCAGTAATATTTAACTTTTTGGTTATTACAGCAGCTTGAGAAATTGCGTTTGTTTTATTTTTTAAATTGCTTTATCATTAACTATACCGTTAGGAGCGGCATCTTTTGGTTTAGTACAAATAATATCTCTGAAACACTCAGGTTAGGCAAGAACATGATACTAGCAGTAGTTTCATTTTACTTTTACAAGGTTCTTAAAACAATTGTTGAGTTGCCTAACGTGTGTGTTTCTAAATTCAATTTCTTGTTCCAGCTTTCTGTTATGTTTCGTAAAAAAAAGTAGTCTTGATTATCCTGACATGTCAATCAGACGGGGAATGGTCGGTGGACTGGTTAAGTGAGACTTATTTCAAAACAAGAGCATGTAACCTATTTTTTTTACTCAAAAGTGCCCAGATGTTATGGCCGACACCCGTAACCATTTTTCAGTCTGTTTTTTATTGATGATTAAATGGTCATAGCTTAATAAGTAAAACATGACCTTTTATTTAGTGACTTTTAATGTGTGAAACTGATTTAAGACTTGGTATATATATAAATATTTTGGTGTAATTGTCGAGATAATTGGAGATATTTATTTATGGTGGGTCACCCTACAACTAGTTCTGTTCTTTTGCAAAATCTTCAGGCTTAAGGAGATATCACAGACAAGTCTTATTTTTCATTTTTATTATCTTAGCTGTTCCCTTTATATAGTCGTTGGGGACTCAAGTACAGGAGGAGTCAAGTGTCAAGAAAGCCGCTTAAGACTTGCTGTTATAAAAATATGTATATGCATAGACTCTATAAACTCCTAACCCTTATTTTGCGATCAAAATATAATAAAATCTCTTAGTCCTTTTAATTAGTCTTTAATTTGCTTGATGGTGCGGAAAAAATGGCCAGGCCTCTAATTCCGGGAACTGATCGACTCCTCCACGAAAGGCTTCCCACTTTTTTTTATATGTATGTAATATAAATACATTATTGTATACATGTATGTAATATAAATATTTATTTTTTAACAGGACATTATTGTATACATGTATGTAATATATATATTATTTCAGGATATTATTGTGAGAATCAAACAGTGACACCTGTAATATGCCCTGTTGGACACTACTGTCCACCTGCTACACAGTTTGATGTACAATATCCTTGTCCACAGGGTACCTTTAATAATGACACTGGTGAGTATACGGTACACTTATAAAACATTATTATCCTTACCCCTTTCAACCTAGACGATAAATGCAAATTATTTTTCAAGAATCCGTTACTGTGATCAACCATTGACGAGGGAAATATCCCAAAATATAGGAGGTTGGATGGCCGAATGGTTAGCATGTGTGCGCTGTATCATAAGGTCTGTCATTGAGTCAACTGTCGTGGTTTCGATTCCCCAGTTATACGTGACAAGGAGTAGGGTCGCCTGTCCAAACTTGTGGGTTTTCTCAGGGTGCTCTTGTTCCTCTCACTGCTAAAGACCCATACGCGCAAGCAAATTATTGAAATAAAATTCAAACCATATGTTAGTCCCAAAATGACCTAGTTTGTATCGCGTGGACGTTAAACCCCATTTCTCTCTCTCTGTTATATAGGAGGTGGTAATGCTTATGTATTTTATATAGCAAGTAGTAATGTTGTTTATATATATTTTAAACAGGAAGTGGTAATGAGACAACAGATTGTTTAGAATGTCCACCTGGTTATTATTGTCAAGGTGTAGGTAATAATAATCCTACTGGGCTCTGTGATCCAGGTTTCTTCTGTGCTGCGAAATCTTACCAAAAACGACCATATGACCCAGGATTCCTCACTAGTCTTAATGGGACTTCAAGGTAAAATATTTATTACCACATATACTGTATTTTACTGGGCATGAGTGTATGTGGAATATCAGTTGAATAATAACATTTTTGTACCTAATATTAATTACTGTAATGTAAAATAAGTCACTAAATCTGGGACTAACTTGCGTGATGTATCAAATTTTGTTCTTGTTTCATTTGAATTGGTTTCTTTTTCAGAATGTCCGATAAATATTAAAAAAAAAAGACTGTTTGTTGATCAATAATGAAGTAGAAAACCTCGTGAGACATGTGAAATTAAGGGTACAATAACTGAAATGAAAGTAGAAATCTAGCGAGACACGTGAAATTAACCAATGTAAACGTGCCGAATCTAACACGTCTGAAGATTCTATTTTGATGGCATATTCTCAGATTTATGATCATATTTTGAATGGGGTTTATGTTTTTATATAAATAAATAAACACACTAGAAAATTGTGACGCATATTTCGATTGGAATAATGTAAGTAGTTAATTCTTTTAGACGATAACGCGTGCTAGGGTCGATTGCGGTTTTTTAGCAGATGTCACTCGCTCATTGTGGTACAGCGACAATTACTGCCAAATAAATTTCGGGATGCAAGTCGAAACAGAGTATAAGACGAATGCCGGACTTCCGGCCCCGCTGAAAAATGTATCGAGTTATATCCCCCAAAATATGATAATTTTGAAGTAATTTGAAACAGGTACGGGTCGGCACGCTTTCATTCTATCGTATTACGACAACACACAATTTTGTATGAATATTACTGACATAAATTTGAATACCGTACGAGAATTAAATATGAAAAATAACCAGGTGCATCTATTTTTTATTACGTACTTGCAGGATACCCGGCTTCGCTCGGGGGTCATAACTCCGAAACCGAAAGTGGTAGACTAACGCCACCTGGCCTATGTTACTCCTCGGTCCGAGCTACCCCTATACCCCAAATTTCAGACTTGGGGCAGACCTAGTGTAGCCGCCAACCCCGACTTCGCTTGGGGGTCATAACTCCGAAACCGGAAGTGGTAGACTAACGCCACCTGGCATATGTTACTCCCCGGGCCGAGCTACCCCTATACCCCAAATTTCAGACTCGGGGTAGACCTAGTGTAGCCGCCCGAACAGACTGACTTCACTCGGGGGTCATAACTCCGAAACCGGAAGTGGTAGACTAACGCCACCTGGCCTATGTTACTCCCCGGTCCGAGCTACCCATATACACCAAATTTCAGACTCGGGCCAGACCTAGTGTAGCCGCCAACCCCGAACAGACTGGCTTCGCTCGGGGGTCATAACTCCGAAATCGGAAGTGGTAGACTAATGCCACCTGGCCCATGTTACTCCCCGGTCCTAGCTACCCCTATACCCCAAATTTCAGACTCGGGGCAGACCTAGTGTAGCCGCCAACCCCGAACAGACAGACAGACAAATGACAGTCACAAATATATATATATAGATAAACTAGAATATTTTTCTTTGCAATTGTCAAGAACATCAATGTTACTAAAAATAGAATATCAAACACCTAGTAATTATACAATTAGGTTTTATTTTTTTCAAGGAATTTATTTTTGAAATCAGATTTATTATCCCAAAGAAATAGATGTATAGCTATACGTCATGAAATGAAAATAAGTATTGATTTGAGATCAGTATGTGAATATTGATGGTTTAGAATGCATATATTTGATGGTAATAATAACTTTTTCTAATATTATAATTTCAGTGGTTTATATGCCAATGATACTTGTACACCAACGTGGGACTGTGTTTGTCCAGACTTCCATTTAACACGTGGTGGAATGTGTCCTATAGGATATTACTGTCCACGTGGTTCTAGTAAACCCAAGTCATGTGATGGTGGTAGATATTGTGCTTTACCTGGTTTAGAAACACCTACAGGTAACTATATTCCATTTATTGATATTAGAAATCTAGTCAAATATTTCAGTAGTACACCATTGTTAGGGTTTATATCATGAATCATATTACAAATGACAAAATTCCTGTTAATATTTCAATAAATGTTCACGTAATGTTCACGCAATGTTCACCAAATTTTCAATATCATAACAAAAAGAAACAGGTTCCCCCTATATAAAGCTGCAATGTGATAGAAGGCCAAATATGTAGCAAATATCAGGCCTGAAATTAATAGAATGTGAGCTTTAGATGGCAATAACTTACACTGATATCAATCCATTGTGATAATTTTTCAACTGATATACTTTTTCGCAATACTGTTTATTGTTTTTGACCTGAAAATCTATATATTCCATTTACTCTTGTCGGAAAATATAAACCATTTGAATAACTGTCATTTTTCACAGTGACTGATAAGTTTATTATATTGTATTTATTAAGGAAACTGTAGTATGGGATGGTATTGTAATGGTACTAGTGCTATACCTAATCAGTTTGAATGTCCAACTGGCCATTATTGTATAGAAGGGACAACAACACCTGAACCTTGTCCAACTGGAACCTTTGCCAATTCAACCCATGGTGGTCAGCTAGCTGATTGCCAGAACTGTACAGCAGGAATGTTCTGTCAGGGTAAGCTTTAATCATTTTCAGTATATAAAAAAGAATTGAAAATTCCTATAATGTTGTTAAAAACTGAGATGATAAATAATTTTGGGTCAATCATATTTGGTGTATATTTCTAGGTCTTGGAAATGTGATTCAAACAGATTACTGCGATGCTGGTTATTATTGTCCTGGAGGTCAGAGCTCGAGGACACCAGTAGATTATTTGTGTTTACCAGGACATTATTGTGAGAGAGGTTCTGCTATATCTGTTGTTTGTCCTAATGGTACCTATCAGTTAAACTCTGGCCAGAGTTATTGTGACGACTGTCCTGCTGGATACTTCTGTGATCCTAATGATGGTGAGTTGTCATAGTGTTGAAAATGCCCTTTGGGAATGCTTGAGTTGAATAATTCAAATATTTATACATAATTTAATGTCAAACATTGAATTGTGTGTAACTTGTAAAATATTAAAATGGGGGTACACGTGTTATAGAACTGAAAATAAAAAGGTTTTTTATAAAGATGATGTTCCTACATGTAGCTGGTTAACTGCTGAGTTTAGAGCAACACATTGTTAGTAATCTATTTGTTTATCTGGTTAACACATACATTGATAGCAATCTATTTGACTAGCTGGTTAACTAATCAGTTTAGAATTATACATGTATTTTTGGTAATCCATTGATTAGCTGGTTAACTAGTCAGTTTAGAATTATACATCTATTGTTAGTAATCCATTTGATTAGCTGATTAACTACTGAGTATAGCTATACATGTGTAGGAATCTAGTTGTTTCTTTATTGTATACTAACATTATGTACTACAAGTAAGCTATAACCTTATAGTCTTAGTGCTCCTACGGTTAGGACTTTTTGTTATTCGAATAGCCGTAGCTATTAACCGGTTAGTAACCGTTAACCGTATGGTATCAATTTTAAACATAAAACAGAGCTTGTCAGGAGCTACGAGTCATTACTCGTGCGCACGCTATACTCGCGTTATAAAAGGCATTACACGCGCAAAAATTTCAGGAATTTTTTCAGACATGTAAAATTCTTTAATGAAAATTTAAACTATCTAAGGCCGTAGCTATTTATTTACCTGGTTAACTTGGTTCATTTGAAACATTTTTTTAATTCAATATAAAGATAATATACAAAACAATACTCAATTTCCCTTCGTACGTGACAGACGGCGATAATATTACGATTACACAATGTTACTAAGAATAGAATAAAGTAAATTAGAAGGCGTCTATTGATTGGACAATAAAGAAATAATTCCTCACTTGCAAGTAGAATTTTTATGATTGGTTAATTTAACTGAAAACCAAAGTAGAATTCATTCGAGAAATTACGAGATATGAAACGTGTTCAATGCCGTAACGAATCTAGTATAATGTCATTTTCTAGCCTTTATGATTATATTTTGAATGGTGGTTACGTTTTGAAGTAAATAATAAACAAGGTAGAATATAGTTAGAAATGCCGAGAAGTATTTAGATTGGATTAACAATAGCAAAAGTCGAACAAGGTCCGTTGACTTTGCCGTATGACTACGACGAGTGCTATTAATAGTATCATTGTTTAGCAGTCGACATCGTTGGACGACTGTTACATTCTAAAATTTTCAAACATCAAATACAAAATTACAACGGACAAGTTTTGTTATAAAGAGGAATATAATCAGACACAACTCTATGTAATGGGGGACATCTCCGAATAACCGTACCGTTGAATTCAAACCGTTTAACCGTCCAGTTCTAACCGTTTACGGCTATCCGACTAGTCGTAGGAGCACTATATAGTCTGTAGAATTTAGATATGTCGATGTAGATTTTATGTATGTTGAAAATATATATTTCAATATTCATTTGTTTTCTTCAGGAAATATTACATATATTAATGGTAATAATCTAGATTATATTATCTTCTCTAATCCTCTTCTTATATGCACACCTGGTTTCTTATTTTTTTACACTATCTAATATGTTAAATTTTCTATCAAGTAAATCCTTGAAACTGTCTTTTCTATTTTTAATGTTGAAATACTGGCAAATAGTTTTAGCACAATAATATTTTTTCTTATTTTTAACCATTTTTTAACTTGTTATCCTGATTCTTTTTTGCCGTAATAAGTATATTAATGTCAACTAAACAGACAATTAAATACATCCTAAAATGAAGTAGTTCATATATCGATATGCATGTAATGTTTTAGTTAAATAGACTGATTGATATAGATAGATTATTGTTTTCTCACACATAATTAAACTCTTTAACATAGGTTTTATACAGTTTGATAATCTAGTTTATTTCTGCTTTCTATAGGTATTCCTGTAGCCACTCCATCTCCATGTCCAACAGGTTACTACTGTCCACCTAGAACAGTTGCTGCACAAACTTATCCCTGTCCAAAAGGAACCTATGGCCCAGATATGTATTATAGTAATATTGGAAACTGTACAGCCTGTCCATCTGGTTCATATTGTGAGAGAAGTGGTTTATCGTATGCTAGCGGTGGATGTTGGGCTGGTTATTATTGTACAGGTGGCGCCTCACTACCAACACCTATAGATGATATGGTAATATTATTATTAAATTTTATTTAATGTTAAATTTATCAAAAGTCTCCATTAAATATTTACTGTCTCGGTTACCATTTGAGATGTTTCTGTGATGATTAATAGTATTATTAAACAATCTAATTATTATTAGCATTGTTAAGTTCTGCTCTAAATTGTGTATTTACACTCAAAATCTAAATATTCCTTATCAGTTATCTGTTCTGTTTGATGTCAGATCGGTTCAAACCATTCTTATTCAAAACAGAGCATCTTTTCTTTGAGTCGATGAGGTCAGGAAAAATCAGTTGAACACAGAAATCTAATATGAACTGGTTAAGCTCTGTATTATAACATTGACATAAGCATATGACACTTTAATCTGCCATTTGCATTACAGGTTGATCACAGTAATAATATAACATTTACTGGTAATGATATGTGCCCAGTAGGATATTATTGTACTAACAGTACTAGTTATCCTACACCATGTCCTATTGGTACATTCTCTACACAACGTGAAGTCACTAAACCTGAAGATTGTGAACCATGTCCTAGAGGAAGATATTGTAACATCAAGGCTTTCACTAAAGTATCTGAAGCTCCATTGTGTGATCCTGGGTAAGAACTACGACTGTACAGATGGATGGGTGGTTGTATGGATGCACATTAGGTCATTCGGTTTGTCATCAAGTCAAGTAGCTCGGTTTCATTCTCTGTACGTGACGAGGAGTAGGTTTGCCTGCCCAACCTTGTGGATTTTCTCTGGGTCCTCTGATTTTCTCCCATCTGTCAAAGACAATTACACACAAGCAAACGATTGAAATACAATTGTACAATATGTTAGTCTCAAAATTAAACCTGATTTCTCTATCTCTCTCACCAGTCATTTACATGAAATAAAATATAATCATAAAGATGTAAAACTCTATTCTTATTTTTTAACACTAAACAAATAGCTAACAGTGAATAAGTTGAGCTGGTCAAAAAAATTCTTCAAAATGTGACCCGTGAACTCCATGATTTCATTCCTCCCAATTGTATAAATATAAATGGCTAGTGAAATATGAATGATAAGTTTTGTATTATTTTCTAGGTATATATGTATAGGTGGTAGTACAACAGCAACACCCAGTGATAATATAGAAGGTTATATGTGCCCACCAGGACATTTCTGTATAAAAGGTGCTGAGTTTGAAGAGGGTTGTCCAATTGGAACATTCCAGTCTAACCATGGATCAGACAATTGTACTATTTGTCCTGCAGGTTTTATATGCCCGGATATGAATATGACATCACCATTACCTTGTAAAGAAGGTACTTAATTGCCTTTTCTCAATATATATACTAAACATTGTTGTATATGTAAGATTTGAAATACTATTTTGAACTGCCATTTCTAATAATCTGGCACAAAGTATTACTAGCCACCATTTGCCATTGTGAGTCATGATGCGATTTAGTGATTGAATTCGAGCCTTAGTATACTTAATCGGGATTTCTTAGATGATGTATTTTATTTTTTCGAAGATCTAAAACTTATGTGACCTATAATCCAACATTTAATCTGTTTTATGTGAGGTCCTTTCTCACATTCTGTGTAAAAAAATAAAATTAAATCATATGTCTGTTTTCAACTATTGCATGTGTTATTTTATTAGGTTATTATTGTCCGTATGGTATATCACCACAACCATGCCCTGCTGGTACATATAACAATAAAACTAGTATGGAGATTATTGATCAATGTACAAATTGTTCACCTGGTAAATACTGTGAAGGTCCTGGTAATATTCTACCAACAGGTATATATATATTCATAATCACAAGCATTAATAAAATAAACCATACTTTTTTAAATCATAATATTGTATAATTGTTACATAAGAGTAATTATATAAGCATTAGAAAAGTTATTTAATTTGGGTTTTGTCATTTGATCCTCTTTTGAACTTATGTCTGGCAGTTGCCTATATTTGAAGGCCCAGTACATTTGCTACCAATATGGATATGATCTTCCATTACCAGTTTAAATCAAACTAAATATTTATGAAAATTAGGATCTTGAGGAAAGAAACATGATATTATGTGACTAGCACTTTCAATTCCATCGCAAACATCATCAAACCTTTCATTTACATTCTCCAGTAATTATTACATAGCTGTTTGAGTTCACTTCTCATTACATTAATATGAGTTGTTATTTTTAAAGGTGAATGCGATGGTGGATATTTCTGTGAAGGCGGTTCAACTAGTAAAGCTCCGAGCCCAACACCAACTTATCCTAATAATGGTTTATGTATAATAGCTCATTATTGTCCACAAGGTACATCTAGAATGATTAAATGTCCAGCCGGTACTATCAGAAACAGTACAGGTAAACCATTTTTTGTATATAAAGCCTACTTACTAATGTAGGGGAGGGGGGGGCGCAAGTGATTTAGCTTGTGCACTTTAGATCATAAGGTCTGTCATTGAGCCAATCTAGTAGTGTCGCCTGCCCAACCTGCAAGAGACCCTTACGCATGCAAGCAAATTATTGGAATACAATTGTACCATATGTTCCGAAATGACCCAGTTTGTATCGATGGATGTTAAAGGACCTAAGTCCGTAACTCAAAATCCTCCAAAATCTTCGACATCGAAAACACAAATTATTGGTCAATTTAAATCAACATTGATGATGTAAACTTACCGGGAAAAGATGAGCTTCTGATAACCGATATTTAAGATAAAATAATTTTTTTAACATTGGTACACGAATCGTGTACCATAATGCGCTTCAGCCCCAGTTGTATTGAGGGACGAGGCTAGACACATTGCACCAAATCAAATGGAGTTATGTAGACTAGAATAACTAGACGCTAGAAATTTGCACTCGATTGAGATTGCTGACTTATTTCGCCGAACATAACTGATTTGAAATTGGAGTAAAAACGGAAACCATTAAATGTAAATCAGTTTATATACATTCATATTACAGTATTATATGCGTTGCGACCCACTTTTGTGAATTTCTAGGTCCCAAATGTTAGCGATTTAGCTCCTTTAAACCCGACATCTCTTACATATAATAATTCATGATACTGTCTGACCATAGTTAATGACAGAGGAAAAATGCTCTCATATTAACAAGCTTTGTCCACTACTTTTAAGAGGAATTTTATGCTTTTTGCACGATCTTCCTAATCCTGCATGAAAAGATGCTTGTGGTGAGTGTCAAATTGGCTAATTTGCCATCTCTATGTTTTGAGTTATTGATATATATTTATATATTTTATGATTAGGTGGAGCTGTATTAGATGATTGTTTACCATGTCCTGGTGGATATTATTGTGAGAAAGATGGTCAGATAGAAGCTACAGGACAATGTTCTCCTGGTTATTATTGTCCAGCTAATGATACAACTATATCACCTACACCATCAGGTCTAGAATGTCCTGTAGGCTATTATTGTACCATAGGTACTGCCAACCCTATACCATGTCCAGCTGGTCAGTTCCAGATTAATACTGGTCAGTCATCATGTGAAGCCTGTCCTGCTGGATTCTATTGTCAGAGTGCTATATCTCCAGAACTTAAAGACTGTCCTCCATACCACTACTGTCCAACAGGTAAGAAATCTGTTGTTGTCTTCAGTATGAAACAAAATTCTAGATTGTTCTGCTAGCCTGATTATTTATTTAATTACAATTATTTAATATTGACCTATGTTTTATATTTTCTGTTCATTGAAAACAACTATATTTCAAGTCGAAATTTATTTAATTTCTTGAAAGAACATGTACATTATTAAATGTTTAGTTGATAAAGTTTCAATTTTCAATGTTTTTCAAAAATCTTTGCCTTTTTAGGAACTGCTTATCCTATTTCATGTGAGAATGGAACATTTACATATGATAATCAGACTCAACTTAAAGCATCCAGTGATTGTTCACCATGTGTAACTGGTCAATACTGTAGGTAAGTAAAAATACACTAAATAGGTATATAAATAAGGGCACACTGTTCAAGACGAAAAGCCATATATAGATTTCCAGACCATTCATTACCATACATACTGGTCAAGAGATTATTAAAATTGATCGGTCCTAGTGTTACACTGCCATCTTTACTCTTTTTGAATTGTCTGTTGACATCTGAATGGTAAAACATTTCTCTTTTAAGTGTCAAAATTTTTATTCGCCCACATTTTCATGTGGACATATTATGCCGTCGCCCCTGTTTGCCTATCTGCCCGTCCACAATTTTGTTTTGACGAAACGTAAAATATAGGTCAATCTCCCAAATATCTAATTTCCTTTCGATATTGGCATATATCGGACGATAACTTCATGGATTGTGGCCCCTGATTGTACGAAAAATCACCTAAATATATGGTATATCAAGGTTGTGGACCCTCTTGAAGTCACAATGTTGATCCGATTTTGATGAAACTTGAAATATATCTTTATAACCCAAAGATCTCGGTTCCTGTCGGTATTCGTGCATATCGGATTGTAACTTCCTGGATTATGGCCCTTGATTCTATGAATAATCTCTTTTTGTTTAGCTTGTTCACTATCCATCCCTGGCAAAATGTGGGCGTATCCTGCCTGGCAGCTGCTGGTCAGTCTTTATTGTTTAAAGTTTACATTAAACCCCATTTTATTTTGTTGTTTAAGTTTATCTTGGACCTCTGCTATGGTGAATAAATTATATGCATCGGTTTTTGTAATAGAATTTGACAATTTCACTTGTTGGCGTTTTATTTTTTAGGAATGGTCAGCTATATGGAGATTGTTCAGCAGGTTTTTACTGTAAATCTGGGTCTAAAGAAGACATGCCAAATAACACAATTAATTTTGATGTATGTGCCAGTAATACAGATTGTTCCGGTTTCTGTCCTAGAGGATATTATTGTCCACAAGGAACTATCATACCACTGCCTTGTCCAGATGATACATATAGAAACACAGTAGGAGCTGAACAACAGAGTGATTGTATAAATTGTCCTGCTGGCTTCCTTTGTCCTGAAGGTATTTTGCAATATATTATTAATTTATGAACAAATCTTTGAAAATAATTTCTTTTGAATTTTATTTCCAATTTTGAATAGTATTTGATTATTATATATTAGAATGGTTTCATATGCCTTAGTTAGTGGTGCCAGATGGAAGGCCTGGTCAGGAACAATGTCTAGTCATTAGGATTGTATGAAAAGCAAAAGTCCTGTGTACATGTTAGCGTGCACATAAAAGAACCCCTCCTGACAATTGGTGGTCTGCCATTAAGGCAAAATTAGCCATGATGTGGCAAAAAAATTTGGATGTTAAACCCAATTTCATTTGATTATATTTCCATATGCCTTAGCGATGACATATTTGCAATTGGTATGATAAGTCAGAATAGGACCAAGAAAAAAAAGATTATGATATCAAATTTTTAATTGTTTACATGGATTTAATGTGTACTGGAATAGGACACTCGGTCAATTAATGTGAATATGATTATTTTTGTATGAAAGGTACAGCTGATCCTATCCCGTGTCCAGCAGGTTTCTATTGTTTAGCTGGTAATGGTACTACACCATGTCCAAGATTAACATATAGAAATGATAGTGGTGGTGCTGTATTAACCGATTGTTATCCTTGTGAAGCTGGTTATTGGTGTAATTATACTGGTATGTTTTAATTCAACTTTCTCTGTATCACAGTAAAATGATATTAAATTCATTTTGCTGATGGCCTCTCAAATCTATATAGTCTGCCTTTTTAATTGAAATGAATATCTCCTTAATCAGAATATCAAATTGAAAATTATAGTCTTTTGATTATCATACAAAACTATTTAAATTTATTTCATTTGGTATCAATTTATTGTTGCTGGTTTTTTATCATTAGATATATTTGTTCCATTTTTCCGAGATTTGATTTTTTCTCATTTGAGTTGGTTTAAAACAATATGTAAATATTGTATTACAGGTATGGCTGATTATATAAACAACTTATGTCCACCCGGTTATTTCTGTTTATCTGGTCAGGAACCAGAAATATGTCCAGCTGGTACCATGAGAGATACACCCGGTTCCACAGGTCCTGGAGATTGTCCACTTTGCAGACCTGGATACTACTGTCCAAATGATACAGCCAATACACAGGGTATCCCATGCCAGGAAACTTTTGAATGTCCAACAGGAGCATCTTTAGAGATCGATTGTCGTCCAGGTCATTTCTGTAAAGGAACAACCGGTTTCCCACCAATTTGTCCCGGAGGTTATTATTGTCGTAATGCTACAGATACACCAATAGAATGTCTGATTCCAACGTATTGTCCTGAAGGTTCCAACATGACATTAATCTGTCCTCTAGGTTACATGGCCAACAATCATGCCGGAGTTCGAGACAGCATTTCAAAATCGTGTCGAATCTGCCCAGCAGGAACTTATGGTAACTACACAGATAGGTCACAATGTGACCTTTGTCCATCTGGATACTATTGTCCTGAGGGTACTGGACATGGAGACTCAAATCCTTGCCCAATTGGTTCGTATTGTCCACTAGGTTCAGCAGCACCATATAAATGTCCTGTTGGTATGTATGGAAAGGTTTTCCGAGCTGATAATTTTGGTCAATGTGTAAATTGTCCAGCTAACTATTACAATAATTTGGAAGGACAGAAGGCTTGTCGACCATGTGGAAGTTCTTCCTATTCGTCTGCTGGTAGTTCTCAGTGTACATGTGTGGGTAAATTCCGTAACTTCCAGGAATCAGATGGTGCTTGTATTTGTATGTCGGGTTATATATTCTACAATGAAGTGGATAAGAAAGTATCAACAGGAAATGGTGACGAAGACTGCCAAGAGATTGTTGATTTACGATGTTCACAGTTTGAAACGAGAGTTGCCAGTGATAGAACATGTTCACAAGCTGAGGATTATGACTGTTCGTCTGCTTGTATAGATGCTGGTGGTGTATTAGATATAGATTTAGGAAGGTATGATAACACTTTTTGAAATTATAAAAGATTTTGAGAGCAGAGAAAGAGCTGGTCATTCTTGCTTTAATAGTTCGAAAAAAGATAATGAAAAATGAATGTATTGAAAACGTTATAAATGTTTGACCATAATAACTCTTACCCACAGTTATATAACATTTAAAGCCAGAAAAACATTCACTAATAGACAGATTTAGATTTCACAAAATGCCTCTTTAATTTAGCTCATTCATTCAGTGTAATCAGATTGGTATGAGAATTTATTATCTCTGTATTTCAGATGTAAGTGTAACTTGTATCGTGAAGCGGATGAAATCTGTGATCAGTCTTGTAGAGAAACAAGTATGCCCTCTGTTGGTTTACAGTTATTACCAGATGGTGCTGTATCTATTAGTATTATTGATCGAGCTACAGGTGCTTCAACTACACAGGTATAGTCATCACTACACTTTTAATACAGATGGTTTAATCCTTTTTTGAAACCCTTTTTGTTGTTATTTAAATTTTGTTTTATAAATGGGCCAAATTATAGTATATGACTTTCTGAAATCTGAGTGGTTGGCATTAGTTATTTAAATAATTATAAATGCTGACTTATCAAGTAGCTGCTGTCAGGTAGGTCTATCATCAATTGTGGTATTGGGTGAAATTAGAATGGGTGAATCCATTTTAGCTTTACTGGGATCAGTCTCCAGGCTTTGTGTTCCGATAATTATAAATGAATCAATTTAACTGAAGGTTTTAAAATTACATGAACAAAGTCATTTATATTGTGGAATTTAATCTCATAATTAACAGCATAAAGAAATAAAACTATATTTAATTATGTCATTTTAGACAATAACAGATATTTATGGGCCAAGTGAACAAACAACCGAGTTGACAACAGTTTTTGTATGTAATTTTTATGAAGATCGTGTCACAGCATCACTATATAAAGATCCTTCAGAAGCTCAGCTGTTATTCAGTAAGTTTCTAATAGTTTACAAGTATTTATTATATTTCCACACCCCGGTTGTACGTGACAAGGAGTAGGGTCGCCTGTCCAACCTTGTGGGTTTTCTCTGAGTCCTCTGGTTTCCTCCCACTGCTGAAGATGCCTATGCACAAGCAAATTATTGAAATAAAATTGAACCATATGTTAGTCCCGAAATGACCTAGTTTGTATCAAGTGGACGTTATATATTGCCACAACTACTGTCAGATAGATACAATGAAAAAGTAAACGTGTGTATTTTGGGATGGTTCTGATAAATTTTAGTTCACTTGCGGTGTAGGCCTACTATATGTAGGTAGACATAATTTTTCACTAATAGAAGTTCATTATTTACCTCAAGCCAAATAAGGTGTCCCTGCTTTAACTAGACAATGTTTTAGTAGGCAGAAACACAGCTGTCCAGACAATTTCTCATCATAGCACACTGTCCACTAACCCTAACCCACTGCATCGGGTATGTCCATCTTTGTTAGCCTAGTTAGTGCAGAAAAGTAGGATGTTAAACCCATTTCATTTCAGATATAATTGCAATTGTTTATTAATTGACAAATAAAATTGTACTATATTTTCTCAGCACCATTACAAGATCAGGTGACAAGTGAATCATTTGGAAGAAGACGTCTGCTAGCTACATCTGTTCCCGCCAACCAGATATCTAACCCAGCTTTATGTCTGAACGTCAATGATGTCATATTGTTTAAAGTTTGGTTAAATGAAACGGATAGATCACAGAGTCATTATCCAATTTACCAGAAAGATCATCTATATAATACGAATCCATCATTTGACTATGGACCATTCACTCAACTAGAAAACCTTCTACTAAATACTAATATCACTATTACATCATTTGCTCATGTTTTTACGGAAGGTGGAACTTACGTATTTAAAGATTCTCAATCGCCAGACAGGTAAGTTTCATTTTAACATTAATATTGTCTCTGATAGCAAGATTTTCCAAAATTTGCTAAACTTGATTTTGGAAGTATTAGACAATAATTTCATTGAAGACTATGATTCCAAAACGATTTCAAGTTATAGCTATTGCTGCTTATTAAAATCAAAGCTTTCAGTTTGGAAATACATGTAGTCAAAGCATTATTACCACACCACATGCAAACATAACCGATAATCAAAAAAATAAACCTGCGGACAAGACACATACATTGCAAGCAATGAACAACAAATATCGATCAAGTGAATGGATCCAGGGGCCAGCCTTAAATCCACTGCACTGTACAGAGAGAGTAAAACCAAATATTGTTTAATATATTACTTCTGATTGAAGAAAATTACTAGATTATTATTGGTTCAAATAAATTTAGAGATGTAATTGTGTGTTATATAATTATTGTTGGAGTGTAGTTGTATGCTATATAATTATTGTTGAGATGTTATATAATTATTGTAGGGATGTAATTGTAACAGTAAAGCCAGTAGGATCTACCTGTACAGCTGGTGTATCACAAATAGTACCATCATCACCAACAAATCTTATAGCATTCGGTATAGCTAAAACTTCCGTACAGAATGAAGAACCTGATTGGGGACTTATTATTGGTAAACATACATTAATAATATTTATTTATACAGGGACTACATCAATACTCATATCTTGATACAAGAGAATTAACCTTGATATTCATAGGTATTTGTCGAAATGACCTAGTTTGTGTCGAGTGGACGTTAAACCCCATTTCTCTCTCTCTCTCATGGGTATTTGTTCAGTCATTAGATGAAACAAATTTCCTTCAGATATGCTGAGCATATCCCAGGTTTGATTCCGGTATGGGCTTTGAAAGTTCCTCAGGTTTTGCCTTGCATGGTTTCCGCTTGTCAGTGGTGCAGGACGGAGAGCCGGGTTATGAACTGTGTTCAGTCAATAGGATGTTTTGAAAAACTAAGGTCCTGTGTAGACATTGATGTGTGTGTAAAAGAACACTTGACAATTGGTATTTAGACCTTAATACTGCAAAATTTCCTTCACAATACTCATGGTGCAGTAAAGTAGGACGTTAAACTCCTTTTTTAAGTTATTTCCTTCAAATTGTTAGGGTAAATTCGGAAAGGATTGTGTAAACTATTATGTAATATTATTTCCAAATCAAAATTTCGCTGTTTTCTATTTCAGGTTTAATAGCTTTCTTCAGTGCTATAGTAATATTATTGGTAATTGCTGTTATTGTCTGGAAACCTAGAGATTCTGTCATCTATCCCATGAAACATTGGAAACCTAAATATCGAAGTTTGGGAGCACCACCGCCAGTACCATCGTATATACGATATGATACCGATCATTGGCCGGATAAACACAGGTACCTTTATACTGGTTTGATATAATTTGCGGTAATTGTTTACTTCATGTCAGTGATGGAGGGCATGCCAAGGAACAACGTTTTGTCGTTCAGATGGGATAAAAAAAAAAATGGTGTCTGGTGTGTACATTGGGGAGCATGTAAAAGAACCTTTGACAGTTGGAATTTAAGAATAAGAGTGGACTGCATATGTCCGCCATCATTTGCCTGGATGGAGCAGAGAAATAGGACGTTAAACCCCATTTTATTTGCATGAAGCTATTCTATATCTTATTTCTTGATATTATTCAGCTATCAAACTTATTCTATAACTATATTTAGTACAATATTATCTTTGTTTTTAATGATTTTTAAGCCACTCAGATCTTGGACCAAGAACTGTTGGAGATGGAGCTGAATTTTCATCTTTACCTTTAATGGGTAAGTAAATACTACACATTACTTTCACATTTTTGTTTAGAAAAGTGTAATAGTATTTTATGGACAGTGCATGACATCATCGCAACCATCTTGGAATTGTGATGTCATATAAAAAATCAAATTCTTTCAATCAGTGCACAATTGTGCAAGGAACAAGCATGCCAAGTTTTTTGTCTACCAAACTTGAATTGGCAGCTTCATGTACTTTCCAAAAGGGAAGCAGATTACTGAAAAATTATGGAAGAATTACATGAAAAGTGTTTTTGTTTTCTTTTTTAATCTTTCAAGAATTTTGGTTTCTAGTCATTAATTTTATATTTACCATGATCAATTGTCTTTACATTTCATTTTATTTTTTAATGGCAAAAGAATAAACAAGTTTCATTTTATCCAATATTAGCATTATTTATTAGGGTTTCACACTGCGTAGTTTGGGGGCAAAAACTGTATTTATAGCCTTCAAAACAAATAGTTTATTCATATCAGTCGTATTTGTTATTTGTTTAAAATTTTGATATTTGATTCCAGTCAACTAATAGAATGAACCCATACGATCATATAGATATCACAAAATGGTTTCTAACTTTGTGGAGAAATAGTCGATTTTCAGCAGGTCACTTTTCAATGTTCTTGGTCAATAAAAGTGGCAATTATTATTCGATTTTCATAAAAATTTTCACCATGTGATGCCTTATGCCATTTATGAATTCATGGAATTAATTCAAAATTTTCATTATCACAAGAAGTAATGTTATTTTGGCAAAAACTGTATTTTTAGCCTTCAAAACAAACATTTTTTTTAAATGAGTTATATTTATTATTCGTTTAACATTATGATATTTGACTCCAATGGACATATAGATTGAATCAATGTGATCATATAGATGTCCAAAAATTGCGTCCATTTTATAACATGTCTGCAATGTTTATGTGGAAATCTGTTTATCGGTTCCATTGGTACCGTAAGAGATATAAGTTCAAGGGTATCGTTGCACCGGAAGTGACATAAGTTCAAGGGTAACATGGCACCAGTGAAACCTGTCATCACTGCTTCGCAGTTCTAATTCATTTTTATTTCTATGCAACTATTCTGTTGTCTGAAGTGGTAGCATATAAAGAAATGTATGTACATATTTTATATATTTTTCATCAGGTTTAATGAAAGAAGGAGAATTGGAAGGTTTTAATGTCCGTATGTTATATGATAAACTAGAAGATCAGAATTTACATCTAGCATCACAATTAGCTAAACAGAAAGAAGATCTTCAGGGTTTCTATTCAAGGATTTGTGATCAGAATGAACAACTAAAGAAATTATTAAATGACATTGATCCCAAAAAACTAGCCAACATGGAATCTATTATACAAGTGAGAGAAGGCAAGAAAGCAGCTGATGGTTTACAGGGTTCATCAAGTACTGGACCGAATGTCATCAATGCTAATGTTAAATATGGTGGTGTTCACAGACACAATTTTAACCTGGGTATGTTTTGTAATTTTAGTCTGGGTATGTTTAGTCTGGGTATGAGGTATGTTTAGTCTAGGTATATTTAGTTCGGGTATGTTTAGTCTGTGAATGTTTTATCTGGGATTGTTTAGTCTGGGTATGAGGAATGTTTAGTCAGGGTATGAGGTATGTTTAGTCCGGGTATGAGGTATGTTTAGTCTAGGTATGTTTAGTTTGGGTATGTTTAGTCTGTGAATGTTTTATCTGGGATTGTTTAGTCTGGGTATGAGGTATGTTTAGTCTTGGTATGAGGTATGTTTAATAACTTCAACTTTCGTTATTGACAACAAGACTTCAAACCAAAATAAATATTTATATACCCATATATTTTAGAGGGAGCGCATTAACCTCTGAAGCTTAATATCGGTAAAATAAAAGAAAAAATGGTTCTTTATAGCTTATTAATAAGTGTTAATAATTTTCTATTTGGGAGTTATGGTGGCTCATTGATTATGGCGCTGGCTCACTGATCAAAAAGTTCCTGGTTGGATCCAGGAGTTTGATCCCAGAGAGTTCCTTGAGATTTTACAGCCTGGTTTTCCTTTGTCCCTGGTAAGGGAGATATATCTAGTCATGGATGGAACAGAAAAATGAGTTTTTCACATTTACTGATTTCACGGTGCATAGCGTATATCTGTTGTCATTAATCTTCATATTTATTATTTATGTTTATTTCAATCGATGTGTAATTAGGTGGAAATAATCGAGAAGGTGAATTGATGACAGCCTTACAGATATTACTGGAGAAACTGAACAATGGAAATGTTCCATTATCACCTGAAATGTGGAACCAAATACAGAAACAACCAACGGATCAAAAATATACTTTATTGAAATCAGATGGCAATCAGGTATGTGGAGTATTTATTTTATTTTAGTGAGCTGTGTACGCTCAATTGTAAAATTCAAAACAAATGAAAAGTTTTGTCTTTGAAAACTACATATCAGCATTTGCGAACTGCATGGCTTAATCCCCACTAAAATATAATCAAAATGGTTATTTAACATTTAATTAAGAAGTGCTGGCTTATTTTGACCATATTCTGTTTATATCGTCTGCAGAGAATACCAAATGTTGACAAATTTTAAATTATTCATATTTTTAAAATACTTGAAGGAATTGAATCATTTTTGGACTGATCAGACATTCACAATAGTTTAGTTTTAAAATCCCTTTTGTTATTTTGAAAAACAATGGCTCACATCCTTCATTTCCATTTCATTCTGTATGCAAGCTTAAATTTATAGAACCTTATGGGACATATTATAATATTATATAATCACTATTGATGGCATAAAAACGATTTGAATGGAAGGTTGTCTTGAAATTTTCTGATTCCTGAAATTTTAATTTTACCAGACTCATGGACAGGGAGAGATGTTGAGGAATCATAATACAGAAAGAATGAATCTGGAGAAAGGATTAGAGAATGATGAGAAACAAGCCTATAATAACTTATTAGATGAACTTGATAACATACGTAAATTAGCTGTTGCAGAAAAGTCAGATGACCTTAAAATCAAATTACAAGGTACTATTCATTTCTTACTTCTCAAAGTTGTTCACAAGACATTTGTTTGGGAGTGGAAATTCCTAACTAATAAAGAGAAAATATATTGGTATGTAGTAGTAGTAGTTAGTTGTATTTTACGTCCGCTTCCACCGAGGTGATATCGCAGACAATATTGGTATGTAATTAGGCTTATTAAATAAACAATACCGTCTCCTGCTATGTATATTGTGGATGTGATATATAGTACTATCTCACTGTATAATGGTTAATACACAAACTAATATATGCACATGTATATTATGAGTGTGTATATGTAGTTCCTTGTTAATATACAAACTAATACATGTATATTATGGGTGTTTATATTTGGTTACTTGTTAATATACAAACTAATACATGTATATTATGAGTGTGAAGTACATAGATTGTGTATTTGGTTACTTGGTAAGAAATGTATATTGTGGGTGCTACTTGAGATTGTGTATTTAGTTAGTTTGATACACAACCATTTATATTAGGTGTGATATATTGTGTGTAAAAGTATCTATTAGATACATGTGTTGATGTGATGTATATCTGACTTAGATTGTCTGATTATTTACTAATTCAAAGATTTATGTGTGTATATTGGGTAATTGTATACATTGAAATGAACTATTATTGCCTTACAAAGTACAAGTACAGTATAATACTCTGTACTTAGCCATTTATAGTTATTTCATCTTTACATTGTCTGCTATATCACCTCGGTGGAAGCGGACGTAAAATACAACTAACACTAACTAACATTCATTTGTTTGAAATATTTTTGCTGAATTATATTACTAGGTGATTTAACAGAAAATGAAGTTCAGAATATTATGTCAGACCATAATAAAGATTTGGGTATCTGTATGGGTAAATTACAGTTAAATAAAGAAAGACAACTAGAAGAATTAAGGAAGAAATTAGCCGAACGAAGGAGGAATAAAGAGAAGCTGTTGAAAGATAAACAGACAGCTGAGGTAGAGACTATGTTCAGCTTGGAGTCAACAATTGTGTCTTAAAATGTCACCCGGTTTCCTCCCACTGCTAAAGACCCCTACGCGCAAGCGAATTATGTAAATAAAATTAAACCATATGTTAGTCCCGAAATGACCTAGTTTGTGTCGAGTGGACGTTAAACCCCATTTCTCTTTCTCTCTCTTTTTAAAATGTCACCCAATCTAGAATGTTCATGAAGCAACGACTGCGAGTTTTACAAAATCTGGACCTTAAAAGATTACTTTACAATTCCTGAGCTACGTTATCTACAGACAAGTGAACAGTAGCGTCAAATCAGAGGTGGTAGCGACCTCCACAGAAACCTTAACATTGAACGAACCTTGAACATTTAAACATTGCAACTAGATTATCACAGGTAGACGTTTTAGCTGGAAAGCACAAGACTTGGTATTTGCGATTATCAAGTAATCTGATAGGCTCCCAAGCTGGGTGAGTACCCATTCGGAATTACATGAAGGGTTGATAAGATGTACAGAGTTACAGCGAGGTCAAACCTTCTATTGAAGATACCCGTCTAGTAGATCACATTTCAGTCCTTATTTTTTGTTAGATTTTATTCAAATAAGTAAAATACCTATTAGTTTTCTGTTCCAATTGTTTGTTTTTTTATATTTATTCAAGACTGGTAAAGTAGGTCTACCACCTCCTGTACGTGGAACTGATGATACCGATATAAAATTAAAACTCGAACAGAAGAGACTTGATGCTGTATATACAGAAGAAGTATCTGGTATGGCCATGGCAGAAACTGAAATGGATCACAATTTGGCTGAGAGAGAAAGATCACAGATATCAGACAACATGGCAAATCAAATTGTAAGTATTGTAATTATATATTGTACTTTGTCATGATTATTCTATAACTCAAATAGACAATGGTTGTATGCTTTTGAGAATACACGATACTGTCTTTTTTTTAGGAGTTCACGTAGCTAACAGACTTTTATTGTTAATATAAGGATTAAATGTTGTATTTTTGTGGTGTCTGGCTGTCACATAGTTAAATGAATTTGAATTAACATTAATTTTTTATTTCTGTTAAATATGGAAAGTATCAAGAATGAGCTGTACAGTAGCTATTCAGATGATTCTGGAAATGCCTTGGACATCGCTTTTATCGATGCTATCATTTATGCTTTATGAAATAAAGATTAGTTGTCGAATAAATATTTGGTATTTCCAGAAAATCTTAAATCAGTAATTTTCCCCCATAAAATTAAATTCCTTTTGGAATACTATTATTATAATGATGGTATTATTACTCGCAGGAAAGCCTTGCAAATCAAGAACTGCTTGACCGCGAGAAAATGGCTGATTTAATTAAAGATCAGAGACAACAAGAAGATAACTTGGCCAAAAAATTAGAGCACAGACGACAAGATCATTTGGAAAAGATTCGTAAAAACCTAGTCGAAAGAAAGAGAAAACAAATGATGGTACTTAGAGATAAACAAGAAAAAGAAAAAGCAGAGGTATTGAAATGACAAAATATTTATGGAATACTGTATAAGATAAAATGGCAACATTTTTCTAAAGAAGAAATGTCAACTCTCATTTATTCCATTGTAAATTATATTATTTAAATTGACAACATTGTAAACTATATTATTTAAATTGTCAACATTGTAAACTATATTATTTAAATTGACAACATTGTCAACTATATTATTTAATTTGACAACATTGTCAATTATATTATTTAAATTGACAACATTGTAAACTATATTATTTAAATTGACAATAGTGTCAACTATATTATTTAAATTGACAACAGTGTCAACTATATTATTTAAATTGACAACATTGTAAACTATAATATGGACAACATTGTAAACTATAGTATGTAAACTATATTAATTAAATGGACAACATTTTAAACTATAATTTGTTTATTACAGTTGTCTGTTAAAATGTTAGAAGAGGGTAGTGAAGAAGATAAAGAGCGTTTGATAAAAGCTTTAGATGAGTTACATGAAGTAGAAGAAGAAGTATTATCTGCAGAATTAGATCTAGAAGAAAGACAACAAACACAACAAATAACACAAGCTCTAGATGAAGAACATACAACAGATTTAAAGAGTATTCATAGAAACTTATTAAAGATGGTAATTTGATAAGTTTTTGTCAAGGACATACATTTTCGCTCTAAATATTCATTTTTTTTTTTTTTTTTGGAACACCCCATATACAACATTTTGAAACAATATTTTAAAAGCCATTTTTATTGGTTTAGAAGTACGAAAACTAGTTAAAATAAAAAGCAAATTTCATCAAATAACAAAAACATCAAATACATGGCCTTAGATATGATAGCATTAGCAATTGATATATGTACTGTGAGTGAGTACTGTATTCAATATTACTAGCGCTCTTGAGCAACCAGTTTGTTGGATATTCAGCGCTTTATAAATAGATTATTATTATTATTATTATGTTTTTGTATATATCTTGACAATCAATATATTATGCTAGTATCTATATCCTTAGTGTATTCCTATATGTCATAATTCTTTCTTTGTTCAATTATTTGTTTATAAAATAAATAAAAATAAATTTAGTCTGTAATCAAAGTCATGTAGATATAGATTTACGCTCTTAAAGATACATTATGTAAGATTTAGATAAAGAACTAGCCATTCTTGCTATAATAGTTCGAAAGTAGATGATGTAAAATGAATAATTTGAAAATTTCATTCAAATTACTCTATTGCAAGCGAAGATATTAGCCTTTGAAGGTTTGACAGAAGTGTGCAATGATTTCAACCACCGTACTGGTTGATCGAAGCTAAGTCTCGGTCCTCCATATTTGATTAAATCAAAGTATCGCTGAACCATTCTAATCTATTTAATATCGGAGAAATCTGATGCCATCGAGAGTTGATTAAGGCCTGGATCAGTTAATTAATGTCTAATTAATACTTTAGAAAACATTTTAGGCCTAAAGAGAGACCTGCAATAGGCAGATTTAGCTCTTGCATAATGAATGTTTAAAGTAGAACAATGTCAATGAACATCCATACATTTTGATGATTTTATATATTAAACAGATTACTGATAACACTCCTGCTAAATCTCAACTAGCTGTACAGAGATTATTAGATCAGTTCCGACAAGATGAAGACAGTTTACATCAAGAATTACGTGTTGAAAGAGACAGACAAATGGCAGACTTTCAGGTATATATTCTCATAATGTACAAATAACCATGAAATTAAGATCAGGACATTCTTTGAATTGCTTTCCACTTAAATATTTTGGTATTTCTCAATATTTTGATGTAAAAGTTATCACCCTTGTCATGAAATTGAATATTCCTTTATTGATAGGTTTCTAATCTTATTTTGATAACTTTGACTATTAGAACTCTTCGGTCTGCTAGTAAACATTGTCTTGTTGAACATGACAAAAATAAATTTAAAAACAGCATCAACTGTTGGAATTCCCTTCCTGAACATGTCAGACTTTTCCATCCTTATCCATCTTGAAGTGTTGCTTAAGAGATTGGCTGTTTAAATACGTCAACTGACTCATAATTTGGAACAAAACAAATCATGTCCTTATTTAATGTAAATTTAACAGATTAAACTGGCTGTCAGAAAGGCACGTAAACTTGCTAGTGATCAACGCAAAATGGAAGAAGCAGCTGCACAAAGATTTATCCAGGAACAGACTCGACAAATGAGGAAAGATGTAGGTATAACTGATCCTATTATCAATATAGATCTACAACATGTTCCACAAGTACAATATGGTGAAAGTACAGAAGAAAAAGCCATGAAAAAAGAACAGGTATGATATTAGTAGCCATTGATTAGGGACCCTTTTATCTCTCTCTAAACAAATGTAAAGATATCTTGCATATCTATCTTTCAGGAATGAACATTTAATTTTTTGTTTTGTTTGATATTGTTTTGTGTTTTTTTTTTAAATTTTGAATACTGTTCATATAGATTTCATACTATGTTGAGTTATTCATTCAGAAATACACAAGATGTGCTAATCAATAAAAATTTTGTGTGGTCCAATGTGTCAACTTTAAATCACAAGGCCTGTCATTGTGCGTCATGGCTTTGATCTCGTACTTGTGTGGGGTAGGGTTGCCTGCCCAACCTTGGGGCTTTTCTCAAGATCCTCGAGATTCTCCTTCCACTGTTAAAGATCTGTAAACACTAGCAAATTATTGATTTAAAATTGTACCATATGTTATTCCTGAAATGGCCTAGTAGTTTGTGTTAAGTGAACATTGAGCCCATTTCTCTGTGTCTCTCTACTCCAAGTGCTCTCAGATGGACTATGAAGTTTTGTATATAATATCATTATGTCTATAGCAAAGGATTAAAGATGATCTGAAGACAAGACATAAAGAAGACAGGGATAAACTGGCAGCTAAATTAGACAGTGAAGTTTTAAAGAGTGAAACTGATATGAGAAAAGAACTAGAAATGGAAAAAGAGAAATTATTACATGAACAGAAGAATAGACAAGCTGCTGAATTAGCTGCCAGAACAGATCTTACCCAAGATCAAATTAATTCTGTAAGTTTTTAACAATTTCTTTTTCTCAACATCTGTCTTATTGGACCTGCTTGTGCACAAAGTAGGACCACATTTCGACTTGAATATGAGTTTAGGAGTTGAAATTTAACGAAAATTTTATTACCGTACAAGGATAAAGGGCTTTTGTTGTTTTTTTTGTTTTTTCTCAACTTTTATGGCAACCATGTTCAATAATTATGGAATCTTATATAATATTTTATTAATAATAGATGATGGCATCTCATGCTCAAGATTTGGAGGATTTGGCTAATCGATTGGACGCTCAACAAACCAGACAACAGTTAGATCTTAGAGACAGATTAGCCCAAAGACGTAAACTGAAGATGGCTGAAATACGCAGACGTCAGGAAGCTGAATTAACCAAAGAAATGTTGGAACAACAAAAAGAATTAGATGAGGTTAAATTGAAAGAGGTAGATATTAAAATTATTCCTTCTCTTTCATTTCGTGCAGGGGGGGGGGGGGGGTCTAACAAATTTATTTTAGATCATAAGGTCTGTCATCGAATCAAGCTTGAACATAACAAGGAGTAGGGTCGTCGCCTGTCCAACCTCGTGTGTTTTCTCTATGTCCTCTGGTTTCCTAACACTGCCAACCATTCATACGCTCAAGCGAATTATTGAAATAAAATTTAACCATATGTTAATCTCAAAAATGACCTGGTTTGTGTGGAGTGGATGTTAAACCTCTCTCTCTCTCTCTCTCTCTCTCTCTCTCTTACTGACACCCAAAAAAATGTATTGTGTAAGATAAGTAAAATTTGTAATTTAGGCACATGAAGTAGAGAAGAAGGCTATAGAAGAAGGTATTAGAGAAAACGGCCAGGAAGAAAGTGATAAAGTTATACAAGCTGTATTGGCTAAAAGACACGCCCAGGTAATTGACAATCATAACTAACACTGGATAATCATAAATTAGGTTGTTGGTAATGTTTATATCAGAAAATGAAGACCATCGATCAATTTCATCTGCTTTATTTTTAAAATAAGTTTTTTCTATCCTGGATTATAATTATCCTGGGAACCATATCTAGTAATGACAAAGAAATGACTGAAATGATGACCATGGAGACGGTAGATATAAGGAACACCATTTACCTTGGAACTACCAAATTAGTTACTGTTTACTGTATAGGAATTTTGAATTTGTAATATTGTAAGTGAAGTCCTATAAACAGGGGGGGTTGAGTGGCTGAATGGTTAGCACGTGCGCGCTGTACCATAAAGTCTGTCATTGAGTCAACTGGCGTGATTTCAAATCCCCGGTTGTACGTGGCAAGGAGTAGGGTCGCCAGTCCAACCTCCTGGGTTTTCTCCGGGTCCTCCGGTTTCCTCCCACTGCTAAAGACCCCTACGCGCAAGCAAATTATTGAAATAAAATTAAACCATGTGTTAGTCCCAAAATGACCTAGTTTGTGTCGAGTGGACGTTAAACCCCATTTTTCTCTCTCTCTCCCCTATAAACAGCATGAATAAACGGATGCTAAGAGATATATGTATAACCTTGAATTGTGAAGATTGTGATAAGCAATTTAACCACATGATACTTTGACAAATTTTAAAAAAAATATTAAAAAAAAACACTCAGATTTGTCTGAAGACAGGTATATTTTTTTGTGTTTACACATTTTAAATGGATTTTAATAGAAGTCAGTTTTTAATAGATGTTATTCATAATAATTATTATGTAAATGTAACCAGAGTTTTGTTTGGCTCCATAGATCAATTTATTGGTTTCATTAGTAGAGAACTATTGGTGTTATACCTTTTTTAGGAATTGAGAGATTTAGAGAATCGATTTACTGCTAAGAAACGAGTAATGGTGGATGAAGCTTTAAATATACTTCATGATAAATATGATAAGCAGAAAGACAACATGTTAAGACGACATCAAGAAGAATTAAATAATCTTAAGGTAGGCCTACAAACATCTCCAATATTGTAAGCCATTTGTAGGTGAATATCTCATCGTTCATTGTCTCAAAAATGTCAGTTTTTTTGTATATAGGCTACATGAAGTTGTTTTATTCTTTTGAGTATCTTCACATAGTTAATAGATTTTAATTGTAAATTTTGATATTTCAGAAACAAGGATTGAGTCCAGATGAGTTCCAAGAGAAACAATCTCAATTATTAAATGACCATCAGATGGAATTATCAAAATTAGACAAACAGTTGACTGAAAAAGAACGGGATATTAAACGTGGTGCATTAGCTGATTGGGAAGTTACGTTTGCTAGAGAAAAGCTCAACATGAAAGAAAAACACTACAAGGTTGGTATTCTTGGTATTTAAAACAAATTCCTTAGAATGTTGTCATAAATAGTTTTGTGATCACATTTAAAATGATTTACGAATTAGGATCCCATTGAAGGTTCCTGCAAACTTTTCTCTTTGAAGGGGTAATGACCTTAATTATAAAGAAGAGCTGTTTGGTTGAATAAAGTTGCATTTAAACTATAGAACTTTGTTCATTGCTTTGTACTGATAACTGCCAGTTATTTAGATTTATACAATTTGTATTTGAACAGGAATTTGCAGATGCTTTGCGTGAATACAACCCACAACATAATAGTGTTAAAAAAGCAGAAGTCATGGCTGAAGAACTAGAGGAGGTCAAACAGAAATTACAAGAGCAAAGAAAAGAAGAAGAGAATAAATTAAAACAGGAACAATTAGGTATGGTTTCATGTACAGATGGGAACAATTTGGTATGGTTTCATGTACGATTTAACTGTTTCTTGATGTGATAAAATGGTAGAGTTCATGTTCTGCTTACGATTGACTAATATTCTTTGGATGATTAGCTAATATTTTGTTAAGAATCATAAGACCATATAAAAAAAAGATAGCGCTGCATCAATTACAAAGGGCTGCATACCAGTTTACATTACAAAAAATAAAATCAGATTATTTATCAAATATTTGTTTTAATTTCCTGACAGAGTTTGAAAGACTTGAGAAGGAGAGATTAGAAAGAGATATGAGCTCTTTTGCCAAGCAACTAGAAGAGGAGACGAAACAAGAGAAAGCTCGTCACGAACAAAGTATTTCCAGTTTAAATAAACGTAAAGAAGAAATAGTTAACGAAAAGAAAGATGAATTAAAGGTAACATTTTTTTTAAATGTAATATGTTTTGTATTATGTGTTAGTAATGTGAAAGTCTGATTACGAATGCTTAGCAATTTTTTATGGTTATACATTGCTCACACTTCAGAATTTTGCTAGCCTGTCCATTTTACACTCAAGTTAGCCATAAGTTTTAGCCTGATCTAAAAAAATTTAAGTTTCAGCCTGATCTAAATTTTTGAACCATAAGGCATAAAACTATAAATATAATTGTATTTGTTTTGTTTTTTTTATGGTTTAAAATACTTGATTTTCAAGGCCCGTAAATTGACTTGCTCCTATATTCTACAGGCGTTGAAATATTGTGATTTCGCATTAATTAAAATTTGATGTAGCTTTCTTTAAGACTATATGCAAAGTTTAACCTTCAGCAAAACATTGGAAAAAATTCATTAAATTGTGTTTTTTCCAGAAAGCAATGGAAAAATTAAAGGCTGATGGTGGTACTAAGGAAGAACAAGAACGCTTGATGCAAGAGCACCAAAGAGATGTACAGAATTTGGTGAACAAGATGGAAGCTGATAGACTGAGAATGGACTCCAAACTTCAAGAACGACTTAAAAAACGTAGAGAGGAGAAAATGAAGAGTAAAGAAAAACAAGTTAAAGAGAATTTAGAAGAAGAAAAGAGACAACTTGAAGCTAAACAACAAAGTGCTAGAGAAAAACTTCAAACAAATGAGGTTTGCCATTAGAATTATTTAAAGCAAAAAGCTTAATCCATGCTGATATGTACTCAGATTGATTATTTAACATTTAATTTGGAAAACAACATCAAAATATCAATGCTAGATAATGTCCCGGCTCGGATTCAATCAGATTTAAAATAAGCCTATCAATTCTTTTCGTTCGAAGCAAATTTTTCGCAGCCTTTTTATCAACATCATAGTAAGCGAAATAGATCACTGAAATTTCAATTCATCATATCTTTGTAAATACTAAACTGAATTTAACCATTTTTGGACTGATATTCCTGTTAGAGATTCATCTTTCACAATATTGTAGTTTGCAAGGCATTCCTGTTGCACTAAAATGACGCAATGAGACTTCATTGGAAAAACTAATGCTTACATGTAACTTGTGGGGAGTATTTACCAGGGTGGTAGAACTATTACCTATTTCATATTTGCATTGTTTCTTGTATATGGTGTGGGGGTTTCTCTGTTTTTATTTTAAAAGTTTAACTTATGCTCTATCTTGGTCTTTAATAAACTTACATTTTAGATGTTGGCCCTGCAAGAAACTCTAAATATTGGTCAATTACCAACCAGACAAGACCCAGTTGGGAGTGCTGCTGTTACCAGTGACAATACATCTCCACCCAAGAATCCAGATGTCACCAAAGACATGCCAACAGCATTTTCTAATGCTGCTCCATTAAATGAAGCTGAATTAATCAATTTATTAATGGCATCACCTATGTATCAAAAACTGGAAGAGATGAAGAAAACTATAGCTAATGGTGGTCTTAAACCTTCATCTAAATCTTCAGGTTAGTTTGATATTATTTTCCTTTGGTGTAAGGTGATTTACTCACTTATAGATAATGTTAGTAGGGAGGAAAACATCTCAACAACTGTTATCTCCAGGGACAGATTAAGGAATGGGAGGACCCAAGTCCAGGCTGCAGTTAAGTTGATTATAGACCTTATGCTTTTTCTATCATGACATATGTTTAGGACTTACGGATAGATTTAACTAAGAAAAGATATGTAGGAGAAACTAGAATGAGGTTGATTTTGTTTAATACCTGTGATAGAAGCAAGGAAGTAAAAGCCTTGAGTCTGCGACCAATACTAATTATCTACAATTATCTCCATTTGACAACAGACACAAAGCTAGTTGACCAACATTTCAAGTCCTAAATTGACGATTTTAATCAGAAAACTAAGTATACTTCAAGAATTTTGAGAAGTATTTATTAGACTTCTATTTCATGAAATTGAAAAGTTTTATTTAGTCTTTGTGTGTATGATAGATGTGAAATGGAGTAGAACCGCATTACTAAGTTTTTGGATATGGCAGCCATTCAGGACAGAGATCTATTCTTGATGTAGTTAGTTATCTGTGCAGACTATCCTTGTCCTAGGTGATAGCCTATATTGTAATCCACCAAGTTGGTTACTAAGAAAAATATGTTTTTTGTTGTAAATTCTTGAAATATTATGTTATTTTTATTTAAAGGAAGTAGCCATGTAGACAGCCGAGAATCGGAATGGGAATCAGATAAAGAATTAAAACCTGTGGATTTAAATAAAGTGAATGCGAGAACCTTTGTCATTTATAAATTTGGATGCTTTGTTTCCGATCTTATTGCCTGTCACTGTAATCATAGTCCTGTCACCATTTTACTAGCAGACCAACTTCCACCCAACAAACAACTCACCAGAAATATGTACAGAAATTCATTCCATTATGATGCCAGTAATCATATATTATATATTAGAGTGGCCAGATTACAAACAGTTGGAGAATTTATTTTAGTACTAGTTCACACGCTAGCACACATCAAATCAGGTAGGTTTTAATACTTTCTAATAATTTACATGTAGAGTTATTCAAATCTACGTGATGAGCTAAATAGTAAGTGTAATAAACAACAAACGTATCAAATCAAGTGACTGGTTGCAGGGACAGGTCCTCTTTTTTTATCATTAAGGTCGACAGTAACCTGGCCATTAGAAGTTAACATTGGCATTGTCTACACTTTAAAGATACATTGTCCAAAATATATTTATTGTGCGGTTATTCCCAATAAAAGTATGGCAAATTTGGTATATATGGGAAGTATAGACACCCAATCTTCTTGGTAAATACTGGATTATTATCGAAAAACACCCATGGGGCAAGCACTGGGCAAAAATGTCAAGGTATCACTAACTGGCAACCTGACTGTTGTCTGCCAGCTTATTGTGTGCTAGTTTGACTGAGGGAGTTTTGTTAATTCTGGATCAAATAGTTAGGTGGTTTTGGGAACATAGAAGAGTGTCAACTTACAAAAGACTCTGCAGTTAAACGGCGGAAATAGAAGTTGACAGAAACTAATTATGTATGAAAAATGGCCCCCCCTTCAATAAAGTTTAGGAGACAGTAATGGCTTCTAACAACAGTTTATTTATAGCTTGAGGTATCTCACCGTGAGTACAAAGTTTTGTGAGCGATTTGAAGCAAATCTTTGATAGATTAATTAGTGTGAATATTTTTTTAGTCCAAATATATTATCAAATCACACAGTTTGTACAGGGGGAAAGTATCTTTAAGTTTTTAATCAAATTAGATAAGGTTTTGTCCATATAACTTTAATTTGTATTAACTGATGTAATTCTATTAGTATGAATTATTGACATTAATCTTGCTGAATTGCTTGATGCCAAATCTTACGGCATGAGAAAGGCAATTAAGTGAGAGTGATGAAAATTGGTGTATGAACATTTTCTGCTCAGGTTTGATTGCTTGATTCTTTATGAAACGATAACTATGTAAATGTGGGACTGAGGACATCGGCCTCAAGTTTGGCTTGTCTTAATAAACTTGTCCATCAATGTTAAAGTAGCTAAGTCTCTAACTCAATATCATCCAAAATCTTCAACATTGAAAACACGAATTATTTGTCAAATTAAATCAACATCCATGTTGTGATCTTACCGGGAAAAGATGGGCTTTTGATATCCAATATTTAAGATAAAATAAACATTTTACCATTGGTACACGAATCGTGTACCATAATGCGCTTCAGCCCCAGTTGTATCAAGAGACTCGAGGGACGAGGCTAGACACATTGTACCAAATCAAACGGAGTATGTAGACTGGAATAACCAAACGCTAGAAATTTGCACTCGCTTGAGACTGCTGGCTTATTTCGCCGAACATAACTGATTTGAAATTGGAGTAAAAACGGAAACCATTGAATGTAAATCAGTTTATATACATTCATATTACAGTATTATATGCGTTGCGACCCACTTTTGTCAATTTCTAGGTCCCAAATGTTAGCGATTTAGCTCCTTTAAATTGGAATATAATGGTCTGAATGAAATAATCTGCACATTACAAGCATATTCTGCCCTTTTTTATGACACAAATAAATATCCTTTTAGGTGATCTAACTGATGACTCAAATCCTGACTTTACAAGAGAATATCAGCGAGCTATAGGTGTTGTGTGTAATGACCTTTTCTTTGCCCGGTATCATCAGACATCGAATACTGCTAAAAAACTAGCAACAGCTTCAGCTAATGGAGATGTTGGCGCTGCTGATAAACTTTTACAATCTGTGTTTGGTCAAGCTGAAAATGAGTCTATAAAAGCTGGAATGGTTGATGACCTTTTGGATGTCAAAGTTCATACGGGAACAGACGTGAAAGGAGCTAAATTTAACAAAGATAAAATACAAGATAGGTAATCAAACGTGATGAGTTCTTAAGATGTTATTGTTTTCAATTGTAAAATTTCTCAGTATACCATTAATATTAAAACCATACCTGCCCTTTCAAATTTTACTTAGTAATATACTTATCTAATGTTCAATCAGTGATTGGCATGGTTCGATCCCGAGCTTGTATGTGAGAAGGAGGATTGTCTGCCCAAGTGAATTATTGAAATAGTTTGTGTCACATGGACATTAAACCCTATTTCTCTCTTTTATGATTGGATGGCTAACAGTGATGGGATTTTGCCCGTATATTCCGGACTTGTCCGAATCTTTTTTCCAAACGCCCAAAATTGTCCGACCGGGAATATGCCCAATCGGACATCAAGACATGGTGAATAATATTCAAAATTCTGAAATTAATAGTTTACTGTTTGTATAACTACCACTCAACCCGATTATCCTCGATAATACGCTGGATTGATTAGGTAATTAAGTGATCAACGTATTTATCATTTTAGACCGTCTATAAATAACCTACCTTGATTAACTACTTAATTGTTGTGTTTTTTCTTAGATTACATCAATATTCTAATTATACCAAAAACAATGAGCTACATAAAAATCTGGGAGACTTGGAGGAGAAAATAATACAAAGTAATGTTCAAGGTTCAACATATTCAGTTGATCAACAAATCTCTAAATTAACTGAGAAATACTCCACATCAGGTAATCCATCACTGATAAAATATTTTACATGACTTGGGTCCTAAGTGAAATGTATTTAAATCAATTTTTTTTAACTTTTGTGTGTGTGTGTGTGTGTGTGTGTGTGTGTGCTGTTGTATATGTGAACTTAAAACTGGTTTCAGGAATTGGGTGGTCTTTAGTATCATAAGGTCTGTTGTGGTTTCAATCTCAAGTGTGTACCTTGTACATGACAAGGAGTGGGGTTGCCTACCCAACCTTGTGGGAATTCTTTGAGTCCTCAGATTTCCCCCCACTGATGAAGATCCCCAAAGCGAATTCTAGAAATAAAATTGTTCCATATGTTAGTCCCAAATGACATAGTTTGTGTTGAGTGGATGTTTAACGTCATTTCTCTCTCTCCAATACTGGTTTGTCTGAGGTTAGAATATATGTATGTTTATTTTAGTAAATTGGTGTTCACCTTGGTATTTTGAAATCAAGTTTTTTTTATTTTTAAGGGGCAGCAACAATGAAGAAGGCTCCAACAAGTTATATTATGGCCAACATGACAGGTGAAGCTTTATGGAACTCGTATATTAATCAACAAAATGAACCTGCAACTGTTACTGTGGATAGTTCAACTGATCAACAGGTATGTACAGAAAAACTGGTGAAATTATGTCAAATAAAACAATCAACAGTGCAAAAATTGCAAATAACATAAAGTTATATTAATTTCATGAATCACTCATAGATTTTTGTATAAATTTTCATTATTCACTTAATTCAGTCCGTCACGATGGCTAAGTGGGTAAGACGCTGGCTCGCTAGCCTGAAGGTTCGGTTGTTCGATCCCTGCATTCGCCGGGAAAGTTCATCCGGCGTGGTTCCCCCTTGTCAGTGATGCAGGACAGAGGGCATGGCAAGGACAGCTGTCTAGTCGTTCGGATGGGATGAAAAACCGAGGTCCTGTGTACACAATGGCTTGCAGGTTAAAGATCCCTTGACAGTTGGAATTCGATAAAAGAGTTGGCCGTAGTGCCGCTGTCCGGGCAAAATTTCCCTCATAGCACACTGTATGGCGTATGCCAGTCTTCATTAGCCCAGTTTGGAGCAGAACAGTAGGATGTTAAACCCCATTTCATTTCATTTCATAATTCAGTCCACTTTATCCTATTTTCAATTATTATCTAGTGCAATGATTCTATGTTCTAAAGTAATTTGGTTTTCCAAGAGAAGGAGGAATATCTTAATTTGATTAATAAAAACATTACTTTAAAGTGCTATATATGGAGCCATGATAGTTCATTGATAAGGTGCTGGCTCACTAACCAGGAATTCGATCTTTGTGTTGGTCGAGAAAGTTTCTCTGGATTTTTCCCTTGTCAGTGGTGCAGCACTGGAAGAATAAAATGAAGTCCCATATACACTTAGGCATGCACATGAAAGAATCCTTTACAGTTGGAATTCCATAGCACACTGCCAACATATATTCATTAATTCATTTATCATTTGTTTTTAAAGGAACTGAATAATCTAAAAAATTTATTATAAATATATATCAATTGTAGGGGAATACAGATGAACTTTTGGCAGATTTTGCTGATATGAGTCGTAAAATATTAACAACATCTGACCATATTAAAAAACTGGAAGAAGAAATAACCTCGGAAATGGAATTAACTGATAAAGCTAAAGGAAAAGATAAACAGAATCACGCTGAGTTACATAAAGCAGCGGTGAAGAAATTAGCCGAAGCTAAACAAGAACTGACTAAGTTGGAAGTAGAAAAATCACGACTAACGGAACTATTTAAAGATGTGCTGGTTGTCCAAAACACTTAATAATTCCAAAAATAATTATTATTTGCAAGAAAAAGCATAATCAAAAGTAATTGGGATAGTGCCTATATTTTTTTTATAATTAAATTATTTTTATTTAGATATATTCCTACTGTGATATCAATCTTAATGAACATAAAACAGTATTGTAGATTATTTTAAATGTTTTTGTCTGTACACGTATATTTTTTTTAGTGAGAGATGTTCAAAATCTTGTTATACTGTTATGTAAAAAGTATGAGTTTTAAAGTAATTATATTTTAATCTGAATGAAGATGCGCTGGTAGCATCCAATCCATCCTAATTGAATATACATTCCGTCCATCTCTGTATATGAAGATTAATATCTACATAATATATGTTTAAGTTCTACATAACATAACCCGTCCAATGAAATTTTATATGATGCAATAGTTTAAAATGATTTATAGTTTTTTCACTTTGTATTTTATGATATGTCTATTTATTTTTCCTGTTTTTATATTCTTGCTTTGAATATATAATAAATTTATTTGCACATATGAATAAATTGATTTCTTAAAACAGCATAAAACTGCACTGGTTAAATAAATATATGAAGATTGACATCTGCACAAACTGGTCACATGATAAACCCAAGCTTGTCACGTAAGATTGTCACGTTTAGTCACCAACAAGTCTGGACGTAAGGCAATTGTCACAGACATTGTCCAGTACAAATTATCCTACTAGGTATATATTATATACAAGCTTGGTCACCATGATAATGGGATATAGATTTGGACAAACAAATCTTTCTTATAGTTGAATTTACTGGGTTTGTCAAATAAAGTTAAGTTCTTTCAACCTTCAAATAATGGAATGGAATAAAGACCCAAATAAAGATCAGTTACTCTCAGATCATAACATACACATGAAGACATGATAATATTCAGTCTTCATACAAAAAGTAGTGGGAAAGATAAAAATATTAAAAAAAAAAAAATGAAACCAAAAAATCAGAATCCTGATGCAGGGTTCAGACTTCAGAGTCGACGAAAAGGGCCCCAGAGTGTAAGAAAAGGGCCCCTGGGTCAAGTGAAAATACTAAGCCACACCAGTAATTAGAGACATCAACAGTGGCGTGGTCCGGTATCAATATTGCTCTTAGAAATAACTTATCTATCCTGAATCACCTGCGTTCCTACTATGGGTCTTCTTCAATGTGTTGCTGAGCAGGCAATTCCAAAGACCACTACTGAACCTAAAGGTCTCATTATACCATGTTATCGTATAATAATGATTGCAAATCAGCTCTTAAAAAGCCTGATCGTACTTTGAGACAGCTCAAAACGAATATTGGCAAGGTTATGTCTGAAGGATTAAGTCTCGCACTACATCCAAGTCGGTATAGGATAGGATTAAGGCAAAGATAGTGTGCATTATCAGTTAACGATTTAAATATTGATACTGCTAATTCAAACCTGGAGGTTCTGTGTTCAATCCCTTATTTTCCGGCGTGGTAGGACAAGGGACATCATGTTGTTCGGATGGGACGTAAACCGAGGTTCCACATTGGCGTAAGAGTAGAACGTTAAACCTCATTTCATTTCAATTTTATCTGGGGTTTTTTTTGGCTTAGGACCGTTTGGGGAATTGACATCAACATGAGAAAAGGCGACTTAAATTTTAGCGAACTTGTGGTACTGATAAAAAATAAATCCCATGTAGACACAAAACCCCATTATTCATATCATAGGGAAGGGGGTAGGGTTACTCTGGGCGCCGAAAAACTTTGGATCCATGTATAAGCATAAAAACATAAAACATCCCGGCCATTTTTAAAATATTTAATGCTTTTTAATTGATTTATGGACAGTCTGACAAACCATATCTTGTATAATCATCCAAACTGAAGTCTGATCCACTGCATTCACCAAATATTCTAGGAATCAGACCAGAAGCTTCCTTCCAGGCTTGGATCCACTTTAATTCACAATCACATGTTATTGAGTTACCATGAAGATCAAGTTGGTGTAAAGTTGGCGCTGACTGGATTCCCCTGGGAACATCAACCAATCCACAATTGTCCATGTAAATTATCTCCGTTCCATTCAATGATTCAAAAGCTTGTCGGTCAACATATCCAAGGTAATTCCCGGAAAGACGCAAGATCCGCAGTTTCTCAATTGGTGGAAAGGTACCTGCATCTATACGTCTAATGGTGTTTTTGGAGAAGTCGGCATATTCAAGATTTGGAGCACTGCCCAGGGAAGAACCGGGTATGTTCTGGAGAGAACACCCTTTAAATGATATTTGTTTTAAATTGTTACATCTTTCAAAAGCACGATATTTCACTGCAACAATAGAATTGTTATCTAGTGTTAGTCTTTCTAAAGCAACCAACTGACTGAAGTCAAAGTTGTCAATTGTTTGCAAGCGGTTGTTTGAAATATCAAGTGTGAGAATAGAACCCAGTGCTATGAAAGCTTGTGTTGGGACAGAGGTCAAGTCACAATTACTGATATCCAATTCCCGCAAAGATGTTTTCATTCCAGAAAACATATCGGCATCAATAGATCCGATGTTATTACTGCCCATGGATAGTTTTGTGAGTTTGGTTAGCTTCTTTACAGCACCGGGAGATGAAGTAAAACCATTATATGAAATGTCTAAAATCTGTAGAGATGACAAAAGATTGGCACCAAATGCGGCGTCTGGGAAGCTGGTGAACGAATTATGGGCAAGGTTCAATTCCTTTATAACTTTCAGGCTGTTAAGAGCGACGGGGAAAGTAGAGAGTGAACAACCCATCAGACTCAAATATGTAAGGGTGGAAGCAAAGCTCGAAAATGCATCACTGGGTATTTGAGTAAACTGGTTATAAGCTAGATCTAAACTCTCCAGTTTCGTCATGTAACTTAGTGCAGATGGCCACTGTGTAAGTTTTGTTGACTGCATATTTAAAATGTTCAAAACTGGCCCAAATCCCTCAAACGCTTCATCTGGTATCGAAGTAATTTTGTTATATCCAACATCCAAACGAGAAATGTTTTTAAATTTGCCCATAGATTTTGGTAGAGCAACAAGGTTTGTACCAGGCATTAAAAGCTGTACAAGGAAATCATAAAGGCCATCAAATCCTGCATCTTGTATGGTTTCTAATGGGTTACCACTGAGATCCAGAATAGATACCACCAATCCATTGAAGGCAGACGATGGTATTGATGTTATTTCGTTTTCTGACAAATCCATTAGGGGATAAGGGTCGTTAGTCTTGATAATGGCTGGAACTGTATTTAAATTATTTCTTTCACAGTGTATGATAGATCCGCAATAACAAGGAAGACCTACCGGACATGACTTCGCAAGACACACAAGACATCCCACCAAAATGAGCAACGAAACTTTCATAGTGCAAGAGGTCTATTTTATAATACCTGTATAATAAAATGAGAAAAATACATTTATTTTCCCTGTAGATTTATTATCCAATGTACATGTAGATACTATAGGGTAAATAAATTTGAAGCTTGTCTAATTGCCATTTAGTAACTGACTAGGAATCACACATGACACAATTACATCGAATGCAAGTTACTTTGATGTTTATTTTTGGCCCTTGTCGAAATGTAACTTGTATTCATAATTATGTCATGGTTTAAATTTGAAGTTATTTCGCGAACTTAAGTACCATTACCAATGTTCTAACTGGTACAAGGGGATTACGTGGCTAAGTGGGTAAGACGCTAGCTCGCTAGCCTGGAGGTCGGGTGTTCGATCCCTGCATTGGCCGAGAAAGTTCATCCAGATTTTCCGGCGTGGTTCTCCCTTGTCAGTGATGCAGGACGGAGGGGCTGACAAGGAAAGCTGTCTAGTCGTTCGGATGGGACGAAAAACCGAGGTCCCGTGTACACGTAAAAGATCCCTTGGCAGTTGGAATTCGATATAAGAGTAGGCCGTAGTGCCGCTGTCCGGGCAAAATTTTCCTCATAGCACACTGTATGGCGTATGCCCGTCTTCATTAGCCCAGGTTAGGGGCAGAACAGTAGGACGTTAAACTCCATTTCATTTCATTTCATTTCTAACTAATACAAAAGTTACAAACCAATACAACCGACAGCTACAGAACCCCTACATGTCCTAATGTTATTATGAATATTATTTCTTGTAGGAATTACAATGCATGGAGTTCCTGGATTAATATATTTTTCTTAATGTGGTATAATGGAATCGTAATATACGAATTAACCTCATGGTATTATTTAATGACGTAACTTACCATATCCTTCCTGTATTTGAAAGTATGTGAAGTAATAAATATTCTATGACCAGGACATGGAAACATATAGTACATGTTTATAAAATATGCAGATAAGATAAGGAACCGTGTGTTATTTGTCATTTTATTCTCACAGATTATTTGTGGTTTATAACTTTATGTAATAACCCACAAACGAATCTTATCTTGTAATCATAATAAAACTTGCGGTCATCTTCGTTCAAACAGGGTTGGTTCCCCGTCATACACTATTATTAGAGCAGGATGTGGTAGAGGGAAGAGACACCTGCCCAGATAACTGACCCAATGTTAAAAAACAACCCAGTGCAGTTTGTTTTTCAACCGCACAATTCCCCCCTTTTTTAATCTTTTAAAGACCTACATTTAATGCAGTTTTTGTAAATAGTCGACAGAAATTATAAATAAACTGGTGTTTAATGCCCTGCTGTTCTGGACCACATAGATCGTATAATATTATATAGTACTGTGTCTGTGACTGCACTTTCTAGGCCAACACCGGGTCCACATAGTTGAGCCAGCGCCTTACACCCTGATGCACTGTTCTGTTGCTCCCCTTAAAGAAGGAAGCTATATGGAATATCTTTCATACTTCAATTATATCGTATGGATGAGCCTATTGAAAATCAGCACATCTCTGTGATTATTTACCTACGAGGACTGGCTGAAGGTTCTAAGCCTGAAAAGGATAGATCAATTGGGTTGAAACAATTTTTTGCCACCAACAAGTACAGTCATTGAATGAATCATAGACACAAGAACTGCAACTGTAGTGTTATTATTGTCTTCATTCCAGACCATCTTGTGAACCTACCCATTGAAATCACCAGAAATGGACAAAAATGGCTATATGTCAGCCATAAGTACCTGCAACTGAAAGGACTAATCCCAACACAGATACATGCCGACATGGTCTCTACTTTAGGAGATGATACCCCTTCCTATTCCACAGTAAAGAAGTGGGCTGCGGAATTTAAGCCTAGCAGAGAGAGCCTCCACGATGACCCGTGCCAGGAAGACCATCAACAGCAACCATTCAAGGAAACAACCCGGGTGCATGACATGGTAATGGCTAATGGACGATTGACCACTCGACATATTGCCAGTGTTGTGGGCATCTCTCATGAGAGGGTTGAGCACATTATCGCCAACAAGTTAGGAATGACAAAAGTTTCTGCAAGATGGGTGCCAAAGCTCTTTGCTGCGGATCAGAAACGTGTCAGATTCTTGACGCCCGTGACAATCGCGCCGTTTTGACGCAGATCCTGATAAATTTTGGGTCTGATTTGGCCTCCATCAGACTTCCACCTGTTTCCAAAAAGGAACTAGTAGGTCGTCATTTGCCCAGTAATGCTGTCGTCGTGTTAGCTGTGAACGACTTTTTTTAGGGTGGCATCCAGGCCTTACAACATCGTTGGCAACAGTGTGTATGTAATATGTCTATAGAGAGATAAATGGGGTTTAACGTCCATTCGACACAAACTAGGTCATTTCGGAACAAACATGGTTCAATTTTATTTCAATAATTCGATTGCGCGTAGGGGTGGGAGAACCAGAAGAAAACCCACGAGGTTGGACAGGCCAGTTGACTCAATGACAGACCTTATGATACAGCGCGCACGTGCTAACCATTCAGCCATCTCCCCACCCCTTATAGTTTTAGTTTTATGAAAGGTGCTCTGTTTAATATACTGGAGTTGTTAAACAAATGGGTGACAACGAGAACTGGGCTAAGTAGGTAATTTGCAAGATTCAACTTTCTCACAGTAGCTCACTAACAGTTCCCGCTACTGTCAATTTCTGGAAGTGGGTTACTGCTTCCAGCCATCGGATGCACAGACTAGTCCAATTATATACAATAAAGTTGACATAAGAAAGTGTCCAAATGAAACACTGACCCAAAAATGGTAACCTACCCTCCCTAATAGCCGAGGTAGTGTTAGTTGGGATGGTCTAGTGACCTAGAGTGTCGCACTTCGCCACCTCTGGCTTGCGGTTGTGGTTTAGATACCTAGTGTGAGCGTATGTGGCTTGGGGATAGGGGCGCCTTATCAACCTAGTGGGTTTCCTCCGGGTACTCCAGTTTCCTCTCACAGGAAAGACTCTTGCGCGTGCTCTAAGATAATAAAAATGTCTGCGATATCACCTTGGGTAGAAGCGGACGTTAAACACCAAGAACAGCAACAACGTTAGTTAAGACGTGAACTCGTACAACATGTGTCAGTTGGGAATAGGTTTGAGTCCAGGTCATAGCGCCTTAAGTTAGCACCAGGGCTCACTCAAGACACGCTAACTAAGAAGTCATTATCTAAAATACTAAGGAATCATTAACTAAGGCGTCTTGTGCATTATATGTTTGGATGAATAATAAAAGTATCATATGATACTGTAGCAGTAATCAAACGTTTTATATGAATTAAAAGAGTGCGAGTAAATTTGCTTGAGACAGCATTCAGTGTTCCTACGGAGAACACATGGCGACATTCCTGGAGGGGCGTTTACAGACATCATTGGAGACCGGGATATAGATCAGTATGTAGATCTATCAAGAAGCGTGTGGCTCTTGCCGCCATTAGGACTTCAAGGTATTTGTATCTGGTATTCTCAGAAAGACGTTCCTACAGCCTGCTCGGCTTAGAGGCTGGAATTCAGACATCATTTAATCTTGTCAGAAGGGACATCATGCGGTGTTCCTAGAGAGACATAGGCTTAGAGGCCGGAATACAGATCATCATGTAGACTTAGAAAGAAGAGTCTAATGCCACAGAACACATGATAATTGATTGGGAACTTATATTTAGCTTGTATTCAATAAAATAAAAGCAAGTACGAACAATCCAACCCATTAGACAAAATTCGAAGTCCTAAAAAAACGGTATAGGCAAAATGTCATAGATATGTGTAGCTTCCTATATAACCTTTGTATTATCTATGTTATAAAGATATATAAACATAGTTATATAACCACACAGTGCTCCAGAGTTATTTAATCATTGAAGTTCTATACACAACGTGGAAGTCTTGATTGGATAAGTGTCACAGTACATTTTCTGGAGATCCGTGACCAAGATAGTGTCACATCTTTTTTCATTTTGGAGACCGCGGCCAGGATAGTATCACATGCACACCTCGCAGGGGACTTTATGTAGACAAATAAATGGAATGGAAACCATCAACTTTTTACATGTCTTTCAAAGAAAGGCTTATAGAACTTTTCATCTAGCCCTTGTAGTTACTAACTGGGGCTAAAGTCATGCTGACCACGTCTTGGAAACATTGTAAAGGAATTGCACAGAAAACAAAAGATATCCACGACTTATATCAACTTGGTTTAAACATAATTTCAGGACGAACCCTCTCATGCATTATACATGTCCTTACTATAACACTTAAGTTGTGTATACAGAGACATCAGTGTATGTGCAATAGGTCTGCCATCTGTAATTTTCAACAGTATATTAATGACACCCATAGATTGTTTTGAATACAGCTTTCTATGTACATGTATTAGATAAAGAGTTGACTGTTCTGGCTATAAAGGTTTAAAAATAGATAACGTAAATAGAATATGTTGAAAATTTCAATCAAATTTCTCCACTCTGAACCGAGATATTAGCTTTTGAATTTTAAGCCTAGCCTCGATCATCTACTAATCATCTACTAAAGTCGGTATGATAAAAAACATTGTCTGGATTATCCATTTTTGGATTTAATCATCAATGAGCGTTGAGCAGCAGATCGGATTCAAATCCAGTGAAAATCCGACACATAAGATGACATCGAGATTTGATTATGGTTTGAATAAGTTAATTAATGTCTAATTAATAGTTTATAGAACATTTCAGGTCTAAAGAAAGACCTGCAATAGGCAGATTTTGCTCTTGCATAATGTATGTTTAATCAATGAGCTTCTAGAATAGGTATCTATGTACACTAAGTCAGTATTTAGAGTCTATAGTATTTTAAATCCATACAAAAAACTAACTAGATAAGGATATCATAACGAATTAATTTTATTCTGTAAAATAAATAATTTATATACAATAAATGCATACATGACATGTATATTATATGCTTTTCAAATAAGAAGCAATTAACATTCAGCCAACAACCATTCATCAATATATTGTCATGTTAAAATACAAGTAGATCTATATACTTTATATTTGCAAATAAGGTCTGGTTTTAACAACACCGGTCATCACACAAACAAACCTACTACTTATATCTGAACCAGGGGGAAAAACCCTCAAGTTGTTGTAAAACAAGATGAGTTCTTTTTTTCATTTACTGATTTCATATTTATTTGTGTTTATATGCTTGATAACAACTTGTGTAATCTTGTTGAAACCTAATAAACCATAGTAATTGTTATCCATAAATTGTGTTTTATTTGATGACCAATTCCGATCTATTGCTATCAAATACATTTGTGTAAAGTTTGGGTTTATATGTATTAGTGTTCAATCTCTAGTTGACAATTTTAGGTCAATTCTCTTTTCAGATTGGCAAATAAAAGATTACTTGGTTAAAACACCTGAACATAATGTAAAAGTTGCATATTGATATATTTTATTTATGCACTCTGGTTTATATAATATCACAGACAGGCTAACCTTCACATCATATACAACATATAAGGCCAAGTTTATATATCTTCGAAAACAAAAAAAATACAATAAATAGTCTGAAGATTTGTGTTTTAGAAATAAATGGAAGGCACCAATTTCAAACCATCACATTTCATAAAAACAATAACAGTTTGAATCAGTTTATAAATAAATTTGTTTTAAAAATTATAAATAAGCAGATATAATTTACACATCAATAAGATAGATAGTATGTATATATATTAAGAGACAAACAGTTTATATAAAAACTTTGATTATATAAAATCTGTAAGGTATATATTATACTGAACAAAATGAAATATAGAGAATACTATTACAGTGAAATGGTTTGTTGGCAAGAGATTGTTTTGTATATATACACTTAATATTGACAATTTATTAAATATATTTGTTTTGCATACTGTTATATTTGGAGGGGGGAGGGGGGTGAATTGTGAATCGAAAGACAACAGTTCACAATCCCTTCAGTAATGAGTAATGTCATTGAGTTTTAGAATATTCCATCATGAAATCTATTCTGACTCTGTATTGTGTTTACTAGATTACAGTAATTTGAAAGTAAACAGGAAAAAACTCCTTAATTTTGATAAGGTTAACCATCTGAAAATTTTGACCTTCGACCAGATTCTTCTTTATACACTAATCAAGAATTCCCCTGAATTGTAAAACATTTTATGAAGAATTTCATTTTTCAAGTTAAAATGTAAATTGGAAATAACTCTCCAAAATGACCAATGACCAATCGCTGAAAATTTGAAAAAATCTGTCAAGAAGCCTGACCTGTTCAGTACAAGAAATTGTGAACAAACACTGGTCATGAGACTGACGACAATATATGTACACATTAAATGTGGCCGTTTAAAGTTTATGGCTTGTATCGAAAATGTTCTATTCAATAACACTAATGTCAATCACCAGCTTATTCTTTTAAAAATTAATCCATGCATTCAAAATTTACAATACTCTTTAGGCTATCTATAACGAGAGTATGAAAAATACTAAATATTATGCAATATTAAATTTTTAGATAGGATGGTAGCTATGTAACTTTGTAAGCTGCATATATATTAAAGCTCGGAAGAATGAATTCAAATTATCAAAATACCCAATTTATACATGTAATAAAAATTATCAACAAAATTTACATGGCACTGACATTTGTTTTTGACATACTAATGGATATTCGTTTATCAATTACTATATATCATTTGTTTTTGTTCCTAAGCTAAAGTAATTCATACACAAGCCTACAGAAATTTCTTCTGTTGACATATTATTTTGATTAACAGAACACTAGACAATTCATCAATACATGTAAAACATGTACACTTTATAATAAAAATCCTTTAATATAGGAACTTTTATTTAAGTTAGCAAACACTCTTTTGAGCTATTTCATAAATAATAAATATTTTCGCAAATTCATAGTATGCATAGGAGTACATGCAATCATATAGGTTGATAATCTTACATCAAGTAAAATTTGCATACTATTAACTTTGTTATCTTATTCAAATTTCTAGATTTCACTGCATTAGAATCTAAATAATTAGCAATAATGTTCTGCCAAAATCAATATCCAATCCACTTAATCAAAAATGCTAGATGAGCTGCAAAATTTTGAAAATGAAAACTAATTTCATGTTCCCTTATAGAATCACTTACAAACTTTATATCAAAATGAAAGAGTAAGACCTTATCAAAGCAACCATGGTTTTATTATTATTATAAGCTATAATGTTATTAACTTTATAATACCTGAGTATGGTTTTAATGTACAACAAAAAGGTAGTGATTTGTATTGAATTTATAAAAGGAAAAACAAAATTAAAAAGATGAAACTAACAAATCAACATAAATATGATAGAAAAACTAAAATACAGAAATAGAAAAATACAAATAGAGTAATTTATAAAAAGAAATTAAGAAGTAATTACTACCACCCCAATTAAACAATCATTAACTATGGTAGTGTGTGTATGGATATATATATATATCTATATGTGCTATTTAACAAGTGGTGTATATATACAAACATTCCTTATAAACCTTTCTTTACATGCAATAAACCATAACAAAAACATTCATTTATAGCTAATAAACACCGGATGCATACTGTTCATTGCCTAATAAAGCCTGTACTTTAATTATCATCTGGATAGATTAGATAATGTATTAGTCGAAGCATCAGTTGTCTGAGCAGCACTCTCATCAGTACTTTGATCCTCATAATTTAATATTTTAAAGATAGACGAAGTTCTCAAAATGGCTTCCACTGCATCAATACGATGGAATTCTTTTAGCTTCATAATTAATTTCCTAATGGTAGATGGTTCGCGTTTGGACCACTCCTCTAGCACTTTATCTGTGTGACTGATTTGGTTAGGTTCAGACTCTATTTTGGGGAGAATGTCTGATAAACCAAGAGTTATAGCCAATAAACACCAGTCTCGGCCCATTGGTTCGGAAGGATCAAGTAAATAACTTAACAACCTTCGTGAATGAAGAGACAGATGGCTAATATCCAAGTCAATACCAGGCGTAATACTGTTTAGCACCTCTTCCGAACCGAAGCAAACTATGTCTAGAAAATCCTCAGTAACACTGCCTGTTAAAACAACAGACGTCCGCCCTTCCATCTCCATTCGTAAGATTTCCGTGGGAGAATAACTGCGGATTATTTTACCATGATCACCTAATTGTGATGGACTTAAAGTATAACGTTCTGTACACAAGCCAGGACAGACTTCCTCGATCACTTGTTCAACAATGTTTATAAAATCATCAAGAAAGAAAAACAGAGATGATTTAGCATCCCTTGGTCCACGAACTTTGATTTCGAGATATTGCTCATTTCTGTCCGTATCTAATAACCCTTCTAGATCCCCACAACAATATTTACTACCATGATGCCACTGATATAAGTCTATTTCAGGATCATCCGTTTCCTGTAACATGTTACGTCTGAGATACACTTGTATTCGAGGAAAGAGATATTTTAACTGAGAACCAGACTGGAAACTCGTGTGTAATCTCACGCCACCATAGATCGTATCAGTTTGTAAATTGGAGTCTTTTTTCCACACATCATCTGAAGATTCCAACAGATTCAAGCAGGGAAATTCGTATTCGATATCTCCATCATTATCACACTGGGTACAAAGCTCTAAAGCTTCTAACACTGTTAATAAATCTATGGCTTCCGTATCAGGAAATATTAAATGAAATTCGTCCACAGAATAACAGCCGGTTATACGAGATTGCACTATTTTATCATGAGACATCAAAGTACCAATTACATCTGAGCACAGCCATTTTGGATTGAAGACCACCAAATCCTGAACAAATGCACTCTGCAGATAAACAACCTAAAAAATACAAAAAATATAATGTATACTTTTTACAATTAGGATATATTCATTCAATGATCAAAATCTCATTACAACAGATTGAGAGGCATTTAAAGATACACAATGAAAATGCACCTATAATTTGACTGGACTAGACATAATGCAGTTGAAATGTGATTTCTGGCAAGATTGTAGGCTAGACACAAGAAAATCAATAACAACCCTTGGGGGCCTTAACAATGTAACAAGGGGAAAAAATCAGAAGTCAGTATTGGAGTTGATTTATCCAACGTTTGACCATCCAGCAAGCATTTCATGAACCCATGTGGACCTCTCACAGTAGCAGTAGAACTAGAAGCTGGGAGTCTGTAGATGTCACTGGATAGTGTGTTGGTCTTGTCAAGGTGCCTTGGCCAGTCTCTAGCAGACCCAGTCTGCTGGGAAGAAGCGGTCAGTCTCAGGATGGTAGTGCGATGACATCCAGAACTTCAGGCAACAGCGTTATCGTGATCTGATGTTACATTCAGAAACAAAAGTGTATCTCGCAAACAATATTTACAATCATCCATTTATAAAAGTGGTGCATTTTATTGCATCTATATGCCATAGACAATAAAGAATATAGCATACAATAATATTATATAACATTAGTAACTTATAACTAATGAAACATTTTATTTAGGATAGAATTGGAATATTGCTTAGAAAAATGGGAATTGGAAAATATGTGGAGCAAATATTCATAAAAATTAAAGATTAAACAAGTTGAATTTTGAGCAACACTTTACAATCTAAAACAGTTAAAATACACTCTAAAATAAACAACAAAGATTTTCACATTTATATCATACTGGTATCTACTGTTTTTGATAAAAATTACATTACATACTCTTTCACAATGCGAACAACAAGAAATGTAGACTACATGAAAAGATATTTTTTTCACATGTAGAAAATATTGGTGCAGCAGCACAAAAAGTGGAAATATTTATGAGGGATAAAATACATTTACAAATTTACAAAATATAATTCTAAAACAAGAGAGAGAAATGGGGTTTAACTTCCACTCACTACAAACTAGACCATTTTGGGACTAACTTGGTATAATTTTATTTCAACAGTTAGCTTGCACATAAAGGTTTTTTAGCAGTGGGAGGAAACCAGAGAAAATCCACCACATTGGATAAGGGAGCTTACTCCTTGGCATGAACAAACTTGAGATCGAAACAACGGCACTTGAATCAATGACAGACCTTTCAAAATGAAGAGATTGCTGACAAATTTATTTTGAGATATTTATGTAAATATTTAAAGGCACACATGTACGTAATACAGACATAGGAAACATGGTGTAAGAACATCACAACTATATTATATTGATGGTGCAACAAACGTAGCAAATTATTACCACTCCTGATGTTCTTCTTATAATGCGAAAGACCTGATGATAATAATAGTGCAATAAACATGTTCAAATTAACTGGTGATCAAATTATTTAATCTAGCAACCGTCACATGATAGCTAGTAACTGCCTCTAAAATCGATAATTGTTTTAAAGTCTCTGAAAGTCATCTGAGGAATTGATGAAAACTACAATATTGTAATAGTTGAATCAATAAAAGGAAATCTGTCAAAAATTAGGTCAATTATTTTAAAAATACAAAGACATGAGGAATTGTAAATTTGTCAACATTCATCATCTTTTTTTTCATGTTATTGTCGAAAGCCAGCGCCAACCGTAATCTTTTGATTGTTAATCTATTCAATCTGATTGAACCTAAGCTGTGAAAATATCTATCACTGATTTTAGATTCATACTAAAGATGTGAATGTCAAGCTAAATAAAATACAAATATCATTAGCTTCTCCTTAATATTTGATTCTTGCCATGCTAACAAGTATCAGTAAAAACATAATGGTGATCCAATTTTGGTACATTTGGTCAAACTAGTAGAAGTAGGCTTATACTAACATAGTGAGAGATTGAATTGGTTAGATTTTTAATCAAATTTTTCACAGCATTTCACTACAGAAGGGTTATTTGTCAAAATTATACATACCTCTCCTGTTAGTTGTAGTTGTTCTGCCAATAATTTCATGTTTTCTTCTGATGCTAGAGGATTGACTTTCAATCGAGTATATTCTACAAACTGTTGCCATGACAATACTGGATAAGCAACAGAACTTTTACGCCATAACGGTAGTTGAGTAACTACAGCATCCAAAAACCCACTTGATTTAGGTAAATTCTGTATGAAAAAAACCCAACCCAAAACCATATTATAGTTCTATAAACATTACAAATACAAAAGTACAATAAAAGTAATAGTAACCTTCATTTTGATAAATATTCATCAGATTAAAACAAATTGCCTTATATAGAAATTGGAAATCCCAGCATTAAGACTAACTGGATGATAATTACAGAGGGCGATCTTTCCACTAAATTTATTTCCTAACTTTTAATATGGAAATGAAAGCAGATTAAAAATAAACATTTACCGAAACAATTTCTGCCTTTAATTCAGCAAGTTGAACTTTGAGAGCTTTCAGATCAGCAGAACTAGCATTAGTAGTATCAATAACAAACAGTTTATTAACAATATCCAAATCTGCTTGAAACATCTGTAATACTTTCTCCATTATTATCTCCCCTCCTTCAGATTCGTATTCTCCTTTACTATTTTTAGGACAACCTTTTTTATCAGGATGTGTAGCTACTATAATAACTTTAGCTGTATTTTGTAGTCGTCCACAATGGCCTATAGAAAAAGTTACCATAATGATTTCATATTAAATCAAATTATATACTTGTTATCCATAACCTTTCTTAATTATAACTAAACAAAATCATAAAAATATTCATGAACGGTTATTTTAATCAAAAAAGGGTTCATTAATAATAACATTATAATTTACTGCCTTCATAACAAAAGAATGCATTGCCCTGTTTTATAGATAAAATGACTTGACATCTTAATCACGTCACCAGTTAAATATTTCATGTACATGTACAGGCAGTGGAGGATTAACTAATACCAGGGTACAGACTGCAGCAAGTATTTGCGATAATAAACAGTTACCTACCTAATGGGAACTGAGGAGGTACTCTAGCCTTCAGAAAATTCAACCAAAAGATAACTTGGGCTAATTGTTCGTCAAAGGAATCTTGAAGACTAAACATAACTTGATGAATACAGTTAGTATCACCCAGGAAATGATCATACAGCATATAGTAAGGTTCGTAACCTGAGAAATCCCACATACTTAAATCTCCTACACCTGTAAACAGAAATTATACACAGGTGAAAAAATTTCTTGATACACAGAACATAGAAATACGCGCGCACAGTTTATCTAAAAGGAAAATTTGAATGTTGACCAATTTAAAAGGACTTTCAAGAAATCTGATCACTATCACATTCACAAGGGTTCTTCCTCCATACCGCAAATGCTTCACATCAAATTTGAAAGAAGATGTGTTAAAATCTATAGCCAAGGTTTTTGGATAAAAGTGGATTTGGACCTTTTGTAAATATTGTCTGGATAGATATTTCTTTTAGAAATTCAACTTTAACAGTATTTTAGTTTGTGAGGTCGAATAGATTAAAAATCCCTTAAATAATGATCAGAAAGATCAAAAAAGAGAAAGATTGGTTCAATCATCCACTCAACACAACCTGGGTGATTTCAGGTCTCAGGACTAAGGGTCTAAACTGGAAAACTCTAAAAAAAACCTCATGAAACACTTCATCTTGTCAGATACATGTGTATGGGATGTATGACAGATCTTATAATGTACACCATCATCTAGCACCCAACACTCACACTACAAAAAAAATAAATAAACATACCTTGTACATTGATCTGCTGAACATCAATACCTTTTGTATAAACAGGATTACCTACAGAATAATTTAACGGTGTTGGAAGACTGAACTGTCGAGATAACTTCTTACGAGATCCTGAAACAGATAAATCATTTAAATAACATAACTGACATTTTTCAATAAAAATGATATTTCAAAAGATATATTACTTTTCTTATACTTGTATACAGAACTTATACTTTACTTTTCTGCAATAGAATGTTAGTCAATAAACATAATTTAGAATTCTATAGTACTGCAAGGTAACTAGTAAGATACAGGAAGAAATTACCTGGGCTTTTACTAGGAGTGTTAGCCTTAGATGTATGATGGCCACGTCGGAAGAAACTTCCTAGAAATCCACATTTCATAGTTTCTATGAGAGCAGATTTACCAACACCTGTTGATCCTAATAACTTTAACTTGACTCGACTTAATGGTTGTACAGATTGTATTAACTGGTTTATGAGAATTTGTCCCTTCTCCTAAAAACAAATAATTATATAGATTTACCTTAATGTCATTTTTAGAAATATTATATAGAAATTTATGCATTTCATGAGCAAAAAATCAAATAAAAACGTAAGTAGAAACCTCTATTCAATCCTCATTAAAAATTATTCTAAAAACAAGTTACAAGACCTTTAGTTTAAACATACATTATGCAAGAGCTAAATCTGCCTATTACAAGTCTTTATTTAGGCTTCAGATGTTATAGAAATTATTAATTAGAAATTTATTTACAAAGGCCTGCCAAGCGAGGCTACCATAGCCATTGAGCAGGTCACTTGATAATCGAGAATATGTGGTTGGAGTTATCGTATGTCAATCAAACGATAGCCAATTCTCATAGACGGTGCAGACACAATTGATGCCTATTTCTAGCCCAAACTTCCAACGGTGACAATCCCGTTCAGAACAAAGTAATTTGACTGAAATCTTCAACATTTTTTTTTAATCATCTATTTTTGAATTATTATAGCAAGAATGGCCAACTCTTTATAAAACACTTAACTAATGTATATTTAAGGCTATGAAGTAATGGGGCTGTATCAAATGATGCCTAAATGTTCAAAATAAACCCAAGAAATGCATGTAATAATAATAAACTTACCCCTTTAACCCTGTTTAATAAATCAGCTATAGCAGTAAATCCCTGTGCTAAGGCCATAATTTCAGCAGTAACACCATCCTGAAGAACAAACAACATCATCATTAAAATTTATCAACCTGGTTTTAGCACACACATGCAATGTTTGTTATGTTGCCGATTATCATTTTAATTTTCTTTTCAAATTTTGTTGATCTATAAATATATTTATTTTATGATCAGTAGTGGAATACCGCGTTTTATCAGTGAAATAAAAGTGTTATTCCACTGGCTAGTTGTTTTTACCTAAAATGATTGTAAAATCATAAAATAAATAGAACATTTGTCGTTTTGTCATGAATAACATATTTTATTTCATCTCTAAGCAAGAAAACGTTTATATTTTCACTCATGCAACGCATTCGTGAAAATATAAGTTTTCTTGCTTCTCGATGAAATAAAATATGTTATTCATGACAAAACGAAAAATATCCTCTATTTAACTTACTTTATTTGGAATATCTGGATTGGCACCAGCTTGTAGAAGACAGCGACAAATTTCAATATGACCAGCTTTACTGGCAAGGTGAAGTGGTGTTAACCCATCCTGAAATTATCATTAATAAGAGTGAATTATTAATTACTCCTTCTACTTGTCAGATACATTATAATGCATAACAGAAAGAAAACCTCACCACAATCTTGAAAAAAAACAAAAAACATAATAAGAATTGACTTACGCAACTAACAGTATCTATTTTACAGCCATAATTACACATAGTCTGTACTACTGAAAATAATCCTTCTCTAGAGGCAGCATGTAATGCACTTTCCCCAGTTTCCTGCAGAAAAAAGATTTAAAAACTTTCAAACATTCCTATATAATTGTACAATGAGTGTTCGACAGTTAACTTTAGCATGGGAGTTTTACAAAATATAAATTTTACATTAACTTTAATATCTAACGTAATGTAAATTACTTATTTTATAGCTCTATTATTTTATTATTAAAAATTCAAAACAAGAAGAAATTTACCTTATCAATAAGATCCATTTCACAACCAGCGTTTAATAAAAGTTTAGATATGGAGGAATGATGTCTGTTACATGCCATGTGTAACGCTGAACTACCGTGCTGTAAATAACACCCAAATATAATATTTAGCTATTTTATTTAAAACATTCCTATAAATAGTTCTTTTAATACACTTTTTTGATAAAATTGAAAACATTTATTTACAATTCAGTATTATCCTTTCATGTCCTTCTAACCTAACATATCCTGTGTATTGAAAATTAAACTTTTATGAATATTAGAGTCTTTACTATCAATAACTGCAAACAGAATTTCCTTTTTAATGGCTATAAATTGTAGAAGTATGTTAAAGTGGTCCCTCTTTTATTGACACTAACATTATAATAAAAACATACCTTATCAATATGATTTAAAGGAGCACCATATTGTAATAAAATTTTAACACATTCTAAATTTCCACGAACCGATGCGTTATGTAAAGACGTTTCTCCCTCCTGCAAAACAATGTACACATGTAATATTAGTAATAAATTCAAAGCTCTCAATATAAATATAAATAAGTAATATCAAATGCTTTAATAAGAGCTTGAATACCCTATCACTACTAACTGCTAAAAAAGATGGCTGCCAGGCAATAAAACATACACGCACAAGTAGTCGAGAAAGTTATTGCACTTTCAGGCAATAAAACATCACTCACAAGTAGTCGAGAACATTATTGCATTTTTAATCTTAAGGCAAATGAAAAGCAAAATCTTTATACTGTAACAATAAATAATTATAAGAAATTGTTACATTGCTGTTTCTTCATTTTACTAGTATATATAATACATATAAATTTCAAACCAATCTGATTAAAATACAGATTTATATTTCGTTTCGTTTTTTTTATACTTCCGATGGCCTACACTACATGAAGATCTGACAAGTTGTACTCGAAGGTCGTGTCAGCGGTTGTACGAGCAGCTTATGACCTTATGACATCAGACATTGATTAATCAATCAGCGTCGATGTTTCTAGTGGTTTACCCACAGTTCTGTGCATGGCCTGCCAAGAAGTCGCCGTAACAGACCGTTTCATTGGCTTATCCCTCACTTCAACCAAAAGGCCAGTAATATAACAACTCATCCAGATTCTAGTGTAGTATTAGTAGTAAAGACAAGTAAAACGAAATTTTGAAATGAAAACGAAATAGGATCTGTGTTTTAATCAAATTGATTTCAAACAGTTTGGTCTTTAGATGGTAACTTTTGTTGTTAGAGCATTCACAAAATTCTACAAAGTGAAATAGGCTTCATAGTTTAATAACAGATTTAAAACAGATTAGATGATAACTTTTGCTGTTAGTCTTCACAAGATTCTACAAAGTAAAACAAGGCCCGTAAATTGTAGAAATTTAATTGGTTTCTTTAATTCACTAAACTGAATAGTGAATAAATTTCATACAGATTACATTTGTCTTTAGAAATACAATTGGCATCTTTGTTTCACTAATTCAAATAACAAATGTAGATTCTACAGTGTTCACAGCAATATACAACCACATTTAAAAACAAAACAAAAATTGCAACTGATAAGTATCTTTGAGGAATTTAACCAGTGGTTGCCAGGCAAGATATGCACGATTATCGAAAGGAACCAAGATCTTTGTGATATAAACATAAATTTAAAGTTTTATCAAAATCGGATAAAAATTGTGGCCGCTAGAGGGTCCAGTAACTTGATATACCATATTTTTAGACTATTTGCGTACGAGGGACGGCCATTTTGTCTGGCAGTTTTGGACCAATTTTCACGAAATTCAAACTCAACTATCATTAGGGTGGAACAGTGATATATTAAAAACGTTTTTTTAAATCGGATAATAATTGTGACCTCTAGAGGGACCACAAGCTAAAAATATGATTTTTCGTACAATAAGGGTCCATAATTCAGGAAGTTACAATCCAATATTCACGAATATCGAAAGGAACCAAGATCTTTCGGTTATAAACATGTATTTCAAGTTTCATCGAAATCAGATGAAAATTGTGACTCTAGATCGTCCACAAGCTAAAAACATGAAGTTATGGTCCGATACATGCCAATATCAAAAGGAACTGAGATCTTTGGGAGACAGACCTATATTTCAAGTTTCATTAAATCTGATAAAAATTGTGACCTGTAGAGTGTCCACAAACAAATTGAGGATGGATGGACAGGGGCGACGGCATAATATGTCCACATGAAAGGGTGGGCGTATAAAAATGAACCCCTTTAAATGTCTGCAATATGCAATTTACATAAAGAGGGGTCATAATACATGGTATAGATCTAAAAATAGTCGTAATTCATTCCAAAACTGAATCGAGCTACTGGTATTATAAATACATTTGTTAACAGATTGTGTAGTGTTTGTTAAGTATTTCACAGCATACACCCTCAATGACAACATCTCAGTTAATTGATATTTGCTCAAATAATGCGCGCAACACAAAATGCCAACTAAACTATTAGTAATGAGCAGAATTTTTTTTTTTTTTGTGGGATGGGCGGGGTCTTAAATTCAAGTCACAAAAGTTAAAAGTTAAATTAGTAAGCTCAACATATTCTTTACTAGTTGGTTTGCAAGTTTTCATATAAAATTTTATACATCTTTCAATATTTACATGCATATGACAGTCCAAATATTGAATTAGAAAGACCTTAAACCAAGTTATCAATATTTCATCATCCCAGACCAGAAAAGGCAAAAGTTTTGACTATGTAATTTGTAAAAGCAACATCGCAACTTGGTTGTTTTTGCTCGATGTCTTCCTACTTCATCTGTTTAAAAGAATTGTGAACTCACATATTTGCTTAGTGGACAATATTATATGCGCTGTATATATTTAAAAAGAAAAGTGTGCTGAGAATCAATTAATTAGCCCTTTCCTATAAAAGTGGTTGTTATCAAAATACAAAATATTAGGTAACAAAGATAGAGATAAAAATACGATGACTATACCTTATTCTGAATATCAAAGAGAGCACCGGCTGAGCACAATGTTTGTACAATATGAACATAACCATGCCAACTGGCACTGTGAATTGGTGTTTCACCAAGCTATAGGAAAAAATTGGCCACAATCACAATCAGAAACTGAGTAATAAATTAAGATGGCTGATTCATATCTACACCAATATCTGATTATCTTATACACATTGGATTCGTCAGAATCTATCATTCAATCTACGACTTGGCCAGGTCACATTTTCGTATTTTTGGTTAGAAAAACAAAATTAGAACAACCTTGGTTATTACCCTTGAATTCATCACCCCAAAATATTACCAATCACCATTGTTAAAATTCAAAACAATAATCAATTATTTTTTGAGGGGGACACTTCAATTTTATATCTTTTATGTATTTTAGTCTTTCAAATAGCAGTTATTTTAAGAGAAAACATTTTTAAAATGGAAAATAAATTCTATTAATCACTAAGGAATGATATATCATGCAATAACTGTAATAATTAAATTTAAGCCAAACAATTAATTTTAATATCAAGGAATATACATGCTTTTTTTTATTGTTATATTCAGACTCTTTAGTAAAACTGGCTAATCAAAAACGAATTCAAAGCCTGTCAAAAATGTTTGTTTTTAAAAAAAAAAATAATAAAACACCCAAAAACAATAGAAAATGGTAGATTACTTACACTGTCCTGAACATTGATTGGAACACCTAAACTGCATAAATAATCAACAACATGGCTATGACCATAACGTGAAGCAACATGTAAAGCTGTTTCATTCGACTGAAATAGAGAATTTTTACAAAAAAATCAGATAATGCTCTCAGCACTGGGGGTCATCTTGACAAAACCAACATTAAGTCTGAATGTCAAAGGATGCTGAAATATCTAAAAACAATTTTGTCTTCAGACTATATAAGCCACAGACAATCCATATCTATAATAATGACTGTGTCTGGGGTATTAGTTATATCTGCAGATATATTTGTTCATGTCAAATCGTCTGCTAAAGCCTCCTACACGATTTATCTGTGTTAACTTTGTTCATGTGACACGACGTCTGTCAAGTATGGTACATTATTAACATGAGTTGTACTGAGAATATCAAGTCAGTTCTGTTTAAATTTAAGCACATCTTTCAGTTTACACATACCATACATCCATGGTTGTTCACCACAAACAAACTAAAATCACGCACTAATATGAAGGTGTCATAAAATAGTTGAAGTTAATCCTATGGTAATAATGAATAGTTTTCTCTCTAATGGTTTGTACATGGGTGTAATCATACAAAAAGACTCATTAGGGTCTCACACTGAGTAAAAAATAACAATGCATAGTCATAACTTGGTGGGGTTTTTTACCTATTTTACAAATTTTTTTTTTTCTTTGAGTGCCTTGGACGAAAGTCATTGTCACCTTCTATTTCAGATTTTCGAAAATTCGTCACCGAGATGGTCAACAACCTTACACAATTTGCGTTCAAAAAGAGCAGCCATTTTGGCCGGCAGTTTCATTTCGATTTTCCCGAAATTTGAACCCAACTTACACTGAGGTGTAACGATGATATATTCAAAAATTTTTTCAAATCAGATAAAAATTGAGACCGCATTGAGACCACAAGCTAAAAACGCGATGTTTGGTACAATCAGGGGCCATAATTCAGGAAGTTATGGTCCAATATGCACGAATATCGAAAGGATCCAAGCTCTTTGGGAGATAGACCTATATTTCAAGTTTCATCAAAATTTACAAATTTGCCCTGAATATTCGAACAGCTGAGGTCAATCTGATTCCAAAAATATAAGTTGCATTCAAAGTTATCTCATTTAATCTTTCGATATTTTTCCCGCCACCTGTTGAGTTCTTTCCCGCCATTTTCATTTTATTTTGTGATGTGACCCGTTTTTAAACGAATTGATCCATTTTTCTGAATCTTCTGGAACGAGACATCAATCCGATTATGGCAATACAAGTCTCAGTTATTTCCCTTTATTTTTTCACCCAGGTGAAATGTTTCTCGCTATATTTAGGCTTATAACTTCATAAGTTTTTGACCGATTTTAATAATTATTTTTTCTTGTTGAGATTCTTTATATAACCCATGACATATGACAGGAAGTGACCATGAATATGAAAGCTTTCATATCTGCCCGGTAGATCTAGTTATTATTATTATAACTGCTTGTTGCAGTGACTTAGAGAATAAAGCTATTTCAAACTTTCTGCGACAATGCGAAATGTCTGAAATCACCGGAGTTATCATTTTTAAAAATATACTGCCATAATTTTAACAATAATCATTGGATTTTAACTTTCAATACATTTTGGAATAGCCGGAGACAGGTCACTTAGCCACGCTAATTTTGATTTTTGATTTCAGCAAATCTTCGTAGATATTAGGCACCAAATTTAGAAAATTTAAATTTTTACAAAAAACTTTTTTATTTATATTTTTTGATGGTATTTTACACAGGATTAAAAAGTCATCGGACTTGAGCAAAAATGTGAACAATTTTTGTCGCAGTAATTTAAGTTGGCCACCATGGGCTAATTCAGTTTTTTGGTCCTAGATTAATTATCTATTGTTCAATTTGTATAAAACGAAGTTCATATGCTCAGTGGTCCCAAGTGTCATTTCTTTTGTTGCTGCTAAAGTTTCCTGTCAGCACCGGAAGTGAGGTAATTTTAGCAAAAACTACAATTTTGACACTTCCACAGTTTAGTACCACTTTTTGAAAACAAGTATATTTTTTTTTAAATCTGATATAACTAAATCTCAGTATTTTTTAATTTCGATTTCATTTTCGTGTCATTCGATTAAAAGGTGAAAAAAGGTGTAAAATTAAGCAAATTACAAGCATATTCCATACAAAGACAATCTATACCGCAGTTAGTTTCCAACTTGAGCAGTTGCTGAGAAATAGGCAATTTTGCATCTGTCACTTTTTATGTTTCATTTGCCTGTAAAAGTTTCAATTATTAATCAAATTTCAATTTTTTTCAACATTTGACTAGGTCAAACTAATATAACATTTTCACTGTATTTTTAGCCTTCAAAACAAATATTTTATTCAACTGAGTCGTATTTATTATTTGTTTATAATTAAGATATTCAATTCAATCAACAAACAGAATGAACCCATGTGTTCATATAGATATCACAAAGTAGTTTCTAACTTGTTCAGTTGCTGAAAAATAGACAATTTTCAACAGGCCACTTTTGAAGAATTTTGATCCATAAAAGTGTCGATTATATTTGATTATCATAAAATTTTCAACACATGATGCCTAATGCCATTTACGATTTCATAAAACTAATTTAATATTTTCATTATCACCGGAAGTAATGTCATTTTGGCAAAACCAGTATTTTTAGCCTCCAAAACAAATATTTGTTTGAAGAAAATGATATTCATTATTAGTATAAAATCATAATATCTGATTTCAATGGACAAATAGTATGAATCAATACAATCATATAGATATCAAAAAAATGTTTCTATCGTCTTCCCTTGCGTCAGGATCACTTTTTAAGTTTTTTTGCATTTTAATAAGGCTTTAGAAAAGGGTTAATTCTGTTCAAATTTTAATCAATTTTCTGTCATGCAAAGAACAATCAAAGTAGTTATTTCTGTTATCCAGTTTAAATAGTTTGTTGATAACGGAAGTGATGTCATTGTGTTGAGTCTTTGTTGTATAAATGGAACTGATACTGGTGCATTTATTGGCTAATTCTGCGTCCATTTTATAACGTGTGCAATGCTCATGTGGAAATAATAATAATAATAATAATAATAAAAACTTTATTTAATCTGTTTAACGTTTTCATCGTTACGGGAAGTGTTGTCATTTCAAGAGCAACGTGGCGCCGGTGAAATCCGTCATCACTGCGTCACAGTTCTAGTTTGATTCATATTTGCTAGTGAAGGTCCGATTTCAAAAACCAGAATCAACCCTTCAGTATAGAATGCCATAATTCATAATCAGACATGAAAACGAAATATCAACATTGACAATACCAGGATAAAAATAACTCTTTACTATATAAAGGTTGTTTAGTAAAAATGTTAGATTTTAAAATAAAAAGCAAATTTACCTTATTGAGTGAATCTAATGGTACACCAGCTTCATGAAAACATTTCAATACATCTAGATGACCCTGTCTAGCTGCTACATAGACAGCACTATCTCCTTGCTGATATATAAAAGCAGATAAATATTTAAATTCATACTTTGATTACTTTTTTTCCTGTCAGTGTATTTCGTTTAAATCAGTCAAATACTAAGTTCCTCTTCCTTGCATGTAATTATTTCTTTTTCTGTAAGCTTATGTAAGTAGTTTAATTCCAGGCATGACATAACACATGAAATACATATGTTGATAGCCTGGATACTAAATTTGATCATGTTATTGTTAAATTTAGGACATCTCTTGATCTTTATTCCAAGATAAGTGTTTATATCTATATGCTATACAGTATAAATTTTAAATAAATAACATTTCATAAATTGGTATACAGTATATAATCAATATATCCTGGCCTGTTGCTCTAGTATTATAATTCTACCCCAGCAATCACAAACTAGACTTCATTCAGTAACTCGCCATGTACAATCAATGTATTATCCATCATAAAATCCCATAATATGTACATGGTATCCTCAAAAATCAATTACTAAATTTGTTGAATTTTAAAAAGATTAAAGATTCAAATCTTGATTTGATTGCAGTGTGCCACTTATTAATTTAGTGTAAATAAATCTATCAGTATTATTTTTTCAAATGTGTAAGGGAAATATTTTCTAATCCAGAATATACCTACAAAACCATAAAAGAGCATAACACAAATAAGAGATAAAAGCTAACCTTGTCCTTGACAGCAATATCAACACCTTTAGACTGTAGAAACTTTATAACTTCAACATGACCACCACTGGCTGCCATATGTACTGCTGTTTCACCATGCTGTAATATATAAATAAGTTATTAAAATAATAGTATTTACCTCCTGAATGACAACTTATAGATTGAGGCTATTAACTAAACAATGCACCTATTATTCTGATTTTACTAGTGTCCATTATTAAAAGTATTAAATACAGGTGCTTCAAGGTAAAATAAATGGTATTTATTACGTCATCTATTGAACTGAAGTCCTTGAAGCAATAAATCTCTATGAATAAATAACAATTGAATGTACTGAAAAAAAACACCTCTGAATTTCAGTTGACAGTGACACAATGTAAAATTTACCAAAATCAACAATCTAACATAACAGTGTTCAGGAAAAATAATAAATAATTTTGATTCTTTCCACTAGTTAAATAGATTGATATTATTTGCAATTAGCTCATGTTCTTATAAAATAAAAACTAAGAGTAACATCACTAAGACAGCAAGATATCCTGTTTTGAAGAAAAAATTTGTATATTAAGGATAATTAAGGTCAGTGACAGGAAGATAGGTCATTAATTACATCCTACTGTCAACATGTCATCTGATGTTAATTGATCAGTGACCAACATTTCCCCCATGCCACCCAACTTGTTTTACCTGTAAGCTCGACCACTTGACATGACTAATATTTGTATCTATAAGTAATGTTGTCTTTTAGAATATTGGTGTTGGGTATTTCTATTGAAAAGTCTCTCATTGTTGACACTGTTGGCCCAGGGGTGTTTTCGTAAAACACCTAATAAAATCTTCAACTATGCTGGGGCACTGTTACCTCCCATCACCACATTTGTTTACAGGTTTCTTCCATTAGGCAGAGTATGTTCACTGTTTCTACCACTGGGCTTGTTGAAGGGGGTGGGTGGGGGGTGGTGGGGTATTATCCTTTCTGAAATCACGACTGTCTGTCTGGTTTCCTTTTGTTGTCAACAACAATTTCCCAATTATATAACTTACCCTATTAGCTGTGTTGAGGTCTATGTTGTTGGCCATCTCGGACAGTTCCTTCAGTCCATCTACATTTCCTTCTTCCGAGGCACAAAACAAGGCAGCCATGACAAAGTTATCAGCCTTCTCCTATAAAATACAAAATGGATACCAGGATGAGAATAGTATGTTAACAGTTGGCTAATGTTTTTATTATACAGAAGGATATAACAAGAGGACATCACACAAATGAATACAAAATATATCCTGTATGCCCCTCATCATTTCATGTTCACTATTATTCGGTTCAGTGACTGAACGAACATTTAAACTTATCTGTACCTGTAATGTGGTGGGTGTAGCCATCTTGAATTTCTACTTCACACACCTTCATATGAATCCTTTGATTTATGATTTCCAATTAAAATAATTGTGACCACAACTAAGTTACTATCAGAGAATATATGTATGATATACATAAACAAACTGTATTTGTCACAAGAGTTATTGTGAATAATAGCATAACTTACATTGATACCAATTATTCTTTATCATAATCATTTCATAGCAATTAAGTAAAGTTCATCATAATTTCTGTATGTTGATTGTTACTAGGTATAGCTAATTGGATAAACTTAACTATATTTCAACAATAATACAAGAAGAACATGATGTTATATCATAAGTGACTCCTCTTTCGGACCCCTCCTCCACCAGTTAGTTTTTACTAATAACAATTTTGAATTCTTTATGCTTATTTTTCATTGCTCTTTTCTATAATTGTGGATTTTATAACTATAATTTATGCTCAATTTTCATTGCAATTTTGAATAATGGTGAAATTCCTAAGTATTAGTTATGCTCATGTTTCATTGTTCTTTTGACTAATGGTGAATTGTTACAAGTATTGTGTATGCTCTTTTATCATTGCTTTTTGAATAATTGTGAATTTTATGAGTATTTTTTATGCTCAATTTTTTTTATTGATGGCAGTAGTAGATACTCCATCTTTTGCGCAAGGGGACATTTAATGCATGTTTAAATTTTATTGGTTCTATATTGAACCATTTTGATATTATTAATATATTTTATTTAGTATATTTTATTTCCAGGTATTGTTATTATTCATTGATTCGTTTATTGAATTTATGAGGCAAATAAATGACCATTTCAATTCAAAGAAATGCTTTTTCGTGTGTGCAAAATATAGTCATTCCAGAGCACGGGGGATAAAAATATTATTTAAACTAATTTTAAAATTTGCACCATGTTTACTCTACTCATTAGGTAATTATCATTTTATATTTTAACATTATGTTGTGTTTTTTAAAGTTTTTACATACAAGTAATATGTAATTCATCTCAATGTTCTTTCATTTTATTAACTAAAATTAAATCATCTGATCAAAACGTTATTGTTGTTAATTGGAGATTTAACCTCTGCTTCTAGTTTTCTACACTGAGTGATATCGCAAACAAAGCTTTGTTATAGGGGGGCGATACAGCCGAATGGTTAGTACGTGTGCGTTGTATCGTAAGGTCTGTCATTGAGTCAACTAGCGTAGTATCGATTTCCCGAAAGTATATGACAAGGAGTAGGGTTGCCTGTCCAACCTCATGGGTTTTCTCTGGTTCCTCCCCACTGCTAAAGTCCCCTACACACAAGTGAATTATTGATATAAAATTGAATCATTTGGTAGTACTGAAATGACCTAGTTTGTGTCGAGTGGACTTAAACAAAAGCATGACATTCGGATCGCGAACAAATCAAGCCATACATTATATATTAAGATCAATATAGAGGCCCGGCCTATATAATATAAATCATTCATGTTGAAGTTTGATGAACTATTGCTCCAGGGACATATTTGAGTGTAGAATTGATAAGGCATAGATAGATAGAGAGCCCTTAGGTATAAGGTTATGTTATACATATGAAGAGGTTTGATTTACTGACCACATTAAATAAATCACTGATTTAAATTCAAATTCATGAATGCTTTATGCTAATAATGGACAATAATGCTAATGTTATTGTTACACTGATATCAGATTTTAATCCAATAAAACTTCATTACACCTCTATAGATCAAATTTTTATTACTCTGATTATGCTGATAGTCCAATTTGAATGTCAATAAACAGTGAATTACACTAGCTGTATTTTAACTACTTTATATTTTGAGTTTTAAGCAGTAGTTTCAGTATTTTAATTTGTTTAGAATTCGTTCAGCAGACTAATGAGGTAACATTTTCGCATGTCTACAACTTTCTGTCTGTATTTGGCATCTATTTTCAAATTTTAAGCAGTCAGAAAAAAGCCAATTATTATTTTTTTTTTAAAACATTTTATTTCGCCAACGGAATCCAGTCACTTATTTTTCAAGGTGCTCAATGGAGTCTTGAGCACAATTGAGCTCCTGAACCTCAATCAATTTGCGTTTTTTGTCCAGTATCTTACAGAAGAAATTCCCTTCCAATAATTTCCAGATTTTGTTTTATATCATTACCAAATTGTCAATAGCCACTGTGTAATCGTGCAAAATACTTAGAATGAAGTCCTGGCTACATAAGGCTCTAAATCTTGTACTCTTCAAATATGAAGGAATGTCCTGCTATAAAAATTCGATCAAACTAGGTCATGTTTACGTCACGTGACTTACCTCTCTTGGAAGTCAGAGGAGAATTCATTGCATACATAAGACGATGTTGTCTTTAATCGCTTACTATTTATTACAAATATCGAATCCTAATTAAATTCTCGGATTATCCAATACCCGCGTCTTTTTATCTCAGAAAGTGTTGTACGTGTAACTCTTTATAAAGTTTATCAACTTGTACATCAAATGCTCAATGTTCGCGTGTGACCTTTGACATCACGCGTGCAGAAATTCCTAATAGTCGGGCTGTTGATTAGGGGAACCCTTACATTTTTGTCCTGTATACGCTCCATGAGTGTTTTTCGGAGAATCCAGTATTTTTCTAGTAAGATTGGATATCTCTACTTTCCATATATACCAAAATTACCATACTTTTATTGGAAATAACCACCCGATAAATATTTTTCTGGGAACCCATCTTTAAATATCTTTAAAGTACTCAGTTTATATTCAATATTAAAACAACTGTTACATTGTTTATTTTAAGTCACTATTCACATTTATTTCAAATTATTAGTGTATTAAAAAAAATCATAAGTACATAAAGTAAGTTAAGTAGACACAGGTAGATCTTAGTTGTAAAATAAATACCTATGCAGCTTAACTGTAACACATGACTTATTCTACATATGATTACTTAAAATAGATAAATTTGTCATGACACAAGTAATAAAACATTCATATAGCCATAACCATAACATTAGTTGTTAATATATACCATCTATACTTGAGACCAGCTTTATATAAGCTTATCAATAGAACTAGTTTGAAAGAGAACGCTATCTTATTCATTTAAAAATGAAGAGATTGAACCTTTGCCTTTGCATGTAAACATCAGTCTTCAAATAATTAAGTTTATTTACCCACTTTTTTAGAAATCCAAACCTACTGGGTCATCATAGCCCTGTACAAACTTTTAGTGGTGTTCATTAAAACACCATTGGAATACTAAAAATCGAAATAAAATCAAATTCAATTCATATTGAATTTAATAATACTCAAATAGGGTATACAAACATTATTTTTATCTAATGTTTTGATTGTACAAACATTTAAGTGAATATTAAATAAATATTTCAAATTCAGTTGTATAAATAGAGAAGACGAACAAACTATATCTATTCATAGAAAGATCAGTAGATCAGGAAGTTCATGTATCAAATTCCAGATATTAATATATTATTACTCATCCTTACAATAACCAAAACATCAAACAAATTTATCCAAAAATAGATTGCTAGTTATTTACAAGAGAAAATCTCTCAAGATCATTCTATTGTGTTTATGTTGTATTTACAGGATTATTTTTATGTTAATAAAATTGTCATAAACTAGAACTACCTTGTGAAACCTAAGTTATAAACATCAATCCAATATATCCAAGCATGGAGAGAAACACTAATAAACCTTCCAAAGTAAAACCTAATAAAGAATAAGCGTGACACACTAGAAAGTTACCTGAGTTTAACAATAGATTGAGATCTAGTGGACACCACTTCTCATCAACTCTCTCAACAGTTTCTAGATTTGACAGTTAAATGATAATCAAATGAGCTGTGACTGTGAAAGCCAGTTGGCCACACTGGCTACCATCTTCAAAGGATAATATTGACTTTTTAAGGTGTTACTTAGTTGGGATTTAGAAAGCTAAAAGCACTCAGCAAATAAATCTAATATATACCGACAGACTTAAAGCTAGTTAATCCTTCATTACAGTTGTATAATTTCTTCAATACTATCAGAGAAAGTTAATACATGATTAAAGAGTTTAACATGACAATATTAAACCATCTGTACCTTACAGTCCCTGGAAATTCATACATCTTGTTCCAAAAATTTATTGAAGTTAAGTAAGTTTAATGGTTGATAAGCTTACTCCAGCTAAAATTACATATCTAGATAGGTTGCCAGGCAATGAAACATATGCCCACATCGGCTAACTCATTAGTGTTAAGTAATGGTAGCTTTTAAAAGGCAATAAAACTGATCAAGAGAAACAACCAAGAACAAAAAGTCACTTGCTTTGAAAGGTAGTCAATTCATTAGACTTGATTTATCTGAGTTGAACCTGTGTACTTCTTGTAAAAAGAGACAGAACAAGCCAACAGTGAGGCTGATGTCCCCTGTCGAAATCCCAAAATAAATAGAAGACACATATTAATTAATAGCACATACTATATGTATGACAATAAAATTAAAATCAGGCATGTCATGAAAACATTATTTAAACATCGTACTCATGTACTATTAAAGCTGAACTCCAATAACAAACTACTGAAATAATTAAATAAAAAAAGTTAACGCCCTAAACCGTCACCATACTTGTTTTCAATTTGTAAAACAAACATGGCTACTGATTACACCGTACAAATATGGAGGCAGACCACGCCCACATCCAGTATATGCCTCATCAAACACAGTGTCCACATCCGTCTAGCTATTCAACTACCAATTACCTGACATATTTTCACCATCAGCTTTCTGAAAATA